CTAGGATATGATCTATTTTGGAGAAGGTTCTGTGGGCTGCTGAGAAGACTGTATATTGTGTAGAAGTTGGATGAAATGTTCTGTAGACATCAACTAGGTCCATTTGGTCTGTGGTATTTTTTAGATCTAGGATCTCTTTATTGATTTTTTGTTTGGATGACCTATCTGTTGATGAAAATGGGATGTTAATATATGCTTTTAGGTCATTCAGGGTATGTTTGATGAAACTGGGTGCGTTGACATTGGGTGCATACAGGTTGATAATTATTATTTTCTTTTGGTCTATTTCCCCTTTTATTAGTATGGAATGTCTTCTTTATCTCGTTTGATCAATGTAGGTTTGAAGTCTACTTTGTCAGAGATAAGTATTGCTACTCCTGCCTGTTTTCGGGGGCCATTGGCTTCTTCTTCCAGCCTTTCGTCCTAAGCCTATGCTTATTTCTGTCGGTGAGATGGGTCTCCTGTAAGCAACAAATTGTTGGATCTTCCTTTTTAATCCATTTCATCAAGCGGTGCCTTTTGATGGGTGAATTAAGTCCGATAACATTAAGCGTTAGTACTGATAGGTATGTGGTGATTCCTGTCATATATTTGTCTTAGTTGTTTGAAGGTTTGATTGTGTGTACCTAAGTTGAGGTTACTCTCTACTGTCTTGCTTTTTCTTTTCCTGTGGTTTGTTGCTGCCTGTCTTTTCATGGTTAAGTTGGGTTTCATTTTCCGTGTGCAGAATCCCTTGAAGAATCTTTTGTAGTGGTGGCTTTGTGGTCACATATTGTTTTAGTTTCTGCTTATCATGGAAGACTTTTATTGCTCCATCTATTTTGAATGATAGTTTTGCTGGGTAGAGTATCCTAGGGTTGAAGTTATTTTCATTCAGTGCACGGAAGATCTCTCCTCAAGCTCTTCTTGCTTTTAATGTTTCTGTTGAGAAGTCAGCTGTGATTTTGATGGGTTTACCTTTGTATGTTATTTGTTTTTTCTCTCTTACAGCCTTCAATATTCTTTCTTGAGTCTCTGTACTTGTTGTTTTAATGATGATATGTCGTGGGGTAGTTCTATTTTGGTCAGGTCTGTTTGGTGTTCTGGAGGCGTCTTGTACCTGTATGGGCATTGATTTCTCTAGATTTGGGAAATTTTCCGTTAATATTTTGTTGAATATGTTACGCATTCCCTTCGCTTGCACCTCTTCTTCTTCGATGCCCATGAGTCTCAGGTTTGGTCTTTTGATGGAGTCAGTGAGTTCTTGCATTTTCTTTTCACAGGTCTTGAGTTGTTTAACTAATAGTTCTTCAATTTTTCCTTTAATTACCATTTCATCTTCGAGTTCTGAGATTCTGTCTTTTGTTTGTTCTGTTCTGCTGGATTGGCCTTCTGTTTTGTTTTGCAGTTCTGTTTTGTTCTTTTTTCTGAGGTTTTTCATATCCGGGGTGGTTTCCTCTTTAATGTTGTCTATTTTTGTTCTGAGTTCATTTGTCTGCTTATTAATTGTGTTCTCTGTTTCACTTTGGTGTTTATACAGTGCTTCTATAGCTTGTTTTATTTGTTCTTGTGCTTGCTTATATTCTCTATTTTTGTTGTCTAGGAATTTCTTGAGTGTCTCCTGTACATTTTGGTTGACCCTATCCAGTATCATCTCTATAAAATTCTCATTGATTACTTGCAGGATTTCTTCTTTCAGGATGTTCTTGTGGGCTTCATTGGGTTCTTTGGCATAGTTTATCTTCGTTTTGTTGGAGTCAGGATCTGAGTATCTGTTTTCTTCATTCCCCTCTGGTTCCTGTACTAATTTTTTGCTGTGGGGAAACTGGTTTCCCTATTTTTCCATCTTCCGACCATTGCCCTTGCTATTGTTACTGTCCCTGTACTGTGTGCAATTAAGTATTTTCTAGCTTGTAATAATAACAATGGTGAGATCTAGAATGGAAGGGTGAGAGGAGAGGGAAAGCAAAGAAGGTAAAGAAAAATGGAAAAACAAACAATTTAAAAAAACAAACAACAGAAAACACCAGTGCCAAAGAAACAGGGAGAGATAGTGCACTAATCAACAGTAAGCTAAACAGGCATTAGAGAGACAGAGAGAGGATTAAAAAAAAATCCCTAAGTTCAAATGCGATAAAGTTTCAGTGTTAATAATTTTGGTGTTCATCCCTCAGCCTCCAATCCTGGAGATGGTGTCTCAAAAGTAGTTCTGTCGTTCTCATCAAAGAGGAAACAAAACAAAGAACAAAACAAAATATCCCAAGTTCAAATGCAATACAGTTTCAGTTAGTCCTTCAGCATGCAGTTGTAGTTCAGTTGTTGTCTCATCAAAGGAAGAGAAAAAAAAAAAAGAGTCTGGAGACAGTTCTGAGAATGGTATCTGAGGCTGTGGCTCACCTGCCCGCTGCTGTCAGCCTGCTGTTGCTGGAGGCTTTGTTTATGGAGATCTCAGGGGTGCGCTTAGCCCTCACCTGGCCCCGAAGGCTTTGTTTACTCAGAGTTCTCCTGTGCAAGCCACTGTTACAAGCTTTCCCCTTTCCAAGCACACTGGGGGAGGTGACACTACACCCGCCTTCTCCGGCCAGCGTGTTTATTTACAGGTCACCTGGGAAGTGTCCCTTCCCCCCTCTCCAGTGGAGCTTTCCTCACACACCCACTTTTACAAGCTTTCCCGCTCCTGGTTGCTGGGCGTGTGCCACTGCTCCTGCCTTCTCCAGCCGGCTTGTTTGTTTACAGTTCCGTGAGCCCCTCTCCCCCCTTCAGCACTCAGGGCGCCCCACCCTCTTTGCTACATGTCTTTTGTTGTTGTTGTTTATTATTCAGTTTGGTTTTTTCCTCTTTTTTCCCTGGGTAGGGGTCAGTCTGTCCAGGGGGCTATGCTGATCTGGCCCAGGGTTATTTGTGGGAGTACTGCATGCCGCTTAGCTCACCTGGTGGTCTGCTTCTCTCAAGCCAGTAGGAGCTGGTGTCTGGCAGCATGGGGGCCCTCCTGGTTTCTCCATTTAATGTGGAGTGGGGATGCTATGCGCAGGCTGGAGGTGTGGAGGAGTCAGAGTTTTGCCTCTTCTTGGTGGTTTTTCCTGCAAAGTGTTTCTCCAGCATCTCTCCAAGATTTTACTTTAGGAAGCACGCTTTCTGCTTCCTCCCTCTAGTCGCCATCTTGGAATCTCCCTCGGGCATTTTAGATAATAGAAATTGAGCATCCCTAACCTAAATATTTGAAATACAGACAACTACAAAATATGAAACTTTCTGAGACCCAACGTGATGATTAAAGTTTTGTATTCTGGGCCATTTCAGATTTTCAAATTAGAGCTGCTCAACTGGAAATCTCTGCACATATTCAAAAAATCTGCTTTCTGTCTGAATTTTTGAAACAGTGGTTCTGAAATTTTGGAGTGCAGTGAGCCCATTGGGTAGGCTTGCTAAATCCAGCCTTTCAGACCCCTTCAGTAGAGGTGAACTTGGGTCTGAGCTGTCTTCCATTCAGGAAACATTTAGAAGGGGATGCAGAGCAGGAAGGAGAGGAGGTTGGTGACTTTACTGGTATGAAGTGTTCTTTCCCTGCTGTGCAGGGATGGTACTGTAGGGGAGTCCTTGACAAGACTGTGTGGTAGAGTTCTTCCTTTTGGGAAAAATGTTAAAGGCAGCTCAGCAAGTTATGTAACTTTGCAGGCTCGGTGCCCTTTGTGTAACTGTAACCATAAGGTCCACAGGCCCCTCCAGCAAAGCCCAGCCCCAGTGCACTCTCAGCAGCTCCTTAGTCTGGCCCACAGTGCGTTGTTTATCTTGCAGGTAGTGAGTGTGTCCTGTACCTCATTTCCTTTTTTTTTTTTTTCTTTTTAAAATACAGTCCCCAGCTGTGGGAAGCCTGAAGCTGCCATCTCTGGGCCTTTGACAGCTCACTGGGCCACAGTGCCAAGGAGAATGGATGAGGCAGCCCAACAGTTGCAAAACCTGCTTTCCTTTCCTCTACATCTACTGTGGGAAGGAGTCCCCTTTTTCACTTGTCACTGCCAGGATTTCTAGTCCTACTTACACTTTCTCCCTTAGTCTCACTTCTGTTTATTGCTTCTCTTTATTACTCACTTTCATTTTCAAATTTTAATGTGAGCTTTAAGATGTATTATTTTCCAAGTGCAGTATGGTATCCTGGACTGGCTTCTGGAACAAAAAAAAATTTTCAAATCTGTAGTTTGGGAACATCATTGTACCAATCTAATCCCTTAGTGTTGCTCTGCACTATCTTTTCTATATTTCTGAAAACTTAAAATTGTTCTTAATAAGCTTATTTTAAATTGTATTATCAGAACTAGAAGACTCCTCTGCATTAAGGATAAGATAGAGGTGGACAGTTTTTTGACATTAAGATTGTGAAACAGGGAGGGCCATGGTTCCAGGTCAGCCCAGGCAAAAAGTTCACAAGACCATCCCCATCTCAGTAGAAAAAAGCTAGGCATAGTGGTGCAAGTTCAAACCCCAGTACCACTACTATCATCCCCCCAAAAAATTGTGGATGGGAGCTGGGCTGTAGCTCAGTGCAGTGCTTGCCTACCATGAGCAAGGCCCTGGGTTCTATCTCCAGCATGCACACACACACCAAAAAAAAAAAAAAAGTTGCTGGACAGAAGCTACCTGCTTTCAACTGTAGGACTGGGCTGTAATTCAGGGAAAGGAAGTACAGAGGAAGTGGCTGGCTTCAGTTATTTATGTTATCTTTTGTCAGGGACTTTGACACCATATAAAACTGAGAGCTTCTAAGGAAAGGTGCATATGTACTGCTTGTTGTAGACACTTTGAGTTCATGTTCATTAAACACACAAGTACTGGTTCCTGGAAGCATACCCCCTGTATCTAACCCCAGACAGAGTTAGGTCTGAATGTGCACATTCAGCCGCCTTTTCTGAAGGTGGTGTCAGTGTGGGGTGGGGGCAGTCTTCCGATTTTCTCAAGTTGGGAAACTGCAGGTGCCTGCATGTGGACTTTCACAGGAGCACTCTCTGAGCCTTGGTCTGGTCTAGCTCACAGGTGGAGTGCGATCTTCTGCGCGCCTGAGAGCCCGAAATTGCTCTGCAGCCAGCTTGGCCACTGCCCAGGACACCACTAGTTCCACATCTGCCAAGACATGTCTGGTAAGCCATTACCAAGGGGAGTGCCAAGATCTTGACTTGTGGGTCCATTTTCACACATAGTTGTTACTATGAGAGTGCTATATAAAATACAAGACATCTGTGTTGCTTACATACCGGAGGGGATGTTTCAGAGGTAGTGTGACTATTGTCTCTGCCTTCACAAAGGATATGCTCTGCCGTCCAGGGGTTGGTTTCCTGGCATTTGCCCACTGGATATATGTGAGGGTCAGAGACTAGGTCTTTAAGACACACCTTGGCTACCTGTGCTATTTTGAAGGTGGCTGTCCAGCAATGTGGGTCCATTACCACAGCACTTCCCTCTAAAGGCTTTGAGAGGGAGGTCAGGGATGAGGAAGGGCCTCTTAGAGTCTGCTGTGCTGTGTAGTGCAGGTTTTGAGTCCAAGAGTTTCGTCCCTACACTCAGGGTAAACTGTATCTGCTTCCCTGAGCCACGGCCAAGGCTTGGTACAAAGCTGGCACAGCACTTCACTCGAGTCAAGCTGCTCGTTGATGTTTTGTCAAAGTCAGTTTAACAAATCCTTGCCTAGCACCGACAATGTGCCAGGCAGTGTTGGGTGTGACATCTTAGCAGGGAAGAATGGAAAGGACTCATTTGCTGTGACTTTAAAATAAGTAAGCACATGCTTCAGGAAGTAACACTACTGGGAAATCAGTGCCGAAGTGGTGCTGATGTGTGGCTGGTGCCATTCTCAGCCATTCCTGGCTGCTGGTTTGGACTCTGTCCTTGGTAGCAGAACGGAGAGGTGTAGCTTCAGCATGAACATGTCCCAGGTGTGAGAACAGGAGCCTCTGGGGTCAAGACCTTTGTTTTGCTAGGTGTCTGGTTTTCCCTTACATTTGCTCTCTTGACAGATCTCCTCATCACACAAGGCCCCAGACAGACGAACTTGCAAGAAGTTCAAGTGTGACAAAGGTCACCTTGTGAAGGCAGAGTTGCGGAAACTAGCCCCTAAAAATGATGGTGCTTTGCCCAAAGGGGCACCTGAGGCCCCTTGTGAAAATGAGTTTACAGAAGGTGACGTATTGCTCCCGGGCAGCAAGACTGGTGTCCCTACCCAACAGGAGACTGCAGCTCTTTCCCACAGCCACAGCCACAGCCACGTTGTGAGTGATGCTCGCTCAGCAAAGACTGAAGACGGCCCATCTGTGCCGGAGCCCAGCCCCAGTGCCAGTGCAGAGGCAGAGGAGTCCAATGGTAGTTCTGCTGGGCAGGCCGGGTTGGTGCCCGAAGCAGAGGAATCGCGGGCACCGCTGCTTCAGATGGACAACAGCATCTTTCTTGATGACGACAGCAATCAACCCATGCCAGTGAGCCGATTCTTCGGAAACGTTGAGCTCATGCAGGTAAGAGCACTGCCTCCTTCCCATGATGCCTGGGCAGCAGACCTTGCCTCAAGCTGTGCCCCTGGCTCATGGCACATGAGTAGCGCTTCCACATGAAGTTAAGTATAAATTCATTTCCTTTGACACAAAGGAGAAAATAAGATGCTTTTCTTAACTGGGACACTCCCCCAGCTCCTGGCCTCCCCCATCTGCAGCACTCAGGGTGTCTGGACACCACAGCAGGGTTAAGAAATCACCTGTGGTTTGGGGACATCCACCCACGTTCTGTCACTGTGTTTTACTCTAAGCCCAGTGTCTCTTGCCATGGGAGAAGTGCTTCAGTCTTCATGTCTAGAAGGCAGGAACTCTGCAAGACCCAGAGCAGGCCATGGTGGACGGCAGATTTGGGTGCTAGTCACACAGCATGTGTCTGAAGTCTGTGTTTTCTTCCCCTCCAAGGACCTGCCACCAGCCTCTTCATCTTGTCCTTCAATGAGCAGACGAGAATTCAGAAAAATGCATTTCAGAGCCAAAGATGATGAGGACGACGATGATGCAGAAATGTAGAACTCCTCTGCTTATTTAGTACAGTTAACAATTTGACGGTTTAGCAGTTTATATAAAAAACTTATCTGCAGGAGAATGTGTTCTTAATCGAACTTCAAAACTAACCCATAAAGTCAACAGCACAACCCACCAGGCAACTGTGGAAGGCTTCCTCATGTGCTTGTGAGCTGCTGCTGTGCCTGCACTGATACCTTTTCTGACATTCATGCATAGGTGATGCTGGTGGGGTCAGCAAGGGGCTGGACAGTCTGTGAGAACAGTCTCTGCAGGGAAAGCTTTTCATTTAAGCCCATTAGCTTGACAGTATGCAAGTTTATTTTCCATTATCAAAGTCTGATCATTCTTAAGATTAACTCAAAGCCAGTTCTGAAAGGACTCTCCTCTACTTCTGAATGTGAAGTTAACATTTACCTTGAAATGTTTGCAAAATATATATATAGGAAGGAAATAAAATAATATTTTGAAAAATTTTTAAAGATATCTTACATTCCTCAAACTCAATTCTTTTCCGAAATGTTTGAGAGCCAAGGGAGGAAATGAATCCCATACTAGGCTGGGACCACCTTTTTGGGCCCATTAACCAGCAGGAGAGGTGAGGCCCTTGGGAGAGGCTCTGACCAGGTGATGTGGCCCTTCCCTTCTCTAGTGTGGTGGAGGATAGCTGTCCACCTGCAGGTGTTCACAGGCTGCCCCACGCAGGCCCCCACCTTGCATTAGACACTCCTTACATTGAAGAGGCCTTGTGACATGTTCTCAACAGGGAGGGGACAGTGGAGAGCAGCCACACTGGAGGGAGGGGTTGGCTTTTCTCCAGGCCTCTTACTGCCACCAGCTAGCTGTGTGCAGAGGCCCAGCAGAGCAATCACGAAGAGGGAGCCTGGATCTCCAAGTGGGTGAGTGAGCACCAAAAAGGAAAGCGGTCTGGCTGCCTGCGAGGGAGTCTTTGAGTGTTCTGTGGTGGCACCTCTCAGCTGTCCTGGGAGGTACAGGAAGTGGTTCACATCTAGATATACCAGGAGCAGGATGCAGAGGTGCCCTGTAAGAAGGTTTCCAGCTCTTACTGTTGAAAGCCTGCCCCCCCACAGATAACTTCCCTGCAGTCATCCTCTGTTCCCGCTGTGATCATCTTCCCATTAGTGTGACCTTCACCTACTCTGAATAGATCTGTGACTCGTTGATTAACGAACTATAATTTGAAGTTGTTGCTTGTGAAAGCCCTTTTCTGATAGCCAGGGAAAACTGTTTACAACCTTAGTGTGCTGAGTGGATGAGGATTAATAACAGCACCCGTGAGAGGTGGCATCTCAGATTGGAGAACTTGTCCTTATAAACAGACTTGAGTGAGCAGCACTGTCCTAAATACAATGTGTGCAGAAGAGATGTGCTCTTGCAGTCCAGCAAAAGGGGAGGTTGAACTGGGTCCTTTTGGGGCCACCAGTTCCACTGCAGTCCAGCCTGTGGGCACTGCTGGGTGGAAGCACTACCCGGGCATCCTGGACCTGCAACGGCAGCCCTGGGGAAATCCTAGTGGGCACCACTTTTCCTTTCCTAACTGGCCATGTGACAACATGGAGCTGGGCTCTCCTAAGGCAGTCAGCCTTAGGAAGTGAAGGTGTCATTTTGTATGGAAATTACAAAGAAATCTTGTGTTGAGATAGCAGACCTAAGCCTCTGCTTTCTATCCAATGAGGGTGAAGAACTCCTCTAAAAACACAGGTGTCCAGCATAAACAGCACAGGTAGGGTGAGGCAGGCCAGTGCAAAGGGACATGGGTGGCCACTGTGTCCTCACAGTTTCTAGTGTCTGCAGCACCTGCACAGCCTAAAGCATCAGTAGCTCCATACTGTAAATACTGCTCTTTCCTAGGCTGGAGTCCTGCAAAACTGACACAAACTAAACCATACTTCCTGTCTCTGAGTCTGGGATGCCGGTGAGGGCCTTGCTGTTCACATTCCAACCTTACAGTGTGGACCCTGGGCCTTGGGGACGAAACCAACAGGGCAAGGAACCTGAGGGCTTGGGCTTCCCATGAACCAGACGTCCTGAAGACAGGCCCTTTCAGACTATCAGTGTTAAGTCAGGCCCCTCCCTAGATCCTTCAATGGCTCCCCCTCATCTGAGGAATTAAAACCCACCCTTTACTGCAGCATGGTCTGGCTTCTTAACCCTTTGTTCACTGCCTGACAGCCACATGACATTTTACCAAAATGTAACACATCTGGTCCCTACCTTGTGTGGCTGCCTCCAGTGTCAGCTCCTCCAAGAGCCCTCCTCTGGCCTCTGCCACCCTTTCAAGGGGCAGCTGCAGGAAGGCCAGGATCCAGAGGTTGGGCTCACTCACAGAGCCTGGCACAGGGCCCCCCACTGGCTCATCCCTCTGAGCACATCACTGACACTGGGACCGGCCACAGCAGTGTCCCTCACCCCATCTTAGGTTCACACTCTCTGCTCCTTCCTCATAAGAATGACCATTCTGTAACTCAACTCAAGACAGCTCGTGTATAGGGGGCTACACACACACACACACACCTATGCTCCTCCCTTGCTTGCAGTCAAGAACAGCCACAGAATGTACTAGAAATTCAGCATCCTTTGGAAGGAGGAACTGACCAGAAGAGTTTAGGTGCTGTCAATTCTCTGAAAGCTGGATGGCCTTCAAAGCCTGGCCCAGTGAGTTCTATACCCCTGTAGAGAGCCTCTCGGGGTCCCTCAGCTTTGATGCAAGGGGACATGTGCAGTTGAGACTCCAACTGCCTCCAGGCAGCTTTCTCAAGCCATGGGGACCAGCATGAAGGGATCCTGGGCTGCTGTGGCCCCTTACTCCTCTGTAAGAAACCACTTCATGCAGTGTGTATGTGTGTGTGTGCTCGAGCACTGGCTCACAGGACTCAGGCTCAGGCAGGCTGTTAACAGCACAGTGAACGTGCAGCACACGTGGTTTGCTGGGGCTTGCTCCCTTATGTTATCCAGCCTAGACACATCCAATCTAGGGGTTTGGGTGACTCACCTTCTGACTAGTGACACGCATCCTGCCCAGCTGAGGACATGGAAGCGAAAAGTGAAGTTCTAGCAGGACAGCCTGGCAGCTCTTGCCCAAGATGGCTCTGTGCACAGCTCCCTGGAGCCTGGACCTCTGTGTCACCCCTCCTGCAGAAATGAGCCTCAGGTCAGGAGGGGTAAGGGGATCCACACGAGGCATGGACAAAGGCAGCAAAGTCCTAACAGATGTAGAACCTCAGAGCCCAGTCCTGGACAACAAGCCATGGAGTGGAGGGGTAGTGGCCCTGTGTGTCCAGGGGTATTTGAGAGGGAAGGACAGCCTTAACGAAAGAAAGGTGGACGGTAGACTGTGCAAGTCCCTGACTGAATACTGGAGCTGCTGGGACTCCTAAGGCTCTGCCCAGCTGCTGCTTGGAGACCTCGCTGAGTTTCTGTGGAGGAGATGGACTTATTCAGGGCAGCTGCTGCACCACTGGCCTTCCCTTCGCCTTTATTTTCACCATTCTCAGTGAGTGTGAACTCATGTCTATTTTGCAAACTCTTTATTGATTTTTCTGATTACATCATGAATGTAAAAACCCAAATATTACAAAATGTATGACTTTAAAAACATTGTAAAATGTTATAAAATGCTCATTTCTCCAAAAAAACTCAAGTGTTATAAAACACATGATGTAGGAGAGCAGCAGTGTGGAATCCAATCCCACCCCGCTGGGGCCCCAGGATTCCTGACGCTCAGGTGGGTGTGCTCCTTCCAGACCAGCTCTGTGCACATGCTGACAGCTACAAAGCCAACAGGTCACACTGCATAGCAAGGTCCCTGGGGCATCACACAGTATCTCACTTAGCTCACCAGTGCTCAAAACTGCTACAGTTTTGCATGACAAAACTCATGCCAATGACAGGTTGGATCGTGAAATTAATCAACCATTTTTACCCATAAAAACAGCAATTTCACGTGACAACGTAATTTCACGATCAGCTATTCCCAACTGGGTGCCAGTGCTCACGCCTATAATCCTAACTACTCAGGAGGCAGAGATCAGGAAGATTGCGGTGCGAGGCCAGCCCAGGCAAACAGTTCTCGAGACCTTATCTCAAAAATATCCAACACAAAAAAAAGGGCTGGCAGAGTGGCTCAAGTGGTAGAGTGCCTGTCTAGCAGGCACGAGGCCCTGAGTTCAAACCCTGGTAGCAGAAAAAAAAAAATTAGCTATTTCCACAGATCAACATTTGGAATGTTTCCCACTTTTTTTGCCATCTTAAGCATACAAACATTTACCCCAGAAACATCACACCCCTCTCCGGGGTTTCTAGAAGAGTCTGAAGTCAGAGCTGCCATTTGCTGTGGGACGGGAGGGTGGCAGAGATTCAGTGCATAAACAGACACCGACCCTGACGCCAGAGCAGTAGGTTCAGCCCTGGTGCCGTGACAGCGCCAGCAGGAAGACCCCGGGCTCAAGCTGACTGCTCTACCCCCAGGAACCCACAAATGTCAGTAAGCACCACAAAGCTGTTGTCTGGGAACTGGGCTGTCGGAGGCATGGGAAACAGGTTCAGAACTGTACTGAAATCAGACTCACAGGAAAGATTTTTAAGGTTTTTTCCAGGAACTATCAAGGTGACCCCCTCCAAAAAAACAGCACCTGTTCCCATTACACAGGCTTTGTGCATGGCAGAGGGCATGCCGTGTCACCTGCGTCTCCGAGCAGGCCACCGCCTCTGGGGCCCCGACCTGGCTCTGTAGATCCTGCTGCGGTCACACTGGAGCTTGTGTGTTGTTTTCTTGTGGCAGGCGATGTGCACCAATTTTAGGTTCTCTGAGGTGAAGAGCAGGCTGTAGAAGTACTCCCAGTCCACCTCCCTTCCATCCTGCTCCTGGATTGCTTCGGCCAGGGCAGGCACGATGGTGCGTTTCTTCTCTATTCTGCAAAGTTAGGTTGGAGTCAGTCCCTCTGAGGTGGCTGTGCCACAGACCACCAGGTGCTGTGCACATTTCTTATCAGCTCAAAGACTCGTGGTATGGCTTCTGCTACAGACTACGTGTCACTGCTTAAGGGAGGCCCAGCGGGGAAGTTTTAAGATTTCCAAAGGAACCACAGCTGGAAATATCCCAGAAGGGACAGGTGGCAGTGAAATGGACTTGTTGAGCCCAGTGCACCATTCACTGACATGTGGTCAGCCTGCAGGCCAGGACTGTCCAGTAAAGCCACATCCAAGCAATGTTGCTTACCTTAGTTTTTAAAATGTGAGGGCCAAGATCGGTGGTGGACACCTGTAAGTCCCAGCTACCCAGCTACTTGGGAGTCAGAGATTAGGAAGACTGCAGTTTGAGGCCAGCCCAGGCAAAAAGTTAGCAAGACCCCATCTCAACAAATAAGTGTGACAGTTCCATGCCTGAAATCCCAGAGGCATAAGCAGGAGGATCAAGGCCCAAAACAACTGAAGCAAAAAGGATGGGGGTGTGGTTCAAGTGGTGGAGCGCCCGCCTAGCAAGTGCAACACACAGAGTTCAAATCCAATACCACCAAAAAATTAATTATATAAATGACTAGACAGATAAATAGAAAATGTATGAGCATTATTGAGAAGAATACAGAAAAAAAGTATAGATTCCAGTCTGCCACAACACTCCCATCACATTTGCCCCCCACCCACAATTGGGCTTCCCCACATCCATCCCATTTCATCTGTGCAAAAACTTTCCAAAACCTTACACACTGCAGGGCAGTTTTAGGAGCAAAACCTGACGAGCAAAGCTAAAAGCTAAAAGCCTGTTTCTCCCCACCGCAATCTCATCTCCCTCACCTCCCGGGGATCGTGACTAAGGCTCCACATTTATCTTCCCAGTCCCGAGCCTCCACTTTTACACGCACACATGTGAATCCCCTCAAAGAACGCAAGGTACTGCTTTGCTTAGGAGCAAACTGTTCCAAGGAGCATGAAGTAACACGTGTGAGAGCGAGCCACCAAGGAGCCCAGGGCAGGCCCCTCTCCTCCCCTCACCCCAGAAAAGCTGGAATAATGGAAAGCTCCTCTCCCCAGCTTGCAGAAACAAGGAGAACACAGAGGGCAAGCTGCACTCCAGGGCTCCCCAGAGACCAACAGGCACACAAGGTGCAGAGCGCAGACCCTGCTCTGGCTATTGTGGGGCCTGGAGGCCTTGAGCTGTGCCCAGGGTTTTGGATAGAAGGTGGTCAGCCATCGATGCTGTGTAACCAGCCAGCACACCATGTGCTCAGCTGCTGCACTTGTTGAGGCTTGACTGGGGCTGTGCCCTTCTCCCTCAAGGAGGTCGGGTCAAGCTCCCTCACATAGCGCTGACCACCGTCAAAGAGGACACGCTCCTGTGTGTAGCCATTTCTTAGCCCAACTGTGCGCCGTGTGCTGGTATCACACAGCCACATCTGAAGAGGGGCTGGGGCACATGAACGGGTCCTGGGAGTGGCCCGGGTGCCCACTGGAGGTTGAACCCAAGGCTCTACCCCTGAACTACATGCCTGGCCCTTTTCTAAACTTTCTCTTAAGACAGGGTCTTGCTAGGATGCCCAGGCTGACCTGGAACCGCAGTCCTCCTGCCTCAGTCTCTAGGGCTGGGATGACAGGCCTGTGCCACCACGCCAGTTCATGCACCCACTTTCCACAGGCACTCACAGACTCTCAGGCACAGGCACATGGTCCAAATGAATGCTACGTATATAGCACAGGAATGACCAGCAAGAACCCACTCTGTAGAGACACTGGGACATGACAGCCAAGGGACAGAACCAATTCCTGCTGACGATGAACTCCAAACGCCACCATATGGCACCAGGTCAAGCAGGAGGGGAGGCTCATGCTATCACCACATGAGCAATCTGAGCTAGAGTGGCCAGCACCAGAGAGGACCTCTCACATCCAATACCAATGACAGGATTCAGGGGTCCCTAAGACTTATCCTTAAGCTCAATTTTCTAAAAGGACTCCCAGCTGCCTGTGAAAGCTGTCACACTCACAGCCATGGATTTTTACAGCTGAGACTGCAGACAGAAATCAGCCAGGAGGGCACACAGTGCAGAGGACTTCCAGTCATGCAGCCTGCAGTCGGTCCCTTCCTGTGGAGTCACAGACAGCACTGACTCCTCCCAGCAATGACAGTGACACTGCACAGGCAGCACCACCAGGGAAGCCCCTAGAGGCTCAGTAACCACAGTCCTTACCGGGCCTTTCTTTCACACAGATAAGGCAGACCTCCAAAGATCAAGTTGGCACTACCTGACCCAAAGCCCCACCCTAAGTCACGCTGCCATGGTCCAGTGACTCACAGTCCAGGTGAACAAACACACTCTAACAGGCAGGACACTGCAAGGGCTTAGAGGACACCTCCCAGGGTCAAGATACATACCAGACCTCTTTTCCAGCCAGGGTACACTCTTCATACCACAAAGCAGAGAAGCTTAAAACGGGTTATTAATGAAAAAGGGGCAGAAATGATGAAAAGAAAGTCAGATTAGTGTAAGATAGGCTTATTCTTAAAAGAATCCAAAAACACTTCTCAAAAGGAGATATATGCCCTGTGGGGGGAGAGAGAACAGATTGAAGCAAGAGCAAAGCACACAGGCCACATGTGCATTGGGGGAGGGAGACAATCCCAGACATTTGTTTTTTCACAGTGCTGGAGTCTGGAAGTCTAGATCAGGGTGCAGCATGGTCAGACCGGGGCCCACTTCCTGGCTTGTGAACACCCAGTTTCTGGCTGTATCCTCCCCTGGCAATGGGACAGAGCAGGTGAGCTCCCTTCCTCTTGTAAGGACATCAGTCCTGCTGGATTAGCCCCCACCCTGGGACTGCATACCTTAATTATCTCCCAAGGGATCTCTCCAGATGCAGTCACCCTGGGGGACAGCTTCAATGTGAATCTTGGGGGCGCATGACTCCCCCCAGAAAATCACAGCAGCAAATCAGCCAGAACACAACAGCACAGAGTGGGACCGTGACAGCGCAGACAGCACAAGGAGGTGGACGGTCTGGCACACCCACAAGGGCCAGGGAGGCTGCAGGGACAGCAAGGAAGCTCTGCTTGGGGGGGTTCTCCCACCCTGAAGAACACTGGTCATAGAGCAGAAAGCAGACATCCAGTCAGAGAGGAAAAGACAGACCTGTCAAAGGGAGAAAAATCTGAACCTACCATTGAAAAGCAGAAAACTAGGCAGCTATCACAAGTCTCAAGAGCAGATGCTGGGAGACAACGGTGTATTCTTCTGGTACTGGAGGAAAATGGAGACCTGTGAACCCAGAGCAGTCGCCTAAGAGCAGTCCAGGGAGCATTCAGCCCTCACACGCCCTCCTAGAAGAAGCCTGAGGGTCACACACCTGCCAGCGGGGAACAAAACCAGCAAGACACAGGAAGCACCAAACACCGAGGGCTGAAAAGGAAACTCAGGCAAATCAATAGAAAGAGCAGAGGAGATGCAACATGCACTGGGAGGTGCAGTGGACAGGACCCTCAGAGCAGAAGTGGAAAAGGAAGTGCAAGCCCATTTACTCACGCAACAAAATATTCCACAAATACCAAGTGAACGGCCACTGCAGCCAGACACCAGGACCGAGACCCACTGAGCTCGTGCTCCAGCGCGACAGCCTCAAGTTAGAGACAAAAGGCAGATATGTGGCCAAGAAGAGATAAGTGCAAACTTAATGGTGAGGAAGGGTGGGGATGCCCCCACACTAACCCAGGGAAAGTGGGCTGCTGACACCTGGGAAAGGGGGAACTCAGGGAGGAGGGCTGCCAGCTGTGCCGTGTGGACCATTTCAAGGAAACCGACCACAAGGAACAACCACCAAGAACAAAGCCAGATGTGAGGCAAGCATGAAACATCTATGGAGCCCAAAAGACTTCTAAATAACTCATGCATCAAAAATAAAACCACAGAGGAAATTATAAAAACCTTTACGATGACTACAAGACTTAGCAATGCAGCAGTACACAGAAGCGTGTAACCCTAAAGGGATACTACAATACAGAAGATGTGAGCTAATGAATGGGCAAGAAACCTAAAAACAGAAAGTAGGCATAAAACATAAAAGCAAAAACTCATGAAATTAAGTAAAAGGGTCAAGAGAGTCACAGATGAGGGTAAGAAAAATGGAGAAGAACGTGCATGCCGTCAACACCAGATGGCCTGCTGGAAGGATGTCTGAGGCCTCGGAAGGGGGTCCCACAGCAGCCCTTCCCAGGCCCACCCAGAAGCCCTAAGCTGCTTCCAGGACCTGCCCAGGCCTCTGTGGTCAGGCCCAATGTGGGGGAGGGTATGCAGGCCCTGGCGTGAGGTGATACAGGGTGGGAAGAGAAGGGGCAGGCTCCCACATTGCCACCCTGGGACCCTGAGACCTGTGAATTCTGTTCATATCTGCACTGGTCTTCCAGGCACAAGTGTGGACTAGTCCAAGGAGGAGGACAGCTCACGTTCTGTTCAGTTTGCTCGTTTTTAAACCCCGTCGGGCAGGACATGGCTATGGCTCAGAACAGACAGTCCAGTGTTTCTCTAGAAGCTTGATGACTAACAGGCATCTCTGCATTTTTAATTAAAACTCAGTATACATATCTGTATTTCAAGAGAGAGAAGACACAGCTAACTAAAGCAGGTACCTCATGAAACAACGCTGGCTCACGCCATGCCTTCTGCAGCTGCCTCTGTTCTAGACTGACCCGCTGCTTTTTTCCCCAGTGCTGGGGACTGAACCCAAGAGTCTCACACGTGAGGTAAGAGCTGCCGGGTGAGCCCCACCCCTAACCCCACTTCATTTTTAATGACGTCCCCACTCCCACTGGCTCATGAAGACGTCAAGAGCACACAGCAGCCTGGAGGGCCCAAGAGTCCTCTGGACATGCTCAGTGCAGGTCAGAAGGGGCAAGAAAATCAGCAGAGGAGGGGAAAGTGCTCACGATGACGAACGGATGGATTTCTCAACAGAAAGAGGAAATCGTACATATGGGTATGTCAGCACTTAAACCTTGTCATGAGGTGGCGTGCAGTGGCCCACACCTATAATCTCAGCTGCTTGGTAGGTGGAGATCAGAGGATCACACAAAAAGTTAGTGAGACCCCATTTCAACCAATAAGCTGGGCATGGTGGAGCATGCCTGCTCTCCCAGCTATGTAGGAGGTATAAATAGGAGGATCTTGGATGAGACCCTATTCAAAAATAATTAAAAAGCCCAAAGAGTTGGCAGCATGGCTCAAGTGCTAGAGTGCCTGCCTACCAAGAACAAGGCTCTGAGTTCAAACCCCAATGACCAACAACAAAAAATTCTAAGGGGGGAGGAGGAAAAAAACCTACAACTAAAGAAAACCAAAAACAATAAAGATGTGCAAAGGAAAGCAACCCGGAGGCATGACTGGCCAAATGGCCAAGAAGCACCCACAGAGATACTCAGCCCCCTGTTAATCGTAACTAAAGCAGGGGATCTGCTTCTCCCTACCTGGCTGGGAAAACACAGCACCACTGAGTGGCGGTTGGATGCGGAGCAACTGGCTCCCAAGAAGGAGCCGGTAATATTCCCAGACTCAGGTCAGGCCGGGCAGTCCTCCCCCTGCGGCACACCAGACCCCAGGCCCGCGTAGTGCCTCGATGAGCTGTGAGTCTGCAGTCCTCCCCAGCTCCGATACCGCAGCTGCCAGCCCGCACACCAGACGCTCTAGCATGGAACCAGGGCCAAAGGGTTCGTCCCAGTGTTTTACAGTTTTACAGTGGTGAAAACAGGCCCACCGAACTGCCCAGCACCACAGAAGTCTCTGCAAGCAAGTGCAGTGTCCTGCACTGTCACAGTGAATGTGCGTGTCACCATGAGCAGGGTGTAGGGTGAACAGTACGCTGCAGAATGACAGCATGACACCAAGTGTGTGTGTGTGTGTGTGTGTGTGTGTGTGAAGCTCGTGCAGACTTGGTAAAGGTAGCAAAGAGGTGTCAGGAGCACAGGTGTCAGGTTTCCCCAGGGGGCAAGGAAGGGGGCTTCAACTGTGTCTCATATACTCCAAAGAAGCCTGATTGCAAGAGTGATGTTGAGGACATTTGAAACTCTTCCTCCTCGTGAAGCAAGGTTACACGCCAGGACAGTTACGACTCCATCCTGGTGCCACATGGGCAGTCACAAGCCAGCACAGCTGTGACACCATTCTGCAAACCCAGATCCCTCTACCACCGTAACCATCAGAGCTCCTGCCTTCTGGGCTCCTCCCATACAACACACAGCCCACAGCCTCTGACAGCCCAGCACTGGGCCACAAAGGGTCAGGCCCTGAGCTCTGGGCAAGGCGGGCTGCCCACCAGCTCCATCCACAGGTGAGGACCAGAGGGCAAGGAGGGACAGCTCAGTGCCAGGCACCTGATAGCAGGCAGCACAGTGTGCGTCTGTCCAGCCACTCCTTCCACACACGCATTGGGGGCCAGAACTGCACAGGCACAGCACACAACACACAAGGCAGCCACCAGCCACCAGTGAGCCACCCAGGCCAATGCCACAGGGACATGACCCCAAGGAGTTTCTCTTGCAGTCTGTGAACCTGAGTCCCAGTGACAGACATTCCAGGGAGTCCCTGCCAGTGTCTACTTACACGTGATCCAAGTTCCACGTGCTGAAGAGGACGCGGCTCTCCCTGCTGCCGTAGGGGTTGATGGAATGCTTAGACATGCAGCTGTCCAGGTCGAAGGGGCCCTGTGGCCAAAAGGACAGGGAAGCCAGGAGTAAGGCTCCTCTACTGCTCTCAGGGATGGGCTTAGTGGGTGGCATGCCCCGTGGGGCTTTTAGTGCCTAAAAAGTTGTTTGAGACAGGCATGGTGGTGCACACCTGTAATCCTAGCACTTGGGAAGCTGATGCAGGAGGACCGGGAGTTCAAGGCCAGCCTAGGCTACACAGTCAGACTCTTTCTCAAAAAAAAAAAATAGATGGGAGAGACCAAAGATTCTATCTTTGGAATTTGGAATTTCACCCCACTGCCCACCTCAGTACACTAACTTACATTCTGAGCTTTGTTTTTGTCACTTACCAGAGATGGTGTCCTTTACTGGGTGCCTCCGTGTTTCCACACTGGGACAGATGCCCTGTGATCACATGCCACCATCCCCACCTCCTCCTGCTTTGAAGGTCACAGCCCACACCTCCTCCTAGACCAACAGCTGAACGTCCTCCCTGCCTGGCCCAGAACGGCTGTACTTGCAGACCACCTAGGTGGCCGCAGGATAAAAAGCACCCAGCTCACCTGGCAAGAGAACCAGCCTTCTGGTGTACAGAGGCGGCCGCTGGCCTTGGCTCCTCGATCAAAGTAGCTGCCGTTGTACTGCATGGACTTGAGCTTCTGACTCATGGAGCTCAGGACCCGTGCGTATTCCTCTTGTGCCTCTGCACCTACCATCGAGGCACAAGCGCTCACCTGGAAGAGCGACCAGGCATCGCTGAGCCTGGGCAGGCCTGCACTGGACTTCCCTCCATGGCTCTCAGAGACCCTGCCCCTCCAACCTTGGGTCCCGACTCTGCCCTATGGTCAGAGGGCCTGACCACTGCTCACCCACCCCACCCTGGAAGACCACACTGAGCTCATGAAATGGAGTGAATGGATGGGTAGTGAATAACACTACCCATCAGGCTGGAAATAATTAAATAAGATCAGGCTGGGTGTGGTGGTGGACACCTGTAATCCCAGCACTCAGAAGGCAGAGACTGGAAGATGGAGAGCTCAAGGCCAGCCTGGCCTACATGGTGAGGCCCTGTCTCAGAAAAAAAGAACTACAGGGGATCACATAGCAAGGCAGCCACCTGCCTGTGGTCAGGCGAGCAGTGGTGACAGGAAGGCCTGCCTATCATGCTTAGAGGGAGAAGTGCCAGCACTAGACAAAGCAGCCACAGTGGGCTAGGCTAGGGAAGGTGTGGACGCAGACAGTCACCAAGACCTTGTGAGATGCAGACACACAGGAGACGGCAGAACACTGGCAATCATGACACCCGTGAGCCAAGGCACAGCAAGCCTGACCAGGTGGCGCAGCCTCAGGCGAGGATATAGCCCCTCGACTGCTAATGCAAGGAGGAAACCCACACACAGCCAGGCAGAGTGAGGGGCAGAGCTTAGCTCCACCTGTGGAGGGAGTAGAAGTGGCAGGTTCACAGACCAGGGATGGGAGACAGCAACTGGGCTCCTCTAAAACAGTAGGGGGAATTCCACACAAAGCAGAAGGGGGAACAAGATGCTTACGCTGGGGCCTTGAATCTCAATCAAAAGATCCTGCACCTGCCAGAGGAAGGAGGTCAGAGGCAAAGGCACTGCCTCTCACCTCACCAGGCACACAGCCGTATGAAGGCGTCTCTTGTCAGCAGCCAGACACATCCCAGCAGAGGCGTGGCAATCCACCAACTGCCAGCCCATCCTGGGCCCAGAGCCCATCTAGCACGCCTGGCCCTAACATGGGCTTACCTCTCTCAGGTACCCCCGGATTCGGCTCTCACAGCTGTATCTCAGGTAGCCAGACTTATTCCTGAATCGGGACTCCAAGCCTGCCAGGAAGAAGAACCCAGAGTCCAGGGCCTCTTGGTCTGTACCCTGCCCAGCCCAAGTGCCAAGCCAAGCATGGCAGAAGGTGGGAATCAGACTAGTTCATCTGAAGAGATGTCTGACAGTGCCATGCAGCCATGTCTGGTTTCTGCTGTTGTTTTTTCTTTCACTTTCCCTCCCTTCATTGGGTTTTCAGGCATCTAACACACCACCCAGGGGCTTCTCCCTGACTGCCCCCTGAGCCCTCCTTTTCTAAGAGGGCTGCCTCCATCTGGCCTCAGAGGCCAATCCAAAAGGTGCAAGCAATCCAAGAGTTCATCGGGGTCAATGGATAAACAAAATGGGCTCCATTCATGCAATGGAGAATCATGCTTAAAGAGGAAGGACATTCTGACACATGGCTGGAACTTGAAGACAGTGTGCGACATGGGACAAGCCACCACAAAAAGCCACCTACTGCATGACTGCACTTACACGAGGCGCCTACAGTTGTCACATACACAGAGTGGCAAGGTGGTGGGGGTGCTGGCTGGGGAGCCAGTGTTTAAGGGGTTCAGAGCCTCAGTTGTGCAAAATGAAAAGATCTGGAGATGCATGCAGAGACAGTGGCAGGAGGGATGCACATGCTGAGTGCCACCGAGCTCTGTACTGTCTGCTCTCTGTACCTGCGGATTCAGCCAACCACAGATCTTACCTATGCAGAATAAAATTACACCTGTACTAATCATATATGGCCTTTTTTCCTAATCATTACTCCCTAAACAAAACAGGATAACAACTATTTATACAGCATTCACACTGTATTAGATATAAATAAGTTCAGATGATTTAAAGTACAAAGGAGGTCAGACATCAATACTACAGCATTCTATAATGGACTTCCACATCCATGGTTTCTAGTGTTCTTGGGGATTCTGGAACCAAGCCCCCACAGACAGCAACCTTAAAAATGGTTAAGATGGTCAGGTGCCAGTAGCTCTCTCACCCCTGTAAGCCTAGCCACACGGGAGGCAGAGATCAGGAGGATTGGCCAGCCCAGAGAAATAGTTCTCGAGACCCTATCTTAAAAATACCCAACACAAAAAAAGGACTAGCGGAGTGGCTGAAGTGAAAGAGTGCCTGTGTAGCAGGCGGAGGGCCCTGAGTTCAAACTCCAGTATCGGGGGGTAAAAAAAGAGGTTAAGATGGCAAATTTTACATTATGTGCACTTTACCACAATTTTTTAAAGACTAACAAAAATACAAATCCCAGTCTGAGGCACACTGGATGCTGTCCCCACTCATGAGTCCTTGCTAGGCACCTGCCCTATGGCCCCCAGGTCTCAATGAGCACTTTGTTCTGACTTCTCCGAGACGTCAGGTCAGGCCACCACCATGTAGGAGTCACTGAGACCTGAAACAAGACTCTGGTCCTCCTGGGCTCTGCTCCAAGGAGGCCCTCCCCTGCCCACCCAACCACACACCTTCAAACCAGGACGGGTCCTGTGCACGGGTCTCGGCAGCGATGTTCTGGCTGGCATTGTGCAGCAGGTCGGCCAGCAGCTTCTGCCGCAGCGGGGCCTGTTCATCTGACAGTAGCTGCCTTGCTGCCTGGATGACCTCCGCGTGTGGCTCATCAAACACACTGAGGAAGCGACCGATGTCACTCACATCTGCTTCCAGCAGGGGAACAAACAGAAAAGTACTCAGAAAAGGCTCCAATCACTCAGAGCCTGGGGACAGCCAGAGCTCAGCCTCCAGATGTCACCAGCCCTCAGCCCAGCCTGGCACCTCCAGCCAAAAGTGAGGTCACATGACCGTGCAGGAGGAAATCTTGGAAGATTTCTCACCAACCAGGGCTTGGTGAAAGGTTCTTAGACTTAACATAAAACAGGAGAACAGAAGAAATAACCCAATAAATTGGACTTCATTAAAATAAAAACCTTTTGCTTTGTAAAAAAATGCTCTTAAAGAGAATAAAAGGACAAGCTACAGAACAGATAGTTGCAAACCACAAATCTGACAATGAGCTCACATTCAGAATATACTAGAAAAAAAAAAAAAAAAAAAAACCTTCAAAACTCAACAGATCCAGCCCAGGCACCGTGGCTTATGACTGTAATCCTAGCTACTCAGGAGGCAGAGATCAGGAGGATGGCAGTTTGAAGTAAGCCTGGGCAAATAGTTTGCGGGATGCTATTCTAAAAATACCCAACACAAAAAATGGATGGCCTAGCAAGTGTGAGGCCCTAAATTCAAATCCCAATACTGCTAAAAATAAATTAAAAATTCCAATTAGAAAATGTACAAAAGATGAAGAAACTATTCACCAAGGAGATCTGCAGGTGGCAAACAAACTTAGAAAAAGATGTCTAACCCCCAAAGCCACCAGGGAAGTGCAGATTAAGGTCACAGTGAGCGATTACCACACATGCTCTTTATCCCTCAGTGGAGGGGAGTCAAGTGCCAGAGAGAGAAGACACAGAGGCAAAGACTGAGAGACATAGATGGAGAGATGGAGCAGCAGAGAAAAACCAGCCTCTCCAAATGATACCACAACCAAGGAAGGAAAGAAACACCCAGGGATTCTCAGTCCTCTGATGGCTCCTTCTGCCCAGTCCCCACCCCCACAATGAGACATCTCAGGTGCCTTCATGGTGACCATTTCCTGGAGGGAGAGTGGGTGCTTACAACCTCAGAGCACATAGGAGATGATCAGTCTCACGGCTGACAGCTCAGCACCTAACCTTGCCGCCAAAGGACACATCCAAGTGGACACTGAGCTTCAGTTTCTCTTTCTGCCCTTCAGCCAAAGAAGCAGGATTAGATCCAACCCTCAGAGCTTCCTGTCCTCCCTGGGGCACCAAAACCATCTCCTGAAAGCATCATCCCTCTCACAGAGCCTGATGACCCTCCTACAGGACTGGCAAAGAAGCACTCTGTCCTGGATCCTCACACAAGAGGCCCAGAACTCACTGTCTAGCTGGTTCTGGAAGGTAAGACTCTCACCCTGGGGCTTCAATAGACACCCTTGAAGAACCACCTATTACAGCAAGCACCTAGCCGAGCACCGGTGGCTCACTCCTGTAATCCTAGCTACTCAGGAGTCAGAGATCAGGAGGATTGCAGTTTGAAGCCAGCCCAGGCAAATAGTTTGCAAGACCCTATCTTGAAAAAACCCATCATAAAAAGGGCTGGTGGAATGGCTCAAGGTGTAGGCCCTGAGTTCAAGCCCCAGTACCACCAAAAAAAAAAAAGTGAGCACCCAATAGGACAGCTCCCAACATGAGCCCTAGCAACAGTGTCTCAGCAAACACCAGTGGAGAACAGCACTGACCACCAGTGACTCTGCCTTGCCCAGCACCGCTTGGCACAGTAACAACTCCTCAGTCTCCCCGAAACCCTTCTCTTTGCCTTTGGCAGTTAAAAAAGGAAATTTATATATAATGTAAAAGGCAACCAATTGAACTGGGCTCCTGAGCAAGGACTGACACCTTCCAGTCAAAGTCACCGAGCTGACCAGCTCTGACAGCAGAGGGCTTCATCTGTCCAGACTGGGCTGCCTTAAGCCCCCAGGGCCTCCAAAACAGTGTGGCTCCCGCCCATCTCCAAAGATCTTTGCACTTACAGCCCTGCCAGCTCTGGTCCGCGGTGAGCAGCAGGAGCTCGGCGTCGTTGGGGATGCCGGGGAAGTAGTCTTCGGTCACCTCCGTGCCGTCCTCATACAGGCACAGCCGGGAGCCGGACACCGGGAGCTGCGGGAGCAGAAAGGGCAGGAAGCTTACGGGCGGGGCCAGACAGGGCTGCTGTCTGCGGGACTCCCAGGACCCCTACCTTGGGCGCTTCCCGGATGCCCGCACACCCGGGACAGCGGCCCCACGAGGGAGCCTGAAATACGTGGAGTAGAGATTGTCTGCTGTGCAGATTCGCTTCTAAAACGAGCTCCTCGAGGGCACGTAACATGCCAGCCTGTTCGGAGCCGGACGCCTGAGTGCGTGGCCGGGCTAGGGACGGCTCTGCACCCCGGCACCCAAGCCCTGCACGGACGCTGGCGGTGTGGGCGCGTTTGTGGCTACTCCCCATCGTGCACACGCACCCCAGCGCGGGTCTAAGCCCATTCAAGGGCACAGCATGAGGACAGTGACTGGGGTCCCCCGATGGCAATGCCCAGGCCTTCACTCCGCAGTAGGGGAAACTGAGGCAGGAAGGCGCCGCCTTGACCCAACAGCAGCTACCAGAGCAGGTGCGAGTCCTCGCCGGCCCCACCTTCGCCCCCAGGCCGCGCCTGGACCCCTTCCAGAGCTGCGGCTCCAACAATGGCAGCCTGGCTCTGCCGGGAGCCTCGGGGCGGACCTGGAAGCGGAGGCAACCCTTCCGCAGCAGTTCCTGGCAACTTCGCCCGGCCACACCGAACTTCTGTGCGCTGTGCAGAGCCCGCAGCCTGACGGTCTTGGGGTGGCGGAACACCGCGCACATCGCGGCGTGAGTTCTGCACCCAGCGCTGAGCAGACAAGGGTTCCAACCCCGCCCGGCCAGATCGCTTTCCTGGTGCGCATGCGCGGCGCGGAACGCCCTCCATTCCGAACTCCCCCCGCCCCCTCCCCTGGCCGGGAACGGAGGCTTTTACGTTTGCGCAGGCGCCAACGTGCGTGCGCGCAGGCGCAGAGGCTTCGGCCGGCCTGGTTGTCATGGGAGCGTGGCTGCCGCCCGGGGGGTGGTGGGGGGGGGCGGAGGCAGTCGGAGATGCTACTCCGCTGCCACCGCCGCGGCGGCCTCGGGGTGCCGGCGTTCCGGGGCGGCGGCGGAGGCTCTCCCTGAGCTCCGCATGAGCGAGCGGAAGCCATTGCAGAGGCGGAAGCCGAGGCCCCGACCTGGCGCCGCAGGCCCGCGTGCCGCGTTCCTTCCCGCGGCGCTCGGCGACAAAGCGGGATCGTCGGTGCTGGGCAGGTACTCGCCAGCTGCGGCGGATCGGCAGGCGGCTTGTGTGCGTGGGGCCGCGGTCTGGCTGGGGTCCGACGTCAGCCGCGCCCAGGCCGCGCCTGGGCCTGGTTCCGGTGTTTAGCTCGTGTCGGGTTTTGTCTTCTTCTGCACTGGTAACTGACAGCAAACGATGGAATGTTGCTCTGGCCCTCTATAGGCTAGACTTTGATTTTTTTTTTTTTTTTTTTGTGTACTTATTAAGTTTCAAGTTTCTCTGAAGTCCTTTAAGCCCTTAAAATTACTTGCACAAAAAATCGTTATTTAATTGTGTAACATATTTTAGGTTTTCTTCAAAAGAAAGCTGGAAACAATTGTTTCCTAGTTTTGTAACAAAATATTTGGAAGTTGCTAACTTGAGTTTCAATTTAATTTGTAGCTATTTATTTCTGATGCTGGGCTAATTATGGTGAGGGAGCCGGAGAGTAACTGCACTTGGGGAGAAATGTCACCTGGCACTTGCCGGGTATGCAGCTGGGATCCCACCCAGCTCTGGTGACCCCATACTTCCAGAGTATCAGTGGTGATTTTTATAGAGCCTTAGAAGTATCTCATGTGACACTTGAAGGTTTATAAAAAGGGGACCCAAGGGTACAAGGTGGAAGGTCTTTGGAGGGCTGGTCTGAAAAGGAGTGCCTTTCAGATGTCCATACTGTAGTGGCCTCCACCACCCTGCCTGGGTCTTCAAGGCCAGTACTTTGTTTTGGATTTATTGGGACAACATAGTATAGCGGAGACACCTTTGTATTTGTACCTAAAATTCCTTTATGCCACCACAGAGTTTGTTGGTTAAGATCAGAGACATGGCACCAGCAACTCACACTGGCGAGACCCTATCTGGAAAAAACCTATCACAAGAAAAGGGCTAGTGGAGTGGCTCAAGGTGTAGATCAGAGACTTGGACCTAACGCTACTGTCAAGGTGGACAGGGAGTGACAGGCTCTGCTCTTAAAGATGTTCAAAGGGTTGTGGAACTTACAACAGAGGTTTGTACTGTGAGCTTTAGTTAAGTTTGGGTGAACATTAAAATTCAAGACAAGATGAGAAGTTTGAGAAAGCAAAATGGTCAGGACAGAGGTGGCACTTTAATCTGTAGAGGGACACCCACCAAGAAGAGTTCTTGAGTTAAGACATGGATGGAGGTTATTGGAGCCAGGCTTGAGCCATGTTTTCCCATGGGGCAGGAGCACAGAACAAGCAGGAGGGGGTGCTCCAGATGGGGAGCCAGACAGCTGCAGCTGTCTCTAATAAACAGTAAGGAAGGAAGGCTGTATTCAGTATGACACCATCAGGCCGTGAGTGGCCACGGGAAGTTAGCTCAAGGCTCAGGGCCCCAGTGACCTGTGAGTGGAGTTCCTGCAATCAGGGGAGGAGCCACAGGCTATGCAGATCTGGCACAGAGGGCTTGGAAGGCAGGTGGGGCTTCTAGGCAAACACTGCATTAAATCACTCAGCTATGTCTTATAAACTGCTTTTCATTATTTTCTGGGTTAGTTTAACTTTGTTTCCCTCTGCTGTACTGTGACATCCTGCAGGAAACTTTGTGTAAAATACAACCAGGACCTTTTGGTTTTTCATTCCATTTTTAGTGCTTTTATTCATATAGTTCAAGAAACATTAGCAAGCATCAGCCAGTTATTGATTTATTGGAGTGACCCTCTCAAGTTCTCAGTGGAAGCAAAAGAAAGCTCTAGCTCATGCATGGAGCGTGTTAAAAATGAGCCAGGTTTCACACGGAGTATATCTATGTGATACCTCCTAGAGGTAACCATAGTGCATCTTATCCCAGAGAAATTGCTGATGGATCTTTCTTTATCCTCTTTGAGTGAATTGTTTTGGTTTTTTTCCCCCCACATGATTTAATCCAACTCCAGTGGTTTGCTTAGGAGGACTTTGATTGGCTTGGTAGCTAAAAAGTACCTGGGAGCCCGTGAGCAGTGTAGGCTTTCAATGTAGAACTCATAAGGTGATTGATTCTCCACCTGTCAGTGCTGCTGGCCAGGCTAGCACAGCTCACGTGGAGCTTGCCCCAAGGGCGCCAGGCATCATGGGAAGAAAGCTCCTTCCCCATAGTCCCAGCATACTCCTGGGATTGAGTCTCCTCACTCCACTTAGGGTCACAGACTCATGTTCCCGTCTGAGCCCCTCACTGAGGAAGGACGTGGAATAGTGCACTGACCAAGCCTGGGGAAGTACCTAGCACAGGTAGGGAACTGAGGGTATCAGTGGGCTGGAAGAGCAGCCCACCAAAGCAGGGCCAGAGGGAAGGGCAGAGTCACCCCAGGAAAAATGATCTGCGGTGCTGGTTTTCAGCAAGAAGAGCATGGGTGCCAAGCAGCAGAAATAGACATTGCTGCACCCACCCAGATGGGTGATCAAAAGTCAGTTGTGTGACACTAAAACAGAGTAACATTGGAAAACTTGTTCTATTTTTTGTTTGTTTGTTGGGTGGCACTGGGGTTTGAACTCAGGGACTCAGGATTGGTAGGCAGGCGCTCTACTACTTGAGCCATTTCACCAGTCCCTCTGATATTTTGAAATGCCTTTTGAGTCACTAAGTCAGACTCTGTGTTCACTTTTGCACTTAATGTACTGTAATTCTGCTTTCCTTCTGGTCAAACATCATCACATAGCAATTATTGTTATGCTAGTGATTAAATGGTGTCTTCCCCTTGCTGTTGATAACTAGTTAACACACTGGTTGTTTTACTTTCCTTAACTCATACAGAGAAACTTTGTTCTTGCCTTGACAAAGTATCACAAAGTGGATGGCCGAGACCACAGAAATTTATTCTGGAGCTAGAAGGCTGAAATCAAGGTGCCAACAGGGCTGTGCCCTCTCTGCAGGCTCTAGGAGAGGAGCCTATGGCCTCTTCTAGCTTCTGGTGGTTTATAGCAGTTCCTGGCATTCCTCAAATAGTTCCAGTTTTTGCCTCCAGCTTCCCATGGGGTTCTCTGCATGTGTGTGTCTGTGTCTCTTCTCCCCTTCTTTTATGTGTGTATATTTTGTTTATTGGTTGGGGTTTTGTTTGTTTTGTTTTGTTGCAGTTATTGAGATTAAACTCAGGGTCCCACACATGCTAGGCAAATACTCTCCCATTGAGCTACACTCCCAGCCCCTTCTCTCCTTCTTAAAAGGCCACCTCTCACATTAGATGGGCCTACCCTTAGGACTCATGTTAACTAGATTATATCTGCAAACCTCAGATCATATTTGAAACCCTGTTTTCAAATGAGGTCACATTCACAGGTTTCAAAGGTAGGAATTGAACACTGTGGGGAGATGTAATTCAGTCCTCAACATAGGTCACACTTTCAAACAAATATTTGGAGTGAGTCAAGATAAATGGTACTTTAAGTAGAACTGGAAATTTCTATAAAAAGTGACAAAAACTAGACTCTTTCAAAGCAGTGGAAAATTCTGAATGCTTTATGAATTACCTTGTACATTAGCAATCCATGTTACATTAGTGAATTCCTTTAAAGAAATTTTCCCTACTCTTATAACCAGCCCAAGCTTGCAGAATGCCCCACAAGATTGGATTTGTAGTGGTCAGCTCTTCTGGACACGAAGACGGCTTCAGTGCCCGCGAACTGATGATCCACGCACCAACTGTCAGTGGGTGGAGGTCACCAAGGTAAGGCTGGACTCAGAGGAGAGATGGACTGGGAGACAGTGTCAGGGTCCTGAAGAGCATGTGGGTGGCTTTCATTTGGAGCTCTCATTTGTTAAGTGGACATCATGAACCACAGGATTGTCAAATTGTGCTTCAGTGTCTTACACCTTATTCTGTGATGTTTTCTTTTTTTATTTTTCTTTATGTTTTTAAAGGAAATTTGCTGAACGCTTTTCCCTTATGACATTAGTCCACACTCACAAAAATGTGCAAGAGCAGACATAGTGCTTCACATCTATAATCCAGCACCCCAGGAGGCAGGAGGATTGTGAGTTTGAGGCTAGCCTGAGCTGCATAGCAAGACCCTGTCTCAAAAGACAAAGGCTGGGGATGTAGTCCATTGGTAGAGCACTTGCCTAGCATGTGCAGGGTCCTGGGTTCAAACCTAAGCATAGGAAGGAAGGGAGGGAGGGAAAGAAAGAGACAATGTGTAAATACAGAAGAGAGAACCCCCCCCTCCACCACCATTGTCTATCCTATCCCTTGTCATGTGTGTGTGCATTGATTTTCTGTGCAAAGTGGGTTTTTCTGGTTTGGTTTTGTTTGGTTTTATGGTTGGGCACTTTATATATATATATTTATGTATTTACTTGGTTTTTTTTTGGTGGTCCTGGGGTTTGAACTCAGGGCCTCGAGCTTGCTAGGCAGGCGCTGTACCACTTGAGCCATGCTGCTGTCCTGGTTGGGCACTTGTATAAGAGTTGGCATCTGCTTTTACATGATAACAAGCTTCAGCAAAAAGTCTCTATCAAATTTCTCTTGAACATTTGTTCATGTGTAGAAAAACTTTCATTATTTTGAGAATTCATTTTATTCTCTGCAACATTTGCATGTTTTAAGAGGTCCTCAGCTAGGTGTGGTGGTATACACCTGTAATTCCAACTACTTGAAAGGTGGAAACAAGAGGATTGCAGTTTTGAGGCCAGCCCAGGTACAGTTAGTGAGACCCTATCTAAAAAGCAAGATGGACATGGTAGTGCACATCTGTGGTCTCAGCTACTCAAGAGAAGGAGGTAGGAGACTCTCAGTCCAAGGTCAGCCCTGGCAAAAGGTAGCAGGTGACCCCATCTGAAAAACTGTGGGGGTGTGGCTCAAGTGGCGAGGCCTTGGTTCCAATACCCAGTGGAGTGAGGTATGTGTCTTCAACTAACATAAGATCTGGCTTGTTGCTGAGTAGCCTGAGCAGGCCTCATGCACCTGCTGTTGCTTGCCCCATCCCAACTTCTGCCAAGGATTCTGGCTCCTTGAGACTTCTCCTCATCTGAGTGGACTGTTATTACTTTCTAGCTGTGAACCTGGAATTATGTAGAACATTTTCAATTCAGGCATAAAGTTGTGTCTTACTGGAAACTGTATGTAAATCACACTTAAAATTAGCATATGTTTTCCTTTTGGAGTCTTGGAGGAAATCCCACAAACAGGACTCCCTTTCCCTGCCTGAGCTGTGAGTGGAGAGATGGACATGAGGAAGTATATGAGGTGGAGCGGCCCCTGTTGCTGATGGTGCTAGTACTGCAGATGGTGAGCCTCTTGGCACTGCCCCAGACACCCCTCACCTGCCAGTCCCAAAGTGTTAGCCAGGCAGCCCTTCCCAGGGCACAAGGGGGAGCATCCATGCCCCAGCCATGCCCACTCTCCTTCTGGTTCCCACCCAGTGGGACCAGGCTCCCCTATTCCCCAAGTAGGGAAACATGGTGCTTTCACTCCCACCCTGGGCGCTTCTCTTCAATAGAAGTCAGTAACGTAGCTACATCAATTTGGGGATTATGTGCAGCCTACAAGTTGTTGAATAGAAGACAGGGCCCCCTTTTTGGTAGTGTTTATGAAAATAACACTGCTGTGGCACTGCTGTACATTGACATAGCATTTTTTTTAAGATTTTAATTTCTGAATATCTGTACATGTACATCAGTATTTTCAGGCTGTGAAATTCAAAAATGGCAATCATCTGAATACACTTAACACTAAAGGTTAGGCAGTTCTAACAAGTGTGAAAAACAACATATTTGTAATAGAATTTGGACATTTAAAACAAACTTCTTAAAATTTCTGGAAAGAAATTATTCCAAGCATTCCACATTATAAAATACATACTTGAAATATAGTGAATCTACAAATTTTTAGCCACTACTTTAGATTTTTGTAGTCTTCATAGCCAAAAAATAATCTATAAAAATAAGTGCACAGCCAAAGGGGTATTATAAACAGAAATGCACTAGAAAATAAATACAAACACATATGATCTTGTAAATTCAATAGTGGTTTTTCACACAAGTAATAAAAATGTGAGGAAAAAAGACCCACAGAATTGTACTGTTATAGATGTTCTCTTAATTGCTTTCGAGCTTATTACCTGTCCTTTTCTATTGATTTGACTTTTACTATGATTCAGCTGGACTGCATTTATTCCTCCTAACCTAGTAAGTAATGAAAGGTGGCCATGATTTCTGAAAGAGTAAAGTGAACTGAATGAAGGTCCCATGGGGACCTGTCAGCAGCAGTAAGATGACTTTTCTTGGCTCCCTTATTCAGCAGTTGGGATTTTGGACTAGATGACTGTAAGGTTTCCACTTGGGCCATGCTGCTCCAGCTTCTGCAGTACACTAGTGATTGGCTTTTTGCATTTCTTGTCCATTTGTCCCTTGGGAAAGCTTATGGCAGATGTTTCAGAGATCATTCAGAGAAGGACCAGTACAGCACTTAACTGTTCTAGAGCACTTAACCCTCTTTTCTTACACATCATCATTGGATGGACCAGAGCTGCCTTCAGTGCAGGGCTCAGTCTTACACGTCATCATTGGATGGACCAGAGCTGCCTTCAGCGCAGGGCTCAGTCTTACACGTCATCATTGGATGGACCAGAGCTGCCTTCAGCGCAGGGCTCAGTCTAGGTAGCAAAGGCATAGCTTTTTCAGGAGCTCCTTTGACCATCAGTAACTCTAATACCCTTCTTTGACATAAAGTTATATGGATGTCTCTCTCAGATCCTCAGCTGAAGTAGTAAGAAGAGAATCAAATGGAAGAGTTTCAGAAGAGCATCCCCAGTGTAATCTGTGTTTTCAGAGCCTGTACCACTCTGCAGGAATACCTTTAGAATAAATAACTGCGAATGCAGAAGGGGCTCGTGACTTCTGCAAAAGGGTTCATTGCTTTAGGGTTAAGTTTGTCACTTGGTTAAGGATGAAGTTTTTGTGCAGACTCTGTAGAACTGGTAAACAAGGAAGATTTAGTTTTGTGTGTGCACTCAAGGATGTCCTTCAATCCAAGTTGTCTGTTACTCTGTTTCTCAGCTGCACACTTCCAAGGATTGCTTCCCTTTTACTCCCTGCCTCTCTCGCACGGAGATCTGCACTCCACTGACCCAAGTGGGACATCTGCCCAGCTCTCTGCCAGTGCCACAGGGGGAAGGAGATTCCTCCCAGCTTACACACTCAGCACTGCACCAACACAGTATTTCTTTAAGGGCTTAACCATACTCCTTTTAGTAACATGCTCCCAGAGGATTTACCAAAGGAAAGGATGTGTGGTGACCACACAGACTTACACTGGGTTTGCCTCAGTGGCCTCCTGACTTCCTTGAGGTCAAGCACATAAAGAGAAGACAAAGGAAAATACCCTCAAAGCAAGTGTGGTAAGGATGAGGCAAGGTGCTCTGTCACCATGGGTTACAGAAAGTGTGCTGGGGCAGGATGCAGATAGATCAAGAGGTGGTTCTGAAGGGAGTAAGGAAGTTCCTGCTGTGCTGTCCTTAGGACTTGTATTCAGAGAGCCCAAAGTCTCCAGAGCAAGGTGCTTCTCCCAGAGAGCTGGGGGAAGACCAACAGCTCACACCCTGCACTAGCCTCTTTGTTTCCAATTGGCTTTTATTCAAGAGACCTCTCTCTGTCCATTTGATACATGCTGCTCTTTTTAATATTCAGCCTGCAGGGTGTTTTTGACTCATCTGTGATCTGTTTACCAGATATCCTTGATGATGTGATTTTTGCTAAGTTCTAGGCCTTTTGGTTTTTTGATGGATTTTTAGAAGTAGCACTTAATAGTTTTGTTTTTGTTTTTGTTTTGTTTTTAATGTTTGCAGTGCTGGGGATGGAACCCAGGGCCTTGCACATGCTAGTCAGGTATACCACTGAGCTACAGCTCAGCCCCATTTCATCACAAATTTTTTAAAGTATACAGCTTCAAAGTTTTGTCAGTTGTCTTAGCTTTGTTAAGCATTTGGCAGGTTTTTTATGATACAGGTTTCTAAACAAGAGATCACTGTAATAGATCACTGATGGTCCTTGTTCTTAGAATGATCTTGCCTCAAACATCAGAAGTGCCTTTGTTAAAATCAGTGAAGATCTTCCACGTCTCAAGCAGCCCAAGAGTCCACTTCAAAAACCAAGTTGTTTGCTCTTCTGCCCTCAAATGCATCTCCATATAGCCTTGGCATCTTTGAAAATGTGTTCGGAAAAACTAGTGGGTATGGTCCCCAAACCACACAGCACAGAGCCCTTGGTTCTGAGCCGCTATGCTCTCCCAGTCACCGTCTCACATGGCGTCCTTCTAAGTTCAGTTTCTGTGCAGAGACAGAGGTAAAGATTTCCACAGCCCCATTTAGTCTGGTGGTCCCTTCCTCTGTTCTTCCTGCCAACAGGCACAGGCATGGCTGCAGCTAACTGCATCTGAGCAGTGATCATATAGTAACACATGCAGAGCGCAGACCGAGGTGGCTTTACCTGTTGTCTTGTGGGACACTTACGGATGTGATCTGAATCTCTGACTGGCTTGGGCCATGGGGTGGGTGACAAGCTGGGACCAACAGTCCTGTTTTGTCTGTCAGGCTTGGTGCCTTTCAGATATCTTTGGAAATGCCAAGTCCCCCCTAGACTAGAGGCAGCAAGCTGGGGCACTGCCTAGGTGGAGCTGCTTGACAAGCAGGGGTTTTCAAAGCTGTGGGACTAAAAAGAGAAGGGAGCCTGAGGCCCAGTCCTGGGGCACATTCAAGACTAGGCAGAGGGAAGGGGAGTATGAGGGAGGAGGAGGACCAAGGAAGAGAGGCATCATGGACACCTGGGCAAGCAAAGTGTTTGGGCAGTGTGGGCAGTTATGTGGACTGAGCAAGGTCACGACCAAGGAAACACGGTACTGGCATCATTGAAGCCCACGGTAGCCTTCACAAGGGCCACCCATGGGCAGCTGGAACTGGGCTCTGTTGCAGGGTAATGGGGGGGATAAGGAAGATAACAAAGTTGCCATGGTGACATTTGCTGAAGGGGCCACCTGGAGAGGGGTATGGAGTCATCGAATGGGATCCACAGTATGTTCGTGTACAGCGGAGATGCCCACAGAGGCCCTATCCTCACAGTGGCCACAGGTGGGTCCGTGTGCACAGGTAGGGCTCTGTCCAATGGCAAGAGGCATGGCAGCAGGGAGCACTCCAGGCAGAAGAGCCTAGAGGAGTCTCACCTGATCTTGAGTTTTCTGGATGGAGTGTGAGGCAGTCATTCAGGCTTCTGGGAAGAGAGGTGTGGCCAGTAGGTGGCCACATGTACCCAAGAGTCACCGAGCTAGCACAGTGGTGGTGGGAGAGGCCTTTCCTGACTGCCCATCCTGCAGAGCTTCCTCTGCTACATGTGCCCATGATGCTCCATGTTCTACTCCAGGGCCTGTTAGCTAATGCAGGCAGCACTGTCCTTCAAGGATCATGCTGCGCTGCCTTGGTCATGAGTGTCCAGTGCGGCATGAGGCCCTTGCTGACCACTGAGGTGCTCCAAGCAGTTGTTATATTTTAGTGCTTAATGTGGTTTGTTACTTCTGAGCAGAATTAGAAGCTCCACTTGTGCTCTAAGGCAGGCTTCTCCTCTGGAATAGACCTGGCAGGACCCCCAAAAGCAAGTGCTGTCCTTGAGTACAGCACTGCACTGTGGGAAAGCCCAGGACTTTGCCCCACTGTACAGCCCCTTAAGAGTAATTGGTTTGTTTGTGTCCTGGGAAATTTCAGGTTCCACCTCAACCATTAGTCTAGCTGCCAAAAGTAGGGTTTGCTCTGGGGAGCCGACAGATCCAGTCAACCCAAGTCCAGACCCCAGCTCCACCACTGAAAAGCACAAGAAAATGTCACAGCCACCTTCTCAGGAACTCATGGCCACCCTGCATGCACACCCCACACACTGTGTTGTTCACGTGCTCCTGCCTGAAGCATAACATCTGAGAACTCTGTAGGCATTGCTCAGAAAAACAAGGATGTACTTGCTTTCAGGTTCTGCCAGTTTCCACAAGAAATTGTTCTTCAGATGGTGGAGAGATGTCGAATTAGAAAACTCCAATTACTCGCTCACCAATACATGATTTCAAGTAAGATTGAGTTCTACATTAGTGAGAGCTTGCCGGAATATTTTGTACCTTACCAAGCAGAGCGGTTTCGCAGACTTGGGTAAGAATGAAATTAAAATTTGTAGTGTTGACTTTTAGCCTAGCCATTGCTACCTCAAAACTCTTAAGAATTAGTGGGTTACCCCTTTTGGTCCTGTGTGACATTCTTAACACCCACCTCATATTTAATGTGTTTAGTAAGAGTGCTTTGTTTATTAGTTCCAGCATCCAACTCTCCTTCACAGGTAGAGAGCTTTTCTCAAGAATACAAACTAGAGGGCTGGGTGTAGTAATGCAAGCCTATAATCTCAGCTACTAGGGAGACAGACAGGAAGATCAAGGTTCAAGTCCAGCCTGGGAAAAAGGACAAGACCCATCCTGAATAACAAACAAAACAAAGGGTGCTGGAGTTGTAACTCACGTGATAGAGTGCTTACTAGGCAAGCATGAGGTCAAGTTCAAAACCCCAGTACTGGCAAAAAAAAAAGATTAGAATTTGACTTTGGAGCTGGGCACAATGGCCTCCATCTATGTGGGAGGCAGAGATCAGGAGGATTAAAGTTTGAAGAAAGCCCGGGCCAAAAGTTAGCAAGATGCCATCTCAGCCAATAGCTGAGCATGGAGGTGCACACCTGTCATCCCAGCTGCACAAGAAGTGTAAATAGGAGGATCGAGGTCCAGACCAGCCCAGGCATAAATAGGAGGCCCTGTCCCAAATATAACTAAGAGCAAAAAGGGCTGGGGGGCATGGCTGAAATGGTGGAGCACCTGCCTAGCAGACGAGAGTCCCTGAATTCAATCCCCAGTACTGTAGGAAGGAAGGGTGGTGGGTTGGCATTTGACTTCCAAGGTCTGTCACTCTAGGCTTGGCTCTTAAACCTGTTGAGTTCAGTAGGAGTAAGGGGCAGTTTTATCATCAAATCAACATATTTTTCATCATGCTTTTCCTTTCAGCTACGTCTCTCTCTGTGACAACGAAAAGACAGGTTGCAAAGCTCGGGAGCTAAAGTCAGTTTACGTGGATGCAGTTGGGCAATTTCTTAAGCTGATTTTTCATCAAAACCATGTCAACAAATACAACATATATAATCAGGTATGACTGACTCTGTGTCCTGACTCTGCTCCCACCTCACTGGGGTCTGCATGCTCAGTGTTTTCTTACACGCACATTCAAGACTTTCTTGCAAGAAGGCTCTTCTATGTGTGACCGTTGCTCTCTGAAGCCATGTGTTCCCTACAGCAGTGCCAGGGATGCAGCTGTGGCACTCAAGAATTGCTGTGGGCATTAGCAGGACACAGGACTTCAAACACTTAGGAAGAGAAGACTGTGAAATAGTCCATCGAAGTTTTCATGTCAGTTACATGTGATAACATAATATTTTGGTAAAACCAGTTCCACCTGTTTCTTTGTAATTTTTGTAATGTGCCTGCCAGAAAAGAAGACATCGTGGCTGGCAGTTTGCCATTCTGAACAGCACCATTCTAGCTGAGCTGTTATGAGAGGGTCCCCAGGGGGAAACCAGGACATGTGTAGGTATGAGCAATCCAGCAACTTTCCAGCTCCAGCACTGGTTCTTAATCTCTCTTTACTGCCCACCCATCCTTTCTTCTGATTGGTCGGTTAGAAATCAATTGTCCAAAACAATCTTGTTAGCACAAATTTTTGCACAATTTCTGGCCCCTCCAACAGGAATAGAAGCGTGCCAACAAATGTCATTTTTGTACTGACTGAGCAAATGATGGAAAGACAGCCCTACACCTCAGCTATGTTGCCTGGTCTGTTGCAGTATTGGTTAGCAGAAAGTTGCAGGAATGATTGGTGACCTTTTTTGCTTCCTGCACCCCATCTGTATGTGTCAGCCAGTGACAACTGGTTGAGCACTTCAGCTGTAGTTCTCTGTGGGTGGGGAAGTGACTCCTTCCCTGATGCCTGGAGTAAGCTGAGCTATGCTCACTTGGGTTTGCATCTCATTGTCTAATTTACCAAGACTATGTGGAATGGTCCCTGTACTCAGTATGGCCTTGAACAGATGGTTCTTATGAGACTATGTTAAACCTTTAGGGGCTTTTAGCCATTATTGTTCTAACATTCTTGAAGTGGTTAAAATAGCCACTTGGTTTAGCATTGGAATACTAGCTACTAGCTTACATAATTTATTTTTAAGTTAATAACACATCTAAGCTGGATGTTGGTGGCTCATGCCTGTCATCCCAAGCACGTGGGAGGCTGAGATGGTGAGGATCATGATTGAGGTCAGCCCCAGTGGAAAAAAAAAGTTCTGAAGACCCCATCTCAACAGAAAAAGGCTGGGTGTGGTAGCACCCACCTAGCATCCCAGCTATGACCAGAAGCAAGAGCCTGTCTCCAAAATAACCAGAGTAAAAAGGGCTGGATGCATGGCTCAAGTGATTGAGCACCTACCTAGCAAGTGCGAATTCCTGAGTTCAAACCCCAATACCACCAAAAAAGAAAAAGTAATAGTTCTGTACATTAGTGTAATACTTCACAATTAATGCACTTTGATACCCTGTTGATAACCCTTAGGTCAGTTTGTTGTAAAGGGTTTAAGGCTTCTCAAACGAACATTTTACACTTAACTCGTGTTGACTTAACTCTTTCTTAGGTTGCTTTGGTTGCAATAAATATCATTGGAGACCCTGCAGATTTCGGTGATAAGAGCAATATTGTAAGTTTGGGATATCTAATTCCTAAGGAAGACAGTGTACTTCTATTTGGGGGGAATCATTTATTTTCATCACAAAAAAGTGTCATTTTGAAAATCTTTATAGAACTAACTAGTGAATGTATTTAGCAGCTATAACTTTTCTTTTGATCAGGAACTTTAGCTATCCCTCCAAAAGATTAAGATCACCAAATTTTGCTGCAACTTTCTAGCAAATAATTGTAAATTAAGAGTTTGTTTTGTCTGTTGTTTGCTGAGATTCTAAGCAGATGTTTTGCTCCCACAGACCTCTAGAGAGAAGCTGATTGACCATTATCTTGGGCACAACCCTGAGGACCCAGCCCTGGAAGGAACTTATGTTGGGTAAGAGCCCTCCCCACCCCACAAGAAACTAGCAAAACTACCAAAGTGTCAGCCATATCCAAAGCTTCTAGACTTGGGGCCTCTGAACTCAGTGTACAGCTGGATAACCACTGACTGGATTGTCTTACGTACACATGAAGCTTAAGGCCACCATGGTGTTTCACACACAGCACTGCTGCCCTTCAGAGACCACATCAGTCCTGGCGTTAGGCATTAGCCCAGGTCTCACACAGTCAGATGAAGCCCTTTCAGCCACCCTTTAACATTTCATCAACATAGGCAGATGCATAAGTAAAATTCAAAGGTAGTCATTGGCCCAAATTGTCACTCATTCAAGACACCATTTTATAGCTAATTTTAAAAGTAAATGAATATCATATAAGTTTTTAAAAAGCACAACTTTTACCAATCTCTCTTCCTAATAAATCATGTTAACAATTGAATGTACTTCTTTTGCTGCCTCTTTTTTTATCTTATTTTTTGCAATGTTGAGGACCCTTGGTGGGTCAAGAATTGGAGGAGCTAAAGAGCCCAATAGCACCATCCTCTATCACCTTCTCTGCCCTGGGTGCATCAGGGCAGGAGGGCCTGAGTTCAAACCCAGTACCATAAAGAAAGAGAGAGAGAAGGGACCTGCTGTTCATTACAGCACAGGCCCCATTCCAAAAGTGCCCTGGTCTAAAGACAAGAGGAATTTAGAACAATACTTAGCCCAGTGTAGGGGTACACACCTGTAATCCCAGCCCTCAGAGGCTAAGGCAGGATGACCAAGTTTGAGAGCAGCCTGGGCTACAAAGCATTACAAAGCGTTGTCTCAAACAAACGAAAAAACAATACCTAGTTCCTCCTCTTGACAGCAGCTTTCCAATAAACAAATTAAACTTTAACAGAAGCTTCAAGTTTGCCCACCATATTTGGTGATCAGAGCGTGGACAGGAAGTAATTAGTATTTGAGCCATTTGTAAGAAACATCAGGTAGCATCTCCCTGCGGCTGCTCAGGAGCCATTTGCTGTTTGCCAGCTCTGCCCGTCAGTGGGCGTTGAGTCACCTTCTCACAGAGCCTTCCCAATCTTCAAAGGCCTCAGCCTGAGACAGCTGGTGGAGGACGAGGAGAAGGGCAGGACTGTCTGAGGCGCTGTGAGTATGGAACGCTTAGGATGTGCATAGAAACAATGACGAGTACGAGAAGCCCCCATTCTCATACTCTCACTCAGGGTCCTCTAGGCCTCCTGGAGGAGCAAGGGCCCCTCTTACCTCTTGCAATGGCCATCCAAAGCCCTTGGGGACCGAGCAGCTCACTCTCCACTGAGCACTACCACGATGGCCACACTTGGCTCCTGCCTTCCTTGAAGCCTGATCCATAGAAAAGCAGCAGCCAAACCAAGGATGCTGTTAGCTCAAGATTGCCAATAGAACTTCTTTCCTGTCCCATCAGCTGGGTGGGCACAGAATGTAGCTTCCCTGTCCTGCCTTGCTCCACTTCCCACACCCCCAGGTCTAGGAAGACTGATGAGAGGTTTGTGAGAAGCCACCCTTGTGCCTAGTACTGGACTTCACTGGTCATGAGAACCCATCTGCTGCTACTGGGGTTCTTCTGCCTGAGAGCAAGTGGGCAGCACCCTAGCTGCTGTGACTTCCCAGGGGTGCTGACTGCAGAATCATGTCACAGTCAAATGAAGTCTTCCTGTTCATCTCTGGGACTTCATGGCAAAGTAACTCAGACTCAGGAGTTTACTATGTGATCTGCTAAAAATAGTCAGTGTGCTAGATTCACAAGTGTGCATCACCATTCAGTCAGCCCTGACACTAACTGACCCTGTCCAAAGCCATTGCAGCCAGCCTACTGGGCTTCTTGGGTTGCTTTGTTGTGAGTGCTAGGATTGCAGGGGTGCACCACCCTGCCTACCTCAGGACATGGGAATTTTGCAGGTACTGTATTCCTGAGTCCCACTTGAGTTTATTATTATACAGGATTACCAACTCAACTTTTCATGACAATATTTTAATTAAAATTTACCTATCTGTAAAGACCCCAGTTCACAGCCAATCACTGGCACACCATGTAGTTGACACAGTGTTGGGAGACTCTGAAATTGGTCCCCTGTTGAGTTTCTGTTGAGTGCTTGGGCATGCACTGTTGCTTCAAGAGGTAGCTTCTGAAGAACGTTGATTGTTGCCCTACTGTACAATTTGCAAAAAGAGGCACTAGTTACTCAGAAAGAGGGTATTCTGGTAAATAAAAAGACCTTCTTTGGTCTTCTGTAGAATTTGTGATTGATATCATTCACTTTGACTCTGAGTGTCACTCTCAGTGGCAGCGATTGTGAACCTTTTGTGTTCATCAGAATTACCATAATATTATCACGACATGGGCGCCTGGGCTCCACTGCTGCTCCAAATCACACTCTTTGGAGGTGGGGCCTAGTTGCGGGCTCTGTTCTTTTCTTTCCCCATCAGCATCTGATTCAGGCACTGTGCTGCCCCCTGTGCCTCCACCTCGCCTGGCCCAGATCTGCTCTCAGAGCACTTGCTAAGTGAACAAGTGAGTGAGTGAGTGAGTGAGTGAGTGAATGAATGAGTGAGTGAGTGAGTGAGTGAATGAGTGAGTGAGTGAGTGAATGAATGAGTGAGTGAGTGAGTGAACAAGTGAGTGAATGAATGAGTGAGTGAGTGAGTGAACAAGTGAGTGAGTGAATGAGTGAGTGAATGAATGAGTGAGTGAATGAGTGAGTGAGTGAGTGAACAAGTGAGTGAATGAGTGAGTGAGTGAGTGAATGAGTGAGTGAGTGAATGAGTGAGTGAGTGAGTGAATGAATGAGTGAATGAGTGAGTGAGTAAATGAGTGAGTGAGTGAATGAGTGAGTGAATGAGTGAGTGAGTGAGTGAGTGAGTGAATGAGTGAGTGAGTGAATGAGTGAGTGAGTGAATGAGTGAGTGAATGAATGAGTGAGTGAGTGAGTGAATGAGTGAGTGAATGAGTGAGTGAATGAGTGAGTGAGTGAATGAGTGAGTGAGTGAGTGAGTGAGTGAATGAGTGAGTGAGTGAATGAGTGAGTGAATGAATGAGTGAATGAGTGAGTGAGTGAGTAAATGAGTGAGTGAGTGAGTGAGTGAATGAGTGAGTGAGTGAACGAGTGAGTGAGTGAACGAGTGAGTGAATGAGTGAGTGAGTGAATGAGTGAGTGAGTGAACGAGTGAGTGAATGAGTGAGTGAATGAGTGAGTGAGTGAGTGAATGAGTGAGTGAGTGAACGAGTGAATGAGTGAGTGATTGAACGAGTGAGTGAATGAGTGAGTGATTGAACGAGTGAGTGAGTGTATGAGTGAGTGAGTGAACGAGTGAGTGAACGAGTGAGTGAGTGAATGAGTGAGTGAATGAGTGAGTGAATGAGTGAGTGAGTGAGTGAGTGAACGAGTGAGTGAACGAGTGAGTGAATGAGTGAGTGAATGAGTGAGTGAGTGAGTGAATGAGTGAGTGAGTGAGTGATTGAACGAGTGAGTGAGTGAATGAGTGAGTGAGTGAACGAGTGAGTGAGTGAACGAGTGAGTGAGTGAGTGAACGAGTGAGTGAGTGAGTGAACGAGTGAGTGAACGAGTGAGTGAGTGAGTGAACGAGTGAGTGAACGAGTGAGTGAATGAGTGAACGAGTGAGTGAGTGAATGAGTGAGTGAACGAGTGAGTGAGTGAACGAGTGAGTGAGTGAATGAGTGAGTGAATGAATGAGTGAGTGAATGAGTGAATGAACGAGTGAGTGAGTGAATGAATGAGTGAACAAGTGAGTGAGTGAATGAGTGAGTGAACGAGTGAGTGAGTGAATGAGTGAATGAGTGAGTGAGTGAATGAGTGAGTGAGTGAATGAATGAGTGAATGAGTGAACGAATGAGTGAACGAGTGAGTGAGTGAATGAGTGAATGAGTGAGTGAGTGAACGAGTGAGTGAGTGAGTGAACGAGGGAGTGAGTGAGTGAACAAGGGAGTGAGTGAGTGAATGAGGGAGTGAGCGAGTGAATGAGTGAATGAGCAAGTGAACGAGTGAGTGAGTGAATGAGTGAGTGAATGAGTGAGTGAGTGAGTGAGTGAGTGAATGAGTGAGTGAGTGAGTGAGTGAGTGAATGGGCTCCCACAGCTCGCAGCCTGCTGTGCAGTTCCACTAAGAGTCAGGAAGGAGCCCCGGAGCGGAAAGGCTGCTCTCGCTTGAGCACCCATGACCCTGAAGGCTGCCTGGCTTCTCTGAGCCTCACGCAGCCCTGCAGGAGGCATCCTAAATGCATGTGGCCTTCCCCCAGCTGTCTGTTCAGGGAAGCTCTCAGGGACTTGCCTGCTCTGAAGTGATCCCTTCTCTCCTCAGGAGACCTGACCACATTTCCCCCCTCGATGACTTGGCTTTCGACATGTACCAGGATCCTGACGTCGCCCAGATCATACGCAAGCTGGACGAGAGGAAACGGGAAGCTGTCCAGAAGGAGCGTTATGACCATGCCAAGAAACTGAAGCAGGCGATCGCTGACTTACAAAAGGTGCTACTCTGAGAAGCCTTCCTCCCTGCCTTCCCCGTGGTGATGGGTCTTCTGTTACTGCCACAACTACAGAGGAGCAGGGTCCTGAATGCCCCCAAGTCAGTGTGGGAACAAAAGTCTCAGCCACGCAGAGTTGAGGACATGTTAGCATCTTGAAGGTGTCTGTGGCACAAGCTCTCCACTGCCACCTCAGGAAGCCGGGATCCTTACATGTGCTGCAGGAGACTGTGGGAGAAATGCCATCTCAGAGCCTATGTGGAGTTCCTGGCTTTACCACCTGCAGCAAGCATTCGGACCCTTGGGAGGCACATGGCCCTGCCTACAGAGCTCCGTGCTCCGCCCTACTCCATGCAGGATTCAGGCAGTCACTGCCCTGCCATTGGAGTGCCACTCCAGCCTTCTTTGCACTTGCGAGATTGATCTACATGTTGAACAAAAGACCTCTGTTCTGTGCCACAGGTTGGGGAGCGCCTGGGGAGGTATGAGGTGGAGAAGCGCTGTGCCGTGGAGAAGGAAGACTATGACCTGGCCAAGGAGAAGAAGCAGCAGATGGCACGCTACCGTGCCCAGGTGTATGAACAGCTGGAGCTGCATGGCCTCCTACAGGGCGAGCCAGAGGTCAGGGTGGGCTGTGGGGGGTGGGGGATGATTGTTCAGAATGTTGAGTGCGGCTTCCTGTGCGCAGCAGGCGGGATTCTACAGTGATGTGATCTCTGAGGATTCACAGTAGAGGAGGAAGGGAACAAGCCCCAGGTCAGATAGGACAAGACGTTGCCACTTGTCAGTGAGCTCCTCTTCCCCCTAGCTCTGGTACCTCTATGAGGTATAAGGAGAAAATGCAAAATGCATCTGAACAGCCTCAGGAAGTGGGGGCAGGTTTCAGACCCATCATTCTGCCCATCAGCTCATACAGATGGTAGTCACTCACGTGGCAGGTGAGGAAGCTGAGGCCCTGAGACACCCAGGACAAGTGGAGAGTGCAGGGTGCCAGCCCCCCCATTTCTGGTTGCTGATCTCAGGCTAGTGCTGTTGGGCTGTGGGCCTCCACCTTCCCAGTCAGAGCCCCTGAAGCCCTCAGTGCCACAACAGGTGCGTGACTACCAAGTCAGTTCTGCTCATCGGCATTGTGAGGAATCGTTTGACCTGCTCGTGAAGAGCAGTGCCCAGGTCTGGTCGCAGGTACCTCCTGCCCACCGTCCTGCTTCTCCCCAGACGCATGCTGTGTGTGCTGTGCGCAAACTCCCATGTGTGCCCTGGGGTTTGGGTGTGAGTGGCGGTTCTGCAGCCCACCGTAACACAGAGACAGCTGAGGGGATGTCACATGACAGGATGTGGGAGTAGGACATCTGCTCTCAGGAGCTTTACTCCTTTCGAGACCTCGGCACGCTGAGGATTCTGTCTCAGCACCGCCTTCCTCCAGTCACTCATCTGGGGACAAGACATGTGGCCGGGGTGGTCACGGCCTTTTAAGTGCAATGTCCCTTCCTCTCCTCCAGATGCGAAGGTCTTTCACTTTGCCCCTCCAGCCCCTCATGGATCCCAGCAGTCCTCGCTGCCAGAAGCCAGTGGCCTCGCCACCACGGCCAGGAGAGATGGTAACAGAAAACCCACGTGCAGCCCCTTTCCTCCAGGAGAAGCCCTCGTCACATGCTCTGACTCCTCCTCAGCTCTCTGCCATGGACCTGGATGAGTCACCGCCCACTGCAGGGCCCCTACCACGGAGCAATGTAGGTAAATCCACCCAGCCTGGTACACGGTCTACTCATCAGTGGTTTATGCGAGGCCCACGTTGTGCTGATCCAGCGCATGGGATGCAGGAGGCCCCATGTGGCCAGGCCCACTTCCCCTGCAACCTAGAAGGGAGACAGGAACACTGTGACCAGAGTAGAACAGAAGCAAGAGCCAACTGGCAGGGCTGGCGGTGTGGCTTAAGTGGTAGAAGGCTTGCCTCGCAAGCGTGAGGCTCTCAGTTCCACATATAGGTATGCATGTATATAGTTCTATGTTACCTATATAAGCCAGTTGGCCACAGCCCGTGAGAGGCACTGTCTTCTGTCCATGTCTGCCTCTGTCACCTGTGGTCTCACATGTCCTTCTGCCTTCTGAGTCTCTGCTTTTCTCTGTAGGAATGTACATCTGCTTAAAACATTTTTGCAAGGATAAAAGAGGGTATTTGTAAAGTGCCTACATGTGAACTAATCACCCAGCATAGTCAGCCAGCGGTTACTGTGACTGTCAGAGCTTTGTTGTAACAGAAAACCTGACTCAAACCAGGAGTTTGACTGGTTGTTGTAACTGGGAATGTAAGAGATGGTGTGGGTTTTAGGGTCACCCTGAGGTTGATTGCTGTTACAGCAGCACCTCATGCATCTGAGGGATAGTGTACATCCCAGTCTAAGCAGGAGTCCTCACCCTGTTAGATCAGCCTCAGTCTTACTCCCCAGCTGGATCAGAGGAGGAACACATGGTGATTGGCCCCTGAGGGACTTCTGGGTATTATGTAGGGAAAGAGGAAGGGCCACTTGTGCCTCAAAACATGTCTGCTGCAGCTGCAGAACAGAAGGGGCCTCATGCCCATGTGTCTGACTTACAGAGGTAACATCCCAGGGAGGCACACCTGTCACCTCCTCGGTAGCATAATCTTTGTTATGCCAACATCTACCCTGGTTTGCCTGCTCCATGTTTATAAGTGAGTTCATTCTGGAACAGGAGAAACAGTCTCACACATGCTGTATACTCACCCACTATCCCAGTCAGTATTGAGGATGCAGATGATGGCTGCTACTTCAGTGTCTTTGTGTCACCGCCTCAGGAAGTGAGTCAGGTTGCTCCCACTTTCCGTTCTCACTTATTTACCTGAAATTCTGCTCCATCCTCGCTTTTTTAATTGTACACCTTAGTGTCCCCATGAGACCAAGCCCGTGAGGACGGGAAACCCATTTTCTTCTCTGCTCTGTGCAGTCACCAGGAACAGTACCTGTCTCAAGTTAGGTGTGGTAAGGCTTGCTGGAGTAAGGGGCAAATAGAACGGGCAGCGGCCTGGCCAGGGTGCTGGTCTGAATGCAGAGAAAGCATTGACTTTGGCCAGCAAATAAGGAGCATGCTCATTAAAATCAGGTTTGGTGGTTTATTCTAAGCGACAAACTAAGAAAATATTAACAATCCTGTCAAAAAAAAGAATGGAATGGGCTTCACCTTGATACTTCCTGTGCCAGTTGAGCTGTAGTCACGACCTTTCAGTGGAACTTATTTTAGCATAGTCAGGTTTTCTCTATCAGGGAAGCAGTATCTCTAATACGCATCTATTCTACAGAGGGCAATTAGTGCACACAGTGTACGTGCACACACACGTGCACACACACAGGGAAGGAAGGAAGGATGGTAAATAGTTAAGGCCAAATCTACATGGCTGTTTTATTATTATTATTACATTTAGAAAGGAATAGGAGGCCTTGCCTAATTTTCCTAGTCCGGTCTGAATTGTCGCATAAATTCTTTTAGTGTGATGATACAGAGATCTAGGAAACCACACCTTTCAGACCTCCCCTTCCCCCAGGAAGAGCAGAGCTGCTGTGGGAGCCACCACTCGGGCGAGCACCACCGACCGTGGCTTCACAGCTTCCTCTCCTCTCCCACACAGGTGGAGACTCTGCCCTATGATGAGCGACCTCTTCCAGCCACTCGCAAGCCGCAGGGGGAGTTGGGGGAGGCTGAAATGAGTGAGGCCGAGATCAGCAGTGCCCGGAGGGGCGGCATCACAGGAGAGCCGGAGGCCTTGACGGAGAAGGCCTTGAGAGAAGCCAGCTCTGCCATTGATGTGCTGGGCGAGAACTTGGTAAAAAGGAAAACCGAGCTGCCCACAGTGTATACGCGCATACATGCTCACCTGCACAGGAGGAAAAAGGAGGGAAGCGGCTCCCATCTTTGTTTTGGGGTTTTTTTATTCTTTTTTTGGCGATGCTGAGTTTGAACTCAGGACCTCTTGCTTGCTAGGCAGGTGCTCTACCACTTGAGCCATGCTGCCAGCCTGAGGCTGTCTTATAGAATGCCACTGATTTCCCTTTGGAAAGCCCCGTGTTATTAGTTATAGGAACTGCAGAAACATGGGCTGAAATCTCAAGTTTTGTAAATGAGCATGCATTTAAGATTGGGCACTTCTCTCTGGTACTCACTGAGCTCATGGTGAATGACAGCTCCCACCATGAGCACCAACTAATTCCAGTGAAAGTGTCTCTTTAAAGCAGCAAGCCAGGCTCTCCCCTGGGCCTCAGCTTTAAACACCTCTCTTGGTGGGCTTGCTACATTTTCAGTCAGGAAGTCTCCCTTTTAGCGAAACTGTCTCTAATATACATATTCACCCTTCAGAGGGCCTATTGCTAGAAAAGTTTCTTCTTAGTTTTAAAATACAAACCTGCCTCTGGGGGAAGTTTTGTGAGGTAAAGACACACCGCCTCCTGAAGTAATGCCAGACCCCTGTTTGGTGGCAGGTGGCTGGGGCCTATTCCAAGACGTGGTCCTGCAGGGAAGATGCGCTGCTTGCTTTGTATAAGAAGTTGCTGGAGATGCCCATTGGGACCCCAAAGGAAGATTTAAAGAGCACTCTGAGAGCAGCCATCTTTCTCACCAGGAGAGCCATAAAGGACATTGTAACCTCGGTGAGTCCCCTCAGCCCAGAAGCCCCAAGTCATGCTATTCCACGGTAGCCCAGAGCAGCTGAGGGACAGCCTGGCCCCGAAGGAATCCATCTTTACTCCTAGTGCAGCTAGGAAGGCGGGTTCTCTGGCAGGAGACGCATCCCACAGCCAGGGTTAGCTTTCCTCCCTCAAGCTCCTCAGCCTCGCAGTGTTTGCTTTTCCACAGTCCTCAAAACATACATGTGCAGAGGCCCAAGTCTCCACACCCAAGAGCTGCCATTCTTTTTGTAGCTCTGCATAGGTCTTAGAATGAGCATTTAAAAAAGAAAAGAAAAAGCCCAGATGTTAGGCTGGGGCTGGGGTGCACACTTGCCTAGCAGGTGTGACACCCAGGGTTTGTCCCCAGCAATGCCCAAGAACAATAGCAACAAACAGCAAAGAAGGAGCCTCCTCAGCCTCTCTCTGCCTGTGGGGTGAGGGGCCTGCAGAGGGGGCTGACATTGACTGGCCCTGTCAGGAGATAAGAGCAAGTATCTTGTAGGTGCGAGGTTCTGTATTTGGAAAGCAGTTTTCAGTTCACCCCTTTCAACCCTTCAGACAAGATGTCATTTTCAAAGTAGTGTTCACATTTATCACCAGCAGCAGATCTCTTGTGTGCTCTTGAGGAAATCCAACCATTGTAGCTCACTGTTTACTCCCCTTTTCCTTAGGTCTTTCAGGCTTCTTTGAAATTGTTGAAGATGATAATTACACAATATATTCCCAAACATAGGCTGAGTAAACTTGAGACGACTCACTGTGTGGAAAGAACCGTGCCTGTTCTGCTCTCCAGAACTGGGGATTCCTCCTCCCGCCTTCGCATCATGGCTTCAAATTTTATTCAGGTCTGAACTTCGCCACAAACATTCCTGCAGGTGTCTGACTCTACTCCAGGGCTGGATAACCAATCCTTTGACATCCGCCATCATGTTCTCCCTGTGCCGAAAAAGATTGATTGTGTCTTAGATGTAAACTTTGATTAAAATGTGCAGCTTGAGCTGGGTGCGATGGCTCAGACCTGTAATCCTAGCTACTTGGGAGGCAGGTATCAGGAGGACTGCAGTTCAAAGCCAGGCTAGGGAAATAGTTCACGAGACCCTACCTCTAAAAAAACCCATCACAAAAAAGGGCTGGCGGAATGTCTCAGGTGGTAGAGCATCTGCCCTCAGTTCAAACTCCAAGTACCACCAAAAATAAAAAATAAAAGAAATATGTAATGTGGTTTCTACAGCATTTCTCACAGTACCACCAAAGGGGGTTGGGGGAGTATTAGTGGCTACATAGAGAGATCCTGGCTCAAAAAAAAAAAAAAAAAAAATGACGCTAATGTTTTTTACCTTAACCCACTAGAGAATCAGACATTGTTATGCTCTTGGTCAACATTAAATGCAAGAGTAATGGTTCCAGCTGCAAAACTTCTTTTAGAATTTTAGAAACAGAAAACCTTTTTCAGGAGCTGGAGAACACTGAGAACAGAAACCCTCACCTTTTCCAAGGTTTTCTGTAACGCTGTCATCACTGCAAATGATCACGGTTTCATTTCTTATGCCCCAGAGTTTTGGTTTTAATTGTTTTGTTTTAAATGTAAATAGGAGCTTACACATTGACAACTTTACTGCACTTTATTACTTTCCTGTTATCTCCCTATTTTTCCCTTCAGTGTTGAGTTTGAAGGTCATGGTAAGCTGTCCTAAGTTACCGCCGGTGTTTTCCAGTGGGAGTGAACCTCTCCTGTGGCTTTTTGTAGGAGATGGCCTTGTTCAAGGAGGTGCGGCCTCTCCAGATCATTCCATCGTACTTGGTGCAGCCACTGAAAGCAAACACCTCCACTCATCTGGCCATGAGTCAGCTGGACCTCTTGGCCCGGCTGCTGAGAGATCTGGGCACTGGGAGCTCAGGCTTCACTGTGGACAATGTGATGAAGGTAAGCTGGCCTCATATAATGTGCCACTGTGGTGACACATCATTGTGACCCCACCGCAAAAACAGTGCCTGAGCTTGTTTGATGAGTGAATGAATGAACAACTCTAGAAAAATGAGCAGTTTCTCCCAATACTTGAGAGCACATGGAGTCTTCCTGCTGCTTATCATTCCTTTGTTGTATGTGCTGTGTATGGATCGTCATCCTGGGTGGGAAACAAGTCCTAAAAACACTCCTCGTAAGGCATAATAACTGCAGTAGGGATGTCCAGCATAGCTACCGTCACCCCAGGGACCAGAGGCCAGAGACCTCCAGGGGCCCCCCACCCCCATGACACTGTCACCCCAGGGACCAGAGGCCAGAGACCTCCAGGGCCCTCCTACCCCCATGCCAGCCTGCTGGCCCCTCCTAATGCTAAGAGGCAATCCTGCTTTGTTTTGTCTTGTTTTTGAGATAGGGTCTGTCCATGTGGCCCAAGCTGGCCTTGAACTTGAGATACTCCTGCCTCAGCCTCCCAAGTGCTGAGATTAGCTGGTGGAGTGGCTCAAGTACTAGAGCACCTGCCTAGCAAGTGTGAGGCCCTGAGTTCAAAACCCAGAACTGCAAAACAAAAAAACACCAAGTGCTGGGATCACACTTGTATGTCACCATGCCTAGCTTGATGTCAACATATTTCCTGCTTTAAGTTCAGGCTTCATGCCCCTCCAGAGCCAGGAAACCTGCTCCCCATACTCAGACGGCTGTGGCAGTGCCCGCTTCAAAACCAGTCCACCTTGGTTATGTCCTGAGGCAGTGACCAATGCTGAAATCTCATTGGGGTGGGTCCCTCCCACCATGTTCTCATTGTTGGCAGGGATGAGCAGTGTGACAGCTGTGCATGAGGAGGAAAGAATCTGCTTTGAACATGTGGCTGTGATCTAGTCCCTCCATATGTGGGTAGGGATGATCCAGATGGAGGGGAAAAGGAGAAATGGGTAATCAGGAGATGGGGTTGGGAACAGCAGAGCCAAATGGTGAGTGGCCAGGCATTGACTCAGACAGGAGCAGGGCCTCCTCTCAGGAGGTCAGCTGTAGCATAAAGTGCTCACTTCAAAGTCTGCATGGACTGATAGGGACCTGCCCAGTGTGCCCCTGACATGTGTGGTCCAAATCTGAAGTGAAAACAACCAGTGGGATCCTGGTGTCTGTGTCACATTCAGCTCAACCTGGTAGGAAGAAAGGGTCCAGGGGCAAGAGTGTTCATGAGTGCAGCAGTGGCTTCAGTGACTGTCTATACTGAGGGCAGTAAGGCTCAAGGGATAGACAGGGCTGATGAATGACTAGGGAAGGAGTACAAAACACCTGGCCTGGAAGTCAGAGCATGGGGCCCTCAGCCAGTATGTCTAGAGGTGATGGTGACCAGAAATGACAAAGCCTGAGATAGAACCCAAGAGGTGGGTTCTTCTAACAGGGTGAGCCTGTTAGAAGTGCTGAAGCCCAAGAACCAGGAGGCCAACGCCCAATGGACCGTTTTTTTTCTAAGCATGATGGTGCCAGGCTAGGATGTATAAACACATTGCGATAAGTTTATAGGTCAGAGCACCACAGAGGAGTTGAGATGGAAGAAATAGAAGGGGATGAGTGATGTGTGAGCTCTCAAAAGATGATAATGAGTAGGAAAGAGTTTGGGTTGGTAAGTATAGTACATGGTCTGTGATGTACAGACAAAAGTCTGCTGATGCATGTGTGTACATGTGCCCCACACACATGCCGTGTGCTGCACAATCAACCAGCAGTGAGTAGACACCTCCAAAATGAATATGGTAGACCCAGGGAGACTTACAAAGGGGTCACATGATAGCAGGAGTGTTTTGTAATGACAAAGAGGTCCAGGTTCACAAATTGGGAGGACTGTAGTTGAAGACCCCATCTCAACCAACAATCTGCGCATGGTGGCATGTGCCTGTGATACCAGCCATACAGGAGACATGGAGGATTGTGGCCCAGGTTGGCCAAGGCAGAAAGACTTGAGAGTAGAGAGCCTTCCTAGCAAGTGCAAAGCCCTGAGTTCAAACTCCAGGACCACACACAAAAAAAGGTTGAAATCAGGCTCAGTCATGACATTGGTTAAATCTTGCTGGCAGGCCCATCGGCTGTATGTTTTCTCCTCTCCACAGTGTGGAGTGCTTTATGGCACTTGGTGTGATGTCTGTGGAGGGCCAAGCGCTTGGTAAGGCATGAGCTGAGGGGGACATGAGCTCCGTGTGTGCGAGATGAGCTGTGCCGAGCTCTTGATGTGTGGGCCCTGTGTCTGCTGCTGAATTTTATCCGTTATTTTTCACATCTTTGCAATGCTCCTGTACGTCTTTACAAAGCTAACTTCATTTTTCTGAGAATCAGTGGTAGCCAGAACAGCCTGCAGCTTTGTTTTCAGTTTGCAGTGAGCTCCCTGGAGCATAGGGTGTACGAGGTTCGAGAAATGGCGGTCAGAGTCATCCTGGACCTGTACAGGCAGCACCAAGCCCTTGTCCTAGAGCACCTGCCTCCGGACGACAGCAGCACACGCAAGAACCTTCTCTACAAGACGATTTTTGAGGGATTTGCTAAAATAGATGGCAGGCCAACAGATGCTGAAATTAGGGTGAGTCAGCCTTTATGGAAGTGTGACCTAAGCCTGTGTTTAAGAAGTTATGGGGGAGCCAGGCATCCAGGGCGCATGCCTGTAATCCTAGCTACTCAGGAGACAGAGATCAGGAGCATCATGGTTCACAGCCAGCCCCTGGCAAATAGTTCGTGAGACCTTATCTTGAAAATACCCATCACAAAACAGGGCTGGCAGAATGGCTCAAGGGGTGGAGCACCTAGCTAGCAACCACGAAGCCCTGAGTTCAAACTCTAGTACCACCAAAAAAGAAGAAGAAGAAGAAGAAGTTGTTTCTAGGGACATGAATAAATAGCAGATTATTTAAGAAACCATGTGTACAGGAAGCACAAGCTGTGGCTAAGAACACTGGTTCCCTGAGTTCGGATCCTGGCTCCACTTCCTGCTGTGAGACTACACTCCCCATTTCGGGAAAAGCAGTCCGTGACTGGCAGTTTCAATAAGCCTTTGAGTTAACCTGAAGACTTACTTTTAATCCTGATTGCATTCGTATCAAGTGTGTCCTGTAACATGTGAGAAACAGCTCACATGCCACCTGCCACAATTTGTCGCCCAGTGTCAAAACTGCCCCACAAATCTCTTCTAATGGGAAAAATAATTTTTTTTAATCAGGCACAGAAAAGAGCAGCTACAGAGGAAGCAGAAAAGCACAAGAGAGAAGAAATCAAAGCCCTGCAAGGGCAACTGGCAGCACTGAAGGAGCCTCAGGCTGGAATCCAGGTAGAGGTGCTGCCATTGGGACTCTCTCTCTTACCCAGAAGATACTTGATTGACTTTCACGGGGTTATGCAGGTGATATCTTCATTGTCTTTTAATTAGTTTAGGTGTAAATAAAAGAAGTCCTCCTCTGGGTAGTTGGAATCAGAGGTCAATAAACTAACCTCTTCTGCTATGGGACTTGCAGGGAGCTTCTGTGAGTGGAGAGAGAGGAGCCAGGGTGGGCCAGGGAAAGTGGAAGGGACAAGGGATGGAGTTTCTCTCATCCCTACCCCCATCCTCAAAGGCTAAGAAAGAAAGTCCACCTGAATCCGAAGATCTGACTCCACACCTTCGTGAAGGAAGTCTGATAAATACTCTGGCCTACCCTGCCACTACTGGGCTGCCTGTGCCCCGTGCCTGCCTGTGCTAGGGGGCCAGGTTACCTGGGGTGGACGAGAACCATTGCCATGGAGTTGGGAGGCTAAGAGCCTGAGGGGAGGTGTCCAAGAGAGCAGGAGGAATAGAGATAACTTTCAAAGAGTTTTGTTCAACTGGATGCCCACACCTGTAATCTCAGCACTGAGGAGGCTGAGGCAGGAGGATTGCGAGTTTGAGGCCAGCCTGGGCTACTTAGTGAAACCCTGCCTTTAAAACAAATGGGGTTTTGTTATTTGTTGATAGAAATTCTAAAACAAAATCTAGAAGCATACTTTCAGGATCACCATATCCAGGGTGGACTGTGGCTCATGCTGACTGCAGCATTTGAACCTGACTTGTCTGTTTTTGTGTCTCAGGAAAAGGAGAGTGGTGCTGCAGTGCCCAGGAGTCAGGGTAGGTAAATTCAACCATGGAAACTGCCTCCCTTCACTACTCTGCAACAGTAGGACAGATTGTTACTAAAACTAAACGTTTATACAAGAAGGTCTTAAACTGTTTTCTTTCAATGTTGGCAGACACTCAAGGAAGGAAAGCAACCCCACCTGGTGCCCCAGATATTCCTGAGGACCACTGTTTGGATAAGTGAGTCTTTAGCCTTGGTGTGGTGGCTCCCTGGTTCACCGTTATTACTCAGTTAGTGGGCTCTCTTCTGTGATTTTAAAGTGTGGGAAAACTGCCCTAAGCCAACAAGCACTTAGTCTGAGTCAGACAAGACCACTATCCCTGTCTTCACCCCAACAGAAGTCTCCCCCAATCTGTCAGAAACCCTGTGACAGCAAAATGCTTTTCACCATTCAGAGGCCAAGAGAAACCCACAAAGAGCTTAAGGAAAATGTCTTCTGTTTCCTTGTGACTTAAAGTATTCTGTGTGTTGATTCTGCTGACAAGGTTCAAACTTGGAGGAGTCTTAAGCTAATTTGTCTCAGCCACCTGCTTGACCAGGACTCTTTCTTTGGGCTGTCTGACAGAAACCCCTCAGTCCTACTGCCCTCTCCCTGTGAGGTTCAGCCGGCCCTCAGAGCAAGCCCAAGCAGTTCAGGACAGGAGGAAAGCCTGAGAGTTGCTGTGCCTGGGACATTAGGAATGTCCTCCTGGGCTGGGAGCAGAGTGACCAGTGCTGAACAAGAGCCTGGCCTTCACTGTGACTTCTCTGTTTTGTTGTAGTCTGTGCATTTTTTGTGGGGAGAGGAGCGAGTCCTTCACAGAAGAGGGCCTGGACCTGCACTATTGGAAGCACTGCCTCATGCTGATGCGATGCGGCCACTGCCGGCAGGTCAGGCCCCGGGCCAGCACTGTGGCCAGAGTGCTGGCTTCCACAAAGAAGCCGGAGCACACACACCCGGCTCTTTGCAGTTCCAGAGGAGCTTGAGAAAAATCAGTTGAGGTCACTGCTGTAGCTCAGTGGACTGTCCCCAAATCAGCCCACTATGTCCCCCACCTGACGGTCCCACAAAGTTGCCTCTGCCTGATGTCTGACATCACAGTTGGTGTGTGTTGCGTGAGGAGTTTGAAGTGGAAGGGTGCTGTGTAAGCACCTTGTGTCCTCTCTGCGTATGGCACCCATGGTTTCAGCGTATCCATGCCTGCCACATGGGGTCAGGTTGTCATCAGCTTGGGGCTGCCGCAGACACCAGTGCCACCCACCATCCGAGCTGCATGATTGCCGGGCATGCTGGTGCCTGGCACTGAGTTGCACGCTGATGATCTGGGCACGTGGGGTTGCGTGTGTGGCCATGGGATTGCTGGGCAAGGAGTGCGCAGGGTCCTGTGGCAGCTTGACGCCCACGGCGGCACAAGAGGACACCCACATTCTGGCCGTGCTTCCTGCTGACTGTGAACCTTCAGTTTCCATCCTCTGCTGACCACTAGGAGAGCACCCGTCCCTTTGTCCGCTGTCCTCTTTGGTGAAGCGCCTTTTTAGTCAGTGAGATTCTGCGTGCCTGTCGCTCCCATCAGCGCCTCGCCTACCTTGTCTCCTTCTCTTGGGGTGAACAGAGCCTTTCATTTCTGCATTACTCCTCACTGGTCTTTGTTGTGGTTCATGCTTTTTTTGTCCTATTTAAGAACCCAACCGGGCACCCCTGGCTTACACCTGTAATCCTAGCTACTTGGGAGGCTGAGATAGGACCATGATTTGAGGCCAGCCCAAGCAAATGGTTAAGAGACCGCATCTCCAAAATAACCAGAGCAAAAATGGACTGGAGGTGTGGCTCAAGCAGTAGAGTGCCAAGGACGTCAGAGTGACAAGAAAATCCTATTTCTATGCACAGTCTTAGAAATACTGGGGTGTAAGAATTTGAACTCAAAGCTGCCAGTTGCTATTCTCCTAGCAGACATGCCACACTTACATCAACTGCACCCCACCCCCCCCTTAGCATGGCCTTTCCATAGCACTAGGGTAATGGGAGGAAAAAGACAACAGCCACCCCCCCATAAACCAGGCACACAACATAACAACAACACCAGCAAACAAACAAACGATAATAAAAAACAAACCAAGACAACAACACAAACACAACCACACAAGAAGCTCCCGCCACCAACCAAAAAAAAACGAACAAAGAACCACCCAACCAATACCCATAACCAACAAAGAAAAAGCCAACACCCAAACAACAAACAAGAAAACCAACCAAAAATAATTCCCACACAAAAAACACACGAAAAACCACCCAATAAGAAATATATGCCCGCCAGCCCAAAAAGATAACCACTAAAATGACATGATACGCCCCACAACCACAACCCACAACAAAACAAGACACACAAAACACAATGACACCAAAAATGAAAAATAAAAAAAAATCACATACAAAAAAACAAACAACAAACAAACATAACAGAAAAAACGCAGGGTCTTTACAAAATAGGAAGTGCCTGCAGCTCTCTGTGGGATAAGGAGAGAGGGTTCAAAAGATTATAGGCTTGTCTTCACATGCAAATGACCCAAGAAAACTGTCCTGCTCCCGGGCACAGGGCAGGCTCTGTGCTCAGCAGGTGCTCCATCCTGTCTTGGTTACAGGTGGTAGAGATATCCAGCCTGACAGAGCACCTGCTGACAGAATGTGACAAAAGGGACGAGTTTGGAAAGTGCCACCGCTGCAGCGAAGCTGTTCCTATGGAAGAGCTGCCTAGACACATAAAAGCCAGGGAGTGCAACCGTGAGTGCTCTGTGGCCATGGCATCTCCCTGGTGCCAGGCAGCCACTGAGGGGTGGCGGCACGGGTTTTGTGTGAGTTCAGTGTCTGTCAGGCAGGCCATCCGTGTGTCCTGTCTCTCTCCCTCACTCAAGTTTCAGACAAGCAACTAAATCTTTTTTTATTGAAATCATTTCAGCTGCCAAACCAGAGAAGCTGGCAAACCGGTGCCCTCTGTGTCATGAGAATTTCACACCTGGTGAGGAGGTGAGGGGCTGAACCCTGAACGTGAGCAGTGTGGAAGTGATATTAGTGCTGACCACAGCCAGTGTCCAGGGAGCAGCCTGTGCACCCAGCCCTGTCTGGACAGAACAGTTAGGCTGCTTTCCTGCCCTCCCACACTGTTTCCAGCAGAGTCTCCACTCAGCAGGGATCAGCATGGGATGGGTCTTTACCAGTCATTGAACTCATGTACGGATCATGGCCTCCCTGCTGTCTTGGCAGATCATGTAGTCTGCTGGCCCCTTTGGATTCATGCAGCTTGGCCCCATGCAGTGTGACAGTTCTGCTTCCTGCCTGACACCGTACTCTCCTGCCTAACCTGGAGCCAGCTGCACATCAGCAGTGCCCTCCACATGCCTCTGTGAACCTAAACACATTTAGCTTCATTTTTTATTCAAGTTTTGGGTGACTTTTTAAATTAAATCCTGTAGATCTGTGTTCCCCAGTCTGTTAAGTAGGGCATATTCCAAATCAGACAGAGCCAGAGGCTGCTGTCCCTGTGCTCGCCACACAATCCTCTTTGAGGATGAATTCATTTTTAATGTAGGCGAGCCTCAGGTGCACAGAGATGTCCTCTCACTTCTCTGTTGGAGCGAGCTTTTTCTTGCTCCTGGTTATTGCTGAACCTTTCTGGGGCCTAACTGGGCCGCGATGGGAGATGCAGAAAGGACACAGGATAGACAGACACAGAAAGTTGGGGCCAGGTGTGTTGGGCGCTCAGGTGGAGACGCACAACCCTCATTGCTTCTTTTCTGTATCTTTATTCTTTAAGGCCTTACTCCTTTACAGTTCTTTAAAACCTTGCTTCACTATTCTTTAAAACCTCTTTCCTTAGACTCGCTCTGTCCCATGTTTTCTCTTAGCTTTTCTTTAGCATAATCTCTCTTAAAGTTTTTGCCCCCAGACTTGCACTGTCCCATGTTCTCTGTAGCTTTTCTTTAGCTTAGCTTTTCTAAAGTCTATGTATAAAGTTCTCGGTGCAGACTTTCTATCAACCCCTCTTTGGCAATTCCCCTTTAGCAATTCCCCTTTAGCAATTCTTTTCCCTTCAGCAATTCTCCCTCAGCCATCCATTTTCCCCCTTTCAGCAATCTTCCCTTCCAAAAGCCTCCCACATCCAAAAAGCCTCCTTTCACCCAAAAAGCCAAAGCCAAAAGCCCAAAAGCCAAAAGCCAAAGACCTCCCAGCCAAAAACCCTCTGACTTGCACTATAGAATCCTCAGTGCAGGAGGCTGGGAGACACACACCAGCCATAAGCAACATCAGCATTCCACTTGCATCCTCCTTCAGGGAGTCTTTTATATGCAGTGGTAAAGGAGGAGGAGGAGCAACAGCTCTGGGGAGAGGGGTGACATTGTAGCAATAGAAATCTGCAGTTTACCTCTGTGAAGATAAACAACTTAGGAAAAGCAGCTGTTTTGCATTTTCCTCTTCTGTGGCCGGGGCTGTGCCGAACTCAGCCTACAGAACATTGGGTACAGCTGTGCTAATATCTCATAGGCTTCTCATAATCCACTCTCCACACTCCATTCACTTTTAGAGTGTAGGAGCTTTGTGTGTTCACTCCAATTGTGCCTTTACTAGTTCCTGTGATACCCATAGTCCCTCTGTTTTGGCTGCTGTTTGCTGGTTTCCCACTGAGCAGTGCTGACATCAGCTGGTGGCCTCCTTTCCCCTCCCCTCTCTGCACCCAGCATCTGCCATGAACTGAGCCCTCTTGCTCATCATTAGCCACTGTGAGGCAGTCCACAGGCTGTATTCCCGTCACCTGCTTTCCCCATGGTTTAAAAGCTAAATCTGCTACAGAACAAACACCACACGCTTGGCAGCATTTTATCACATGGTTTCCCTGCATAGCACCTGGACACACTGGGTTCTCTTGGGGTCTCACCTGGGGAAAGACCCTCTTCCCAGTACACCCAGCAGCTATCAGAAAATGTCCTGTGGCTATAGGACTAAGATCCCAGATCTCCAGATCAGGATGTGAGATGCAGGCTCACCTGGTTATAGGACTCAGGTGCCTGTTGAGGGTGGACCCCTTACAGCCCACAAAGGGGTCCGCCTAGGAGTCATGTCCCCATGCCCCTTCCATGTGTCGCCACCTTCATCTTAAAGTCTCTTAGCATCCCAGGTCTCTCTCAGTTGCCAGACCAACAAACTGCTGCCACCTCTTCCTTTGCAGGCCTGGAAGGCCCACCTGATGGGCCCTGCTGGCTGCACGATGAACTTGCGCAAGACCCACGTTCTGCACAAAGCCCAGGCACCACAGCAGGGTGAGCTTTGAGCACGTGAGAGAATCCTGTACACGGTTTCCACTTAAAACCATCTCCACGTTTCATGTTCTGGTTCCTTAGAGAGCTGCAGACCAATCTCATAATCCAAGCTGTATTGCACATGCACCAGGCTATGGCTGCCTCCCAAAGGCCTCCTGGACACGTGAACCCAGGAGTGACAAGGCAGACCAGCCAGCTGCTTGTGAGAGAGACTGCTGGTCAGCTCTTCCTACATAGCTGACTCTGAAGGACTGACAAACATGAAGTTAAAAAGACCCATGACAAAGCCATTGCCTTAATTATAAGTCACCATTTTCGATGTTTTATTTCAGACTTAGGATACCTTAAAAGGATATGCATCTGTCATTAGAAAACTTCTCCAGGCCAAAAGACCTTGGGCATGCTTTATTTTAGGAGCAACACATGGCTAAAACTTGGACACGTGTTGCTGCTCGGGCTGCACCAGGCCCTGTTCCAAGGGCTCAAGCGGCAGGATGTCATCTTTGTCCAGCCTCTTAGAAATGAGGCAATAGAGGTCCACAGGTCCTTGGCCAGGAATTCCTCATAGCCATACAGCTGTTGTGCTACTGTGTTACAGGAGCTGGGCCTTTGAGCTGATGGTTGTGTAAATGGCTCTGTCTGCCTTCTGTCCCCATGGCAGGTCTCTCCCTCTGAGCCTTTGTCCTTTCTTCTCTTGCCACCATGTGAGCATCTCCATCTGTGGCCAGCTCCTCTCATTGGCTTCCTATGAACTGAGTGACCACTCTCCACCATGCTAACCCCATCTGCCCAAGAGATAGCCATTGTCCTATTCCCCTTTGGCTCTGCTGCTCAAGATTGGCTCCTCCCAGCCATTCACACTGTCCCAATGAGGTCTGTGCTCTGCCTGTCCCCATGAGTCCCCAGTCTAACACAGTGCCTGTGTCTTGTGTGTCTGTTTCTACTGTAGGTAAAAGCCCCACAGTGGCCAAGTCAGGTACCACAGGGCCCAAGGCTGGAAGCAAGATCCCCACCCCCAAGGGAGGCCTGAGTAAGAGTTCTCACAGGACGCACACACAGCGGTGACAGACATTGGTCTTCTTCATCTCCGTCAGGGACTGTGCAAGTTTCCTGAATCTGAACCACGTCTCCTAAAAATTCCTGCAGACGTGGGATCTCTGTGCTTTGTCCCTGCTGTCCCTCAGCTCTTGGCCTCTCACGCGTCACACTCAGTCTGCATTCATGTAAACACAGCGTGTGGATCTGACCAAAGAGCCCTGCCTGGCAGGACCTCCACGCTGCGGCTGATGTCCGGGTTCTGACCTCCGCAGGCCTTTAGAGCAGAGGTTCCGGAGAGAGCCAGACACAGCAGCTAGCAGCATCGCTTTCCTTGCTGCTAGGAAAACTCACACTCAGCCTTGGGCACAGTCTGTCCCACATGGTTGACTGTGGGCTCAGCTGTGGTGGCCCTTGGGGGCAATGGTGGCCTGCATCTGCTGTGCCTTGTCCCATTCAGACCTGTCTGCTAGGCCTCCACCCAGTGCACTTCGTTGCAGGGAAGCAGGGGTCATGTCTGCAGGACTTGTGTTTCCATGGAAACAAGAAATAAAGGCAAAAAGGAAGCTAGAAGACAGCTGTCCTGCCCAGCACACGCCTTGCTCCATACTCATTGAGTGCTGTCCCTGTGACACCAGCCATGTGGCCACCTGGAACCAAGCCCCAGGCCCTAGCAGTCCGTCACACTTTTGCTCAGGGCGTTTGCATTCTCCAGAGTCCTGGAGCGTGGACTGCGGCTGCCTTTCCCTGATGACTCTGTGCTCGCTTGACGCGGGCCTCACACCTGAGCTTTGATTCTGACATGGAGCACCTGCCACCCTACAGACCTACAGACGAGTCCCACCCTCCTCACAGGTCCAGACACTCCACCCAGGCCTCTCGTCCCATCCCTCCACCATGCTGTGACTGGGTCCGCTTTCCCAAGCAGTTCATAGCATGTCAGAAATCCAAGTGCTGTGTGAAGCAGCCCCTCAGCAGCTCTGACGACCCCGTCCCGGGAAGGAGGTCGTTCTCTCCTAGGAACTTCGGTTAGACCGGGTTTCAGCTTCTTACCCACTCAGCTGTGGGAGAGAAGGAACCATGTGAAACACCTGGAAACACCCTAGCACGGCCCTGTGTTCCTGTTACTGCTCCCCCCAGTGCCCAGTCCAGCCAGTACTGAAGGACGGGCCTCCCATGCCCACCCCAGGGCAGGGGCCAGAGTTCTGCTTGCTTCCTGAGGTTGCAGAAGCAGGCAAAACGCCACTTTGAACTGTTTGAGGGAATTCGTGATGAGGGTGTGAGTGTATAATTAGTGTATAAATATTTGTTAATCCCCAACCATGTGAAACTATAAAACATTTTAAAAAACTAATAGCTGTGTGACCAGTGAACTCCCCGAATTTGCATTGATTGACCTGTTTCTGGCAAACACGTACCTCCTGGTGTGGCTGACTCAGTACTGAGTGAGAGCAGGAGCTACCAAGAGGGCAAGCTTTGGAAAGCTTCGGGGTAGGGGAAAACACAACACTTGAGCAGACAAGCCAGGCACAGATGCCTCAGTGTTTACACATGGCCCTATATGCTTCCGAGCTGCTGGCCACTATTTTCTAATCCAGTTTTAGTAAAATACTTTAAATAAAATACAATGAAAAAAGCTAACCAAGGAATTATTCTTTTCTGTGATCAAAACTTAAGAGGGAAATATGTAATGTTTTCTATCTGTTGTAACTTAAAGATATTTAAAAATGAAAAATACTTCATTTTTACTTCCTGTCTGACTGTTACAAAAGAATCGTGTCGAACAGATGTCAGTGAAAGCGCTCCTCGCTCATGCACGGTCAGGGCCATGAACAAAGGACTGAAGATCTAAAAGGAACTAAGATCCTTTGGCCATTCACAAGTAAATATCTGAATTTAGAACACTGATTGATAATTGAATCTTCACTTATGAATATGTGTGGATATTTAATATTTATTGCTGTTGTTTTCATATTTTAAGATATTAAATAATTTAAAAGAACTGTAGCTACAAACTTGACATTAGAATACAAATGTAAATACTTTTAATGAAAATTTGCAAGTTTTTAATGTTTTAACATAGTTCTCTATTTGTCTTTATTTCAGGTACCAGAATTATAAAATAAGTAATATATTTTTCTTGTTTTAAGACTTGTGTTAACTCACCTTGAGAATGTTAATAAAAAGGTCATTAAATGTTTTGTCACTTTTATTTCAAGATTATAATGAAACAGAGACTTGTAAATTTTTTGACATTAGTAGACACACAAGTGTAGCCTGGGATGGAGGTGGCTGTGGAGAGGCTGTCAGTATCAAGCTGCTGTGAGAGAGTTGGGTCCCTGAAATAAATTGCCAAAGTGAGTTTGCTGCTGAAGACACTAAAAGACTTTAAGGTGTGCCAGGTGCTGGTGGCTCACACCTGTAATCCTAGCTCCTCAGTAGGCAGAGATCAGGCGGATCGCGGTTTGAAGCCAACCCCAGGCAAATAGTTCCTCAGACTCTATCTCGAAAAAACCCATCACGAAAAGGGCCGGTGGAGTGGCTTAAGTAGTAGAGCACCTGAGCATGAGGCCCTGAGTTCACACCCCAGTAACACCAAGAAAAAGAAGAGAATTTGAGCGTTAAGCATCCTTTTAATGTTTACCTTTCCTTTCTTTTAAATAAATCGTTAGGGGCCAGGCCAGTTAGACTCTGACTGTGGTCACACCCTCCCCGTGTATCCAGCTGCTTTGGGCAGAGAGCTGTATCATGGCAGCCCGGCTGCTCTGACCACTCCACAAATGCCTGGAGGAAACCACACTCGCGCTGCAGGGACTACAACTGAAGCCACGTCTATTCAGGAAGGCCTGCTCCAGCCATGGCTGCTTCAGGGGACCTGCACTGGCCCAGCCATCACAAGCTACAGTGCACTCTGGATGACCTTGCCCACCCTGAGAGACTCTAGCTCAGCAAAGAGCGTCTGACGTGCAGTGGAGGCTTGTGACTAATTCTTGGTCAGAAGGCTGTGAAGGGTAAGGATGAGAGAATGTGGGCCCTGGGTGCTGGAAGGGTTCCAGGAAGCTGCCAAGGCCTAAGGACCAAGGATGCCCATACCCAACACCCAAGAGTCAACACAAGCCACTGTGAGAACCAAGGGCTCCCACACCCGAGGCTGCTGAGAGCTGAGGATTACACTAGCTGCTGAGGACCTGGGCCACGGGCGGATGAAAGCCCCAGAGCAATAAGCCTCCAACCTGAGCAGCAGACTACCTGGAGCCTAGAGATAAGCCTCTGGCCTCTACAGGCTGGCCATGGCCTCTAATCCTCAGAACTTGGAGCTGTGAGCCCGTCAGCCCAGCTGACTCAAGGTACTCGAGGGCCCAGACTGCCAACGTTGGAAGAATTCCTCCTCCCCTACTTCTGACTGCTACCTCAGCACAGCAAAAATGACCCCAGCCAGCTAATGGATGGAGGGGAAGAAGGGAGGGAGGGAGGCAACTATGAAAGATGGATAATTTGATTCTTTTAAAGTTAAGAACTTCTGAGCATCAAGAGACCTTAAAGAAATGGAAAACTGGGAGACATGTTTACCACATATAAACAACAAAGAATTAGTATCTAAAAGATAAAGAATTCCTCCTACACATGAATAAAGGAATAAGCATTTCCTTAACCAATTCCCAAAAGTATGACTAAAAGTAGGAAAATAATTTTATCATTTGGCACAGCCGTTTCCAAACGCTGCTGTGACCGATCACTGGAAGGCAGGTGGCTTAAAGCAACACCAATTCATTAGCTTACAGTGCGGCCAAGCTGACGTCTAGCATGGGCTTGCTGGTCTCGGAGCGCGGGTCTTTTCTTTCTTAGGAAGAACCAATTCCCTTGCTTCTTCCAGTGTCGAGATGTCTGCTACCCTTGGCTTGTGGCCTCTTCGTCTACCTTCAAGTCTTCACTTTGTCACCTGTCCAGTTCCTTCTTTCCTGCCTCTTCCACTTCTAAGGACCCTGGGAAGTACACTGGACCTCCACACCTGTATGGATTCAGCTTGACGCGAGCACAGCCATCCTGAATCATATCAGCCGTGACTGCCTGAGTGATCCTGGCTGGTTTTGCCTGTAGTTTCCCAGAAAGCTACACAGACACAGCTCCTGGATGCCGGGATGCACCTGACTGGCAGCAGCTGAAGACACACCAGGTGCATTCCAGCAGGACAAAGTCACTCTCGTTCTAACCCAAATTACGCATTCACCTGGTCTTGCTGCCACCCGCCCACATTTCTGTTAGACCCCCAATAAGTGCCCTCTGTATGGTTCTGAACCTGTCTGGTCTCACACACTGGGGCCAGGTTGTTCCACAGCACCAATAATTCAGACCATCTCCCACTTCATACCTGTGGCTTGAACCACCACACCTGGCTTATGTGTTTTTAAGTATGAGCTCAAAAAATCAGTGTACTAACAGGTCATTTCTAAGTCACTGCAAAAATTGCACTAGCTGCCAAAAATGCTTTTTAAACTAGTAGTGGTGATGATTCAGAGATGTGTTGGCAATGTTTGGGATTTGAGGATGGATTCCCAATGCTCCAACCCATGACGTGTGGTTTCTGGGTCAAATGAAGCATTCCCAGGGATCCATTCTTCGCCTATCTTTGCCCTTGGAGATTCCATTTCAGTTAGCGCACCACATTCAAACCATGATGTTAGTTTTCTTTTGGTCAAAAAGACACTGACCTAGGGCTGCAGGGCAGCTCAGTGGTGAGCACTTGCCCAGCAAGCATGAGGCTCTGGGTTCCAACCTTAGCCCTGGGGGAAGAAATATCCTAGAATTAGGGTGGTTCTTGCAACAGACACCGCTTTATTGGCACATTGTTTGTTCCCTTGAGCTTTAGGCAGTTACACAAGAATATTTTCTTCTTTTTTTTTTTTCTGATAGCACTGAGATTTGAACCTAGGGCCTCACCCTTGCTAGGCAGGCACTCTACCACTTGAGCTGCTCCACCAGCCCTTTTTGTGAAGGGTTTTTTTGAGATAGGGTCTGGTGAGCTATTTGCCTGGGCTGGCTTTGAACCACAATCCTCCTGATCTCTGCCTCCGAGGAGCTAGGATTACAAACACACAAGAACATTTTCTGAACAAGTGCATGTCATCTTAGTATCACAACCCATTTTCAGAATTTTAAAAGGGATTGGGGTGTGGCTCAAGTGGTAGAGCGCCTGCCTAAGCAAGTACAAAACCCTGAGATCAAACCCCAGTACTACCAGAAAAAAAAAAAGCCATATTCTAAATTTATTTTTTTGGGGGGGGTGACACTGGGGTTTGAACTTTTTAACTCAAGAGCCTTGTGCTTGCAAAGCAGGTGCTCTACCACTTGAGCCACACTTCCAGTCCATTTTGCTGTGGTTATTTTGGAGATGGGGTCTCAAAAGCTATTTGCAGCTCCCAAGTAGATAGGATTACAGGCATAAGCCACAGGTGCCTCGCTCATTTTCAGAACCTTTAAAATACCACAATAATATAAACCCACTGGAAATGATTAAAGATCCTTCCATATACTTTCTGCTTTCTCTCACTGTTGGGGATGTCATGGTCACAAAAAGGGTACCGTAGCACCAATTCTTACATTCTAGTGTGTTTAACCAAAATAACAGCATGTAGAATATAAAAGACCTTCTCAGGAAGGAAGATTTCCTAGGAGCCCCAGCAGACAGATGGCCCCTTAACTGACTGACTAGGCCAGAGTCACAGACTATCCTTACAGCAGTCCTTGGGTAGTACAGGCCTGAGCCCCTCAGGCAAATGATATTTAAAGCCTCTGGGAGCGAGAAGGAAGCAATGGCTGTGGTTTCGGCAGCCAACACCGTCTGGTCGGGCTGCCATGTGGCAGAGGGCACAGATGGCACCTAGGTAACGGGTTTGAGCTTATGCCACTGGCCTGCTCACAGAGGTGGTATGGGAGGCGGTGACTGCTGATGGCAGAGCCGAATGCAATGAAGCAGAGAGCCCGCTGCCCGGGGCTTGTTTGGCCAGTACCCAGGAGCAGACGTGCGATCCACCAGCAAGCCTTGCCGTTCAGAAATAGTGCACCACATTTGGTTGTCCCAGGATTCGAGTCTGACATCCTTGCGCTCACTTCAATGTGGCAATGCACTGTAATTTATCCGTTCTCCCACTGGCAGTGTCACGGCCCATCGGAGGGCTCTTGCCCTGGAGTCATAGACAAGAAGGAAGCTTTATTGATAGGAAGACTGAGCGGGGAGACGCACAGCGGGATCGGGAAACAGGGTGACCCCTGGGCTCTGGAGTATTGCATTATTTATAGATAGGGCTTCCGCCTTAACACAAAAAACAGTACCTGGTGGGATCCTATAGTCCGTTCTTGGCAACTGTGGGCTTCTCCTACTTCCTGGTTCCTGACTGAGCTGCTTCCTCCCGCATTCATGAGGTCACTACAAATTCCCCCTATGGATTGGAGCCCCTAACTACTGTTAGGGAGATAGGACAAGGGGATCAAGTTATTAGGTACTTCCTGCTGAGAAGGGTCGAAGAGGGGCCCTGTGGGAGTCAGGGGTCCAGGCCGAGGGGTGTCCAGGGGCCCACAGTAGTACTGGTGAGGTTGTAGGACCATCTGGAGCTGGAGCTTGACAGATTCTAAACAAGAGGAGACAAAATGAACCAAGCAGTTAAGTGTGCACGGGCCAAAGCACAGGGCTAGGCCCAGAAGTATGAGGTCCCAGGAAAGGGAGTATCCACAGCCAGACAGAGTGGCCTAGTGAGGAAAACAAAGCGCCTAACCAAGATGATTGAGTACTTTGTGTTTTGAGGGTATCTATTATTTTGATGTTTTCTTTTAAAATTTTTTAGATTTTCCTCTACCTTACCCAAGGTGTTAACGTAGAGGCAGCCTGTCTCATTAAGAATGACACAGGTGCCACCTTGCACGGCCATTAAAAGGCCAAATGCCCTATGGTTTTGAAGGACCACAGCTGCCAGGGAATCAGTGGATTTATGTTAGTTTTCTATGGCTGCCACAGTGGCCTTCCAAGACTCATGGACCATGACAGTGAGATTAAGGATCGAATTTTCAAGTAAAGGGAGGTCAACAGACCAAAAGAACTCCCAGAGTGCAGCCATTCTCTTACTGGGATTTTTCAAGTATATAGCCAGTCCACTCAACTGCTTCTGCGAGAATGGGAGGGAGGTGGGGCATAAGAGAGATCTCAAGAAAGGATCCCAGGTTAGGACTATACCCGAGGAAGTCGTATCTGTTGTGCGATGTATGAGGACATTGGGTAAGGTGGCCACAACCACACATTGGCCCTACCACTCAGTCAGATTTACAGAGGAAAGTGAATCCTGTGAGGTGGAGGTTTACCTTGGTAGAGTATACTTGGGCCATGACAGTTGTGCCATCCTTTGCCAGGGGGAGGGTGGAGCCTGTGAGTGAGACTAAGGCGGCCATAATACCACTCACCATTGCACCTGCTCCTCCCCCCTTGCCCCTGAGAGAGTGAGGTTGGGTTGAATTGGGTGTTGTTATAAATGGGAGAGGAGTGGTTTGTGGCACATATGCTGTTGCAAAGGATGGAAGAGGAAGGAGGTGCAATTTTGTGTCATGTTGGTGAGGGTCCCGGAGGTAAGGTTGAGATTAGCCACCTGGGTTCCATTGAAGGAGTAGAGGGTGAAGTTGCCTTCCCAGGAATTGGTGTGATTGATCCTGAGGGTGGCATTACACAAGGAAGAGTTGAGGGCACCCAAAACACCACTGACACCCACCCTCTCAAAACAGACGGCGTGGGACGCAAAATGGAGGAAGCTCATCCAAACATCAAGGGAGGGGAAGGTTGTGCCACCTCCATGAGAGGGTATAGGTACACCTGGAGGTAATGTTGTAGAGTAAGGTTTCTATGGCCAGGGGAAGTGCCTTGTAGGTAAGGTCATCAGGTGCCCAGAGATCTTTGGGACAAACCCTGCAATTGGTGAGATTAGTAATCTTGGCCAAGTAGTTGATGGTGGGGGTCCATGGATGATGGTGAAGCACCTGTCCCATAAGAGCGTGGAGGAAAAGAAGTATAAGATTCATGGGAGAGAACACAGAAAAAGGAAACAGAATTAGAGCCCTACGTTGTAGATAGGGCCACTCCCAGGGAGATGTCACCCACAGACCGATGCTCAAGACTATGGTCAGAGAGAGGTAGAGTGTGAGGAAGAGGTGGGGGGAGACATTTGGCATGAGTTACTTTCCTGATGGAGTCTTTTTAAAGAGAAATTTAAGGTCCAAGATGGGCTCACAAGAAAGGTTAATCTCCCCAGTAGCAAATTTAGTGGCAGCAGTGGCAGCAGGGGGAATCCAGCACTTGACTCTGGAGATGTGGACCCAAGATTCCAATCCAGTCACTTGGACTCCTGTTGGGGTGGAAAGGAGTACAGGTAGGGGTTCTGAAGGTCCCCTAGATGGGTTTGACAACTTGACTTTTGCCCCAAGTCACTGGGGCAAAAGGGTGGAGGAGAGGCGGGGAAGTATGAGAGATACCTTGGTATAATTTGGTTAGGACTTGTTGAAACTTGGCTAATGATATGAGAGGTGAGTCTGGCTGTTTCATCATTGAAAATGAGGGCATTAGTAAGGAATGGTCAGCCATGAAGAGCCTCTAAGTGGGTGATGCCCAATTTGCCTGGTGTGTTTCAGAGGCAGGTGAGGGCCAGGGGTTACAGCTTAGGCCAGGGAAGATGGGTCTCCTGGACTAGTTTAGCTAGGTGGCATTTAAGTAGCCCATTGGCCTGCTCCACCTTTCCTGAGGATTGGAGTCTCCAGGCACAGTGGAAGTGGTATTTTATACCTAGAGCCTAGGGTATTCCCTGAGTAACTTCAGCTCAGAATGCTGGGCCGTTGTCACTTTGAAGGCTGTTAAGGGAGACTGAATTGAGGGATGATTTCTTGGATTAAGGCCTTGACTACTTCCTGAGCCTTTTCTGTGGAGCAAGGAAAGGCTTCAGCCCATCCCATGAAGGTATCAACGTACAGGTCCAAGCGAGAGTAGGGGCCACCTGGCATATGGGTGAAATAATTTTGCCAGTCCTCTCTGGGGTAGGAACCTCATCCTTGAGTTCTCAGAGGGGAGAGAGGTTGGTTGCGAGGGTTGTTGCATTGGTAAATTTCACACCTCTTAATATGTCTTGAAGGGTCTCCTGGCTAAGGACCTCTGGCTAAAGACAGGGTGTTTTCTATTCCCAGATGATAGGACTGATATAAAGTCTTGAGGATTTTCCACTGTATGCTTTGGGTTAAGAGGAGTCTGTCCTCGGGAGAGACCCACTATCCTCTGTGGTCCAAATGGTAGCCCTGTGTTGAAGTCATCTGGATTTTGGAGGAAAGATATTGAGGTCTTTCAGGAGGGAGAAGGGACTCTTCCCATAAAAGGGGACCCTGATGGAAGGCCATGGAGCTGCATCTGCTTTTCTATTGCCCAGGGCTATAGGATCGCTACTTTTTTGATGTCCTGGGCAATGCAACTTGTTGAGGCATTGAGCAGTATCTGAGAGCTTTAGGGTCATTTGAGAGTGTTTAATGGGGGACCCAGAGGCCATGAGCATCCCCCATTCCCTCCAGATGGCCGCGTGGGCGTGCAGGATGAGAAAGGCATATTTCGAGTCAGTATAGATATTGACTCTCATGCCCTGGGAAAGTTATAAGGCTTTGGTGAGAGCAGTAAGTTCAGCCAATTGGGCGCTAGTGTTTGGGGGCAAGGGTTCTGCCCACAAGATTTGAGTGGATGTGTGACTACTGCCACCCCAGCCTGGTTTCTCCATTATTAATCAAGGAGCTTCTGTCAGTGAAGAGTAAAAGGTCTGTCTCTGAAAGAGGTTTATCGAGGAGGTCAGGCCTGAGTGTAATTTTTGGCCAGGATCTCTTCACAGGAGTGACTAGGGGCATCACTTCCTGTGGGAAGGAAGGAGGCAGGGTTGAGGTTGGGGCAGGTTTTGAGGTTCACTTCTGGACAATCTAAGAGTTGGGCCTGGTATTTGAGTAGTTAGTTGTCAGATAGCCATAACCCTCCCTTAGAGCTCAAGATGCCTCCCTGGTCATGGAGAGTGTAGACAGTAAGAGGTTTTCCTAAGATAAGCTTTTGGGCTTCCAACTGCAGCGATGGCCCTCAAGCTGCCCGGCCATCCCTTAGCCACACTGTCTAGTTCCTTACTTAGATACCCCACAGGTTGAGGAGTGTTTCCTTGGATGGGTTATGACCCCAAGAGCCAGTCCCCCCTACTCATAGATACATAGTTGGAAAGTGTCCTGAGAGGGTAGGCTCAAGGCTGGGGCCAGGCTAAGGGACTGTTTGAGCTTGAGAAAGGCATCCTGGCTCTCTTTGTCCCACTCAAGGAGGGGTTGAGAATGTTGTTAGCTTTTCTTTGGAGCCAGTATCAGGGGTGAGCAAGCTCAGCATAGCCAGAGATCCAGATTCGACAGAATCCAGTGACTCCCCAAAAGCCTCTTAGTTGTTGGAGGATTTGAGGGAGAGGATACTGTAGATTAGGACAGAGTCACTCTGGACGCAGGGACCTAGTTTGTTTTTCACGAACCAATCCAAGATAATTGACCTTAGAGCTATATAGCTGAGCTTTTTCTCTAGAGATCTTAAAGTCACAACTGGTCAAAAAGTTTAATAAGGACTCTGTGGCCCTGGAGATAGTGGGTTCAGCTGGACCACAGAGAAGATCATCCACAGATTGGAGTAAGGTGGCCCCCTGGAATTGCCAGTCAATTAGATCTCATGCCAGTATTTGACCAAAGATGTGAGGGCTATCTCAAAACCCCTGGGGCAGGACCATCCACGTCAGCTGCCCCAAGATTTTGGTGGGGTCCTCAAAGGCAAAAAGTGGTTGGCTATCAGAGTGGAGAGGTATATAGAAAAAGGTGTCCGTTAGGTCTATAATTGAGCAGTGTTGTGCATTAGGGGGAATCTGAGCCAGGAGAGTATAAGGACTAGGAACCACTGTGTTCTCACCAACTCACTGATGAGTTAGAGGTCTTGAACTAGTCTCCACTTATTGGAACCCTTTTGTACTGCCAGGATGGAGGTGTTGTAGGAGCTAGAGCATGCAATCAGGAGGCCCTGTTGGGCCTCTGGCTTCAAGGGACATTGTTTTTAGTGAGGGAACCAGAGGGGATATTTTAGGCAGATCCAGACAGGAGCGGCTGTCTTTGCCCTCCCAATGGTGGAGCCATTGGTCCAGATGGGTGGGTCCACTTGTTCTTCAATTAGGGGCATGAAAAATACTCTCCAGGAGGGAGTAGTATTTGGACCTTGAGTTTTGACAAAAGATCCCTTCCCAGCAAGGGGATGGGAGTCTTGGGGACCATTAGAAATGAGTGACAGAAGTGGAAGTCCCCCCAAGAGCAAGCCGAAGGCTGGGTGAAATATCGTTCTAGGGGCTGGCCCGATATGGCCCAAACACTGACTTTGTTGTTAGACCTGGGACCTGGAGGGAAAGAAGTGACAAAGAAGCGGTTTCTTCTGTCCAAAAGGAAGACGACCTGTGCTTCTCAACCATCATGACTACCCAGAGCTCCTCGGTCTGGATGTTGAGAACCAGAGCCTGGACAGGAGGCCCTGGGACCCGTCACTCAAGGGAGTCATCTGGCTCCTTCTCCGAGTGGACGCAGGGACAGTGTGACTTCCAGTGATTACCCTTACAAAGAGGGCAGGTCCTGGAGGGGGATGGGGCTGTCTCCTGTGCTGCCCCTGTCATAGGCACTCTGTTTTGAAGTGTCCCTCCTGTCCACAGTGGTGGCAAGTCCTGACATTTGGTCGCCATCAGGAAGGGGATTCTCTAAGAGCTGCCACTAGGTTGTAGTGTCTTTTGTCCTTTTCTTTTCTTAGTAAGGTCCTGATTATAGTATATAGATTGTAGCCATCTGTACCAATTGCTCTAGTGTTTTACTGCCTTCAGCCACCAGCTTTTGTAGCTTTCCACAGATATCTTGGGCCAATTTGGTAAGGAACTTATCTCTCAGGAGGACCTCCCCAACCTGTGACTTGGAGTCCACTGTGGTGTGTTTTGTAATGGCCTCCTTTAGGCACTGTAGGAAGTCTGTGGGGGATTCATCAGGTCCTTGTTGGACAGCAGTTACCTGGGAGTAATTAAGAGGCTTAACTCTGGCCCTTTTTAAACCCTTAATGGTGAGGTGAATGAAGTGGTGTCTAGCCCATTCATTGGCCTAATTTTGGGGATCCCATCTGGTGTCTGTCCTGGGAACCGCTTGGGCTCCAGTTGGGACCCCAGGATCCTCAGTTTCCCCTTCTGTAGAGGTGGGCTTAATAGAGGACTTATGTAGATGATAGTCACTGCCTGCCTGAATAGCTTGGTCAAGGACTCTCTTGACCAAGAGTTTGGTCTAAGAGTAACATGATATTCCTCCAGGTTAGCTCAAAGGTTTGGATAACAACAATGAAGGCTTGAATGTATCGGTCTGGGTCATCAGTAAAGCCATCTAAGTCCCACTTCATTTCCTTAAGGCCATTTAATGTGAAGGGGACATGAATTCTCTCCGGGTGGCTCCCCTCCGTCCAGGTACTGGCTGGAGGGGGTAGCAGCCCACAGCCTCTGAATAAGGGGGTAGGGGATTATAGGAGTTGGGCAGTCATTTTCCTTAGATGGAGGGGAGGAAACTGTCCTCTTGGGGGTAGTGGGGGATGGGTTAGAGGCATCCCTTTTCTTTGGTGTGCCCTTACAAACCATAGCCAGAGTCTGAGCATCTATTTTACATTGTCCCACCCATTCAGGATGTTCCCCAAGGAGGAAGAACAGTTGTACATAGGGGATCTCCATCCATTTGCCCTCCCCTTTGCAGCAGAGATCAAGCTGGAGGATGGTATTGTGGTTGAGAGTCTCACCCTCAGGCCATTTTTCCTGGTCCCCAAGGGGATATTGGGGCCAGACCTAAGTGCAAAAGAGAATTAGAGCCTTCTTGTGGAGGCTGTCAGGGTCTATGTCTCTCCAATGTTTCAGCAAGCAGGCAAGAGGAGACCTCTCCAAACTCGGGAGGAAGAAATGCCCATCTGGAAAAGGAACATGTGGTCTACAACAGAGGAAATATTCCACATTATGGCCATTCCGATAAGGAACTGCCTCCCAGGGAAGAGTGTCCTCTCCCCTCTGATTGATCCCTTCTGTTGTCTGTGACCAAGACTGAGGGAAAAGCTGAAAGGGGCTTCCAGGTTACAGTCACCCTACTGGCGTGGCCCTGACCACAAGTTGCCCTGCCAGCCTTAAAGCCCAAATGCTTACAATACCTCCAGTTAGTAAAGGCATCTAGCTCAAAGAGAACTCGCGGAGGAAGGGCTCAATAGAGCCAGCGGAGGTCAGCCAGGTTTCCTGGAGGAAGTTACCGGAAAGAGTGTTTCCTTAGAAAATGTGATCCTCTGTGCACTTTGGGAGCAGACGTGACGTGGGAGAAAACCCAAGGGGCCTGTGCCGTGACAACGGTGTAAATGCACTCCCAGGGAAGGGCTGGGGGTGGAGGTGGGTGTAAGGGCGAACAACGTTTGGTGAGATGCTGTGAAAATCCCCCAAAATTGACAGTTGGGGGGCATATGTCATCCAAGGAAAGTAGGGGAGCAACAAGGGGCAGGGAAACTCCTGGGGGCAAAGACACTTTATCACGTCCCTACTAGATGAGGGCATAGTCCCCTCCCATATGGCCCTGAAGAAAGTCACCCAGTGGGGTGGGAGAAAAGGGTCTTAGGGTCATAGTGTGGAAATGAGAGGAAGAGAAAGGGCTTGGAAACATGAGGGATTCAGACTCGCCCACGTGGCAACAGGCAGTCCCGTATAAACCCCGGGACAGGCTCAGCATTTGCACTGGATTCTGCTAGAAGTCTTAGTGGGCTTGAGAAATTCTCCTTCGCTCTCAGGAGAAACCTCCCTAGAGACAGAGAAAAGAGGCAGCCAGAGAGTTCTGCTTTTGGCCATTCTGCAGCAGGGGGGCTCTCCCAAAGACAGCGTCCACAGGAGTGCTGGACGATCACAGTCACTTCCCTGGCAGACTGTCCCTGGTTAGGCTTCGTCCTAGGGAGAAGAGGGTCCTTTCATGGTCACCAAAATATCACTGGCGCATTGGAAGGTTCTTGTTCTCAGAACACTCCTACGCATAAGAGGCTGGATCACTGGAGTTATAGACAAGAAGGAAGCTTTACTGATAGCAGGAATTTCAGGTGCTCAGGGTTCTTGAGCCTGCTCTGAGAATGAAAGCACAGACAGACTCCAACAGCAGAGGTCAGAAAGATTTTAATTTGTAGAGAATTTAGTTGGAGAAAAGAGAAGAGAAAGACTGCATATTGGAGAACGCAGGGGGACCCGGAAACCGGTGATCCCCGTGGGCCAGGGTGGGGAGTGGGGTTTTATAGCCTATTTGCATGGCCTGATGGCAGGAGATGCCTTTCAGATGCAAACAGGCGTTTCCTAGGAAGGAGAAGTGTCTCCTTGACCTCCTGAGGTCTGTCCTTCAATAGGAAAGGCTAAGCGGGGAGATGCACAGCGGGATCGGGAAACCGGGTGACCCCTGGACTCTGGAGTATTGGATTATTTATAGATAGGGCTTCCGCCTTACACAAAAAACAGTACCTGGTGGAATCCTATAGTCCGTTCTTGGCGCCTGTGGGCTTCTCCTACTTCCTGGTTCCTGACTGAGCTGCTTCCTCCGCCTCATTTGTGGGGTCGCTACAGCGGGCACTGAGGGGCTGCCTGTGTTCCTACAGCCCACGAGAGGACGTGCAGGAGCCGCTGGACTCTGCCCCAAAACCTACTCCGCAGAGCCCACCAGCGAAGAAACACAGGTCCGGGCCGAAGGCCACGGTTTCACATCACTGATGTGCGTACAGGGCGGGGTGTGGTACCAGCAGGGCGCACGGCGAGCTACCTCCCCTAGGCGGAAGAGACCGCGACAGTTACAAAGCTCCTGGGTACTGCGCTCGGGGAATGGAGGCCTGCATTCGGTCCTCCCCTGGCCCACAGTGCCCCGCGCGCGACGCTCGCAGCAACCTCCCAGTCCCTCTTCTCTATGGCACGCGTCGCGGCTCTCTAGCAGTCGAGCGAGCTCTCTATGGCTCTTTCCGGTGCAGGCCGGAAGTGACGCAACGCGCCCCGGAAGCCCGGTGCAGGAGGCTGCGGCGTGATGGCGGCGGCGGCGGCGGCGGCGGCGGCGGCGGCGCCTGTGTCCGAGGCCTGGCCCGAGTTGGAGCTGGCGGAGCGCGAACGGCGGCGCGAGCTCCTGCTGACCGGGCCTGGGCTGGAAGAGCGGGTGCGGGCGGCGGGCGGGCGGCTACCGCCGCGGCTTTTTACGCTGCCGCTGCTGCACTACCTGGAGGTGAGCGGCTGCGGCAGCTTGCGCGCGCCGGGGCCGGGCTTGGCGCAGGGCCTGCCTCAGCTGCACAGCCTCGTGCTGCGGCGCAACGCGTTAGGACCTGGCCTGAGCCCCGAGTTGGGGCCGCTTCCCGCGCTGCGCGTCCTCGATCTCTCGGGAAATGCGCTGGAGGCGCTGCCTCCGGGAGAGGGCCTGGGCCCCGCCGACCCGCCTGGCTTCCCGCAGCTACAAAGCCTCAATCTCAGTGGCAACCGGCTACGAGAGCTGCCCGCCAACCTGGCGCGCTGCGCCCCGCGCCTGCAGAGCCTCAACCTCACCGGCAACTGCCTGGACGCCTTCCCCGTCGAGCTCTTCCAGCCCGGCGCGTTGCCTCTGCTCAGCGAGCTGGCGGCCGCCGACAACTGCCTGCGGGAGCTTAGCCCCGACATCGCTCACCTGGCCTCGCTCAAGGTCAGCGGGGACCCGGAGCGGGGAGAGAGTCCCTCTGTCCTTCACTGACAAGGGGCTGGGGCACTCCTTCTGGGCTGCTGTGACCGCCTCTGAAGTCGGCCCATCCCTCGTCCCCTCCCCAAGCAGACTAGCGCTCTCAGGCTGGAAACGGGTCAGGAGCAAGAATCCAGCTTTAGTTTTTTCTTTTTCTTTTTTGTATATAACCGTGTAGTGAGTGGGCCTTGAAGTGGCAGGGCACAAAAATATGAGAGAACTGGAATTTACATCACGTTCAGTAGTGAGATTTTCTACGTGATGATTCTCTTGAGCCTAAGAACAGCTTTCAGAAGTCGGGGTAGTGGTTCCTGTTTCTTAGAAAGCCAAGGCGCCTGCACAGAGCAAGCAGCAAACACTGCTGGATAGGGATCAGATTCTTGTTCATCCTGGATCCCTAGGTTCCAACATGCTTGGATTCCCGAGTGGAGCCCATTCATTAGATCTGTTGAGTGAGGGGCTGGAGGAAGCAAGGCTGACAACCTGCCACCATTCTGATGTTCTATGTATCTTCCTTCTTAGTTGCACTTAGCAGGGCAGGCCTGCATCTCTTCCTTCTGCTTCTCATCCTTAGGCTTATGTGGGGGAAACTTCTTGTGTAGGTGGCTTAGCAGCTGGATTTGTAATAAAAGTTACTTTTGAAATATAAGCAGCTTGTTTTGCAAATTTACCTTTATCAGTATAGATGTGTATTTGTTTCTGTGTGTAACAGTCTGTGTGAGTATTTGTGGTTAGAAATGGATCAGGCACTCTGCAGAATGACTAGCACCTCTTCCAGGAAGAGGCAGTGGGGCAGTATTCCCTGAGAGTACTGAGGTCTCCGAACTGTAGCTGACCCTTTGCAGCTCAGTCGTGAACCCTGAGGTACAACATTGTCTGCCTTACCTGCCCATGTGGTGGATGTTTGGTTTCCTAGGAGGCTCACAGGGCAGGTGAGGTGAGTGTCCTGACAGGGTGCCCACAGTCACGTGTGCTGTCCTGGCTTAGCTGACTGGTTCTGCTGCTCTTCCACTGGTTACTTGGTTGGCTGTGGGCTGAGCTGGACTGGCTGGCCACTCTGCTGGCATCTTGTTACTGCTCCCCCCCTCATCACATGGTACCTCAGGGCTCCTCGGCACAAATGCGTGAATTGCTAGGCCTCGAGGTTCAGAACTGGAACTAGCATCCTTCACTTCCCGCACGGTAAATAAGCACTTCCCGTGGGCATTGCTTCATGTCCACCCTCACAACCCTTTCCCAGGAGCGTGTCTGCACAGTCAGTATCCCCAGCCAGTAGAGGAGCATGTGGTGATGCTGTCTGTGGCCACTGTGTCCGGTAAGAAGAGTGCTCAGCTCATCCAGACAGATGTAGGGAGACCTGAGCACAGCACACAGCTTCTCCTGGGCGGTGGGAAGTGCAGTGTGAGACTGCTGTTGGTGCCCTCCGTCTGGAGTAGGTCCAGGGACTTCTGCTTCCCTTCAGTGCTTGCCCTTCATCAGAAAAACCCAGACTTTATTTCTACCACCCAGGGCTGAGCTGAGCATGCTTGAGAGGAGGGTCCTCCTTAACAGTGCCACCACATTTCTAATACTGCTTTTGCACCACTGGACCCTGCTCTATCTGCCCTCCACCTCGCTCTCTCCCTCCTTTTTTCCTGCTCTGTGTTCCCTTAGGGCCTCCAGACAGATCCTGGGCTATCATTGGGGCCATTGCATCCTACTCTGACATACTTTTTATTTGATGGTGGCTGTCCCTGAAAGATGCCCCACCCAACACACAAATGCCATTGTCCTTTGTGGGGATCCTCAGCGGGCTGCTGGTTTGAAGCTTGTCTGTTAGATGCTTCTGACACTGTAGCCTGCCCACAGCATGTCTCAGTCCTGTTACCATCACCCTTTCCTGTTTGCCTTGCATTTCTTGTCTGCTGCTTTTTCCAGATCTTAAACAACTTGCTTCTGCTCCCATTCAGCCAAGTTTGTGTGGAACAATGAGTTTTTTACCCCAGTGACATTCTCAAGCATTTTCTCCAAAGCCCCTTTGGGCATCACAGCCCCCATGTCTAGTGTGTGCCCACAAGGCTGCATACAGACTGCTGCAAACTGACCCTCAAACACAGCCCAGCACCCAGGCCCACAGGCCTCTGGGTAGGTCTGTTCCTGTGGGCTGGTAACCAGTGGACTGCAGCAGCTGGTCCCGGCTCACTCTAATGCTGAAGCCAGGGTTACGGAAGGGGGTTGTGCACACTCTAGAAACCTGGCTCAGAACCAGTGTGGTTCCTGTGCTGCCAGCTAGTGGTGCCATTAGTGATGCTTGGGAGGTCACCCCAGATTCCAGGATAGGCTCTGTCAACATCAGGAGGGGCTGGCGGGCACATGCAGGGCAGGCTGCAGGGCCACCAACCCAGTCAGTCCATCCCACCCAGGCCTGCTTGCCAAGTAGACAATGGCCTGGAGATGCACAAAATACAGGTTGAGTATCCTAGTTCTAAAATCCAAAATCTGAAACTTTTTGAGCACTGACAAGTGGAAAATTCCATAAATGAGTTCATGTAGCAGGTCACAGTCAGATGTCAGACACAGTAAAGTCATTGTGTAGGCTTGACCTACCTTTGGGCTATGTGTAGATTTATAGAAAACTAATTACACTTGGGTTCCATTATGCATGGATATTTCATCGTGCATCTGTAGATGTTCCAAAATCTGAACAAATTCCAAATCTGAAACACTTGTTTTAGAAGTGTTAACCTGCAGTGACAGTTGTTAGATGGACTGTCCCACCTAGGTCATGCCCCACCGTCACTGGTGCTAAGTGGCAGACTCCCTCCGGGGCACGTGTGGGCCAAGACCAGCCTTGCAATCTTACCCAGCAGGCCTGGTTCTGCTTGGCCTGGCCCTTCCTCTTCCAAGGGCTTGTATTCCTTCTTTTATGTTCTTCCTGTTGGCCTTTTACAGTTATCTCCTGTTTCCTTAGTTTTTACTGTACATTTGGAGGTATGTTCATAGCTTCTTCCCTGTGCTGAGCTGTGTCACCACCCCCAAGCAGTCTGATGGCTTGAGCCAGACAGATTCCACTCAGCTTCCATCATATCTTGGAGTTGAGAAATTCCACTGATGTTGCCCTGTATACCAGCTAAAGTAGATGATGTCTCTGACTAGCAGGCCCACCCCCTCTTTGCTGTGCAAGTGAGATCTTCCACCTGTCTCGCACCTCCATGCCCACAGTGTGACTGGGACTCAGTCACACGCAGAGCACTCATGATCACTTGTTGCAAGGCACCCGCGTGTCACCTCATCTCAGTGCAGAGGCAAGGTGTTGTGCCCATGTAGCCACAGACCTCCCTCAGGACTCTCCCAGAGCCCCAGAGGGTCCAGTCCTGGCATCAGCAAGCAAAGACCAAGGCCAGCTAGAGCACTCCACTGACTCTGGAAGAAAATGAGAAAGAAGCATTTACTCAGGGTTCCCAAAGCTGCCGCCAGCCAGTCACACTGGGCCAGGATACCTGTCAGGAAAGAGAGGTGCAGAGTATGCATTAGCCTCTTTACCACCACCCAACAGAGGGGAGGAGTGAGACCCTGCACCCCCACACTCAAGCTCCAAGAAGGGAGAAGTGTAAAGGCAAAGGGGCCACTGCCCCTCCAAGGTGTTGGCAAGACAGTAGTTTGTCTGTCCCATAGTGATAGCTATGAGAGGTTCTTCTCCTTGGACTCCGGGGCTTCACAAGTGTCTGTGGCACCACCCACTGGCCCAACACCTTTCTTAATGAAGGGCTGAGAGCCCTTCATTCTCTGTTGTTTTCCTTCCCACATGAAATGGGGCAGTGCCACTGGCAACTTCATTATTTCAACATACAAAAAGGAAAGCTATTTGCTATTTGGAAGAAAAAATATTCTTTCTTTTTTGTTCATTGAATTAAAAAAAAAAACCTCAGTACCATTTTGGGAACCTGTTATGGTGGGAAGAAGTGCTGGTTCGTAAGTGTGTTCTCGTTCTACACCTAGACACCCTTCTTACCTTCTCCACTCAAGTGGCTGATCCTTGAGCTGACTATAGTTGCCACCACAGATAATCAAGCAAGAGTAAGATGTTGAGTGAGAGGTTACTGGCACCATAGCTGACACCTTTCTATTGGAGAAGCGCCTTGATTGGTGACTTCTTGCAGGATAGAGGTGGGGCGATTAACTGGGCATGTTGGGGTATGCTTGTAATCCTTCATACTCTGGAGGTGAAGGCAGGAAGATTGCAAGTTCCAAGCCAGCCCAAGCAAAAAAAGGTAGCAAGATCCTGTCTCTAAAAATAAAAAGGAGGGGACTGAGATTATAGCTCACAGTGGTAGAGTGTTTGCCTAGCATGCGTGAGGCCCTGTAGGGAAGTTACTGCCAAGGTCAGTGACTGCAGGGAATGTGATTTTTCTGTAGCCATGGCTCCCCAGGGGTGTGTCACAGTAGAGGGGCTCGTGGTCTCAAAGTCTAGATGTTGTGACTATTACTGCTTTCTCTTCAAGGTGTTGGACCTCTCTAATAATCAGTTGAGTGAGATTCCTGCTGAGCTGGCAGACTGCCCCAAGCTCAAGGAGATCAATTTCCGAGGGAACAAGCTTCGAGACAAGCGCCTGGAGAAGATGGTCAGCAGCTGCCAGACCAGGTCCATCCTGGAGTACCTGCGTGTTGGGGGCCGGGGATGCTGCCGAGGCAAGGGCAGGGCAGAAGGCTCTGAGAAAGAAGACAGCCGGAAGAAGAGGAGGGAGCGGAAGCAGAGGCGGGAGAGCGGCGAGGGGGAGGAGGAGGTGGCAGATGTGGCCAGGCTGCTGCTCAGGGTCCTGCACGTCTCTGAGAACTCTGCACCTCTGACAGTCAGAGTGAGCCCTGAGGTCAGGGATGTGCGGCCGTACATCGTGGGCGCTGTCGTGAGAGGCATGGACCTGTATCCTGGAAACGCACTCAAGCGTTTCCTCACCTCCCAGGTGTGGAACGGGCTGTGAGACAGTGAGGGTGAGGGGCACCAAATGCATACTGGAGATGAGTTCTGGGGCCGACAGGAGAGGCAGGGCAGTAGGCTAAGCTGGGTGGTTGGCATGCCTCAGTTTCTTCCCCTCAATAACGGAAGCAGAACAGACCCTGCATAGTGTGGGTGAGGTAGGTCTGGCCTGCTGTGCCCTGGGGGTGCTCATCACCTCTCCCCAGTGCATACTGGAATCTGTTGAGAGCTTGGTGTCCAGAGCACCCTCTTCTCAAGTGTCTGTGGCCTGTCCCTGGTCTTTGCCTTGACTTTTCCACATGCGGCCTTTACAGTTTACCTTATTCTGTGAAGATGGCTTTATTGGCATAAAAAATGGCTGCTCCTTGAGTTTCTTGTATTTTGGTAGATGTTCCGATTTTTGTAATAAATTGCACTTTGAGTTTTACATAAGATGCTGTTAGTGTCATTACTACTTAGAAGCATGTCCTTAATGTGAGTAGTTTAGGTTTTGGCTAGACCAACTTCCTGATAATCTGTTCTGTGACATCTGCCCCACTTTTAAAATAGAAAGCACATCTTTGTGCATGTGCCCAGCAGCAGCAGATGCCACTCTGTGAGAGGCAGACCTATGTTGCCCCCCTCGAACCCCATTCCTTCCCTCTGCAGCTCAGGGAGGAAGCCAGCAGGTGCTCGCTGAACCTGCCAAGATGCGGAACTCAGACCAGTCTGTGGGAGAGACCTGCTGGGATGAGTTTTCTTCCGAAGTCCCACTCTTCTTTCTGTGTTCATAAGTTTTAACTCGGGGTGGGTTCTTTAAAATCTCAAATACTGTGCTCTAGAATTAAAGTGCAGTGCTGCTGTTGAATAGTTCAGAGAGTTTTGCGGGTGATGACTCCACAAAACAAATACTTGTCTGGGAAGGCAGAGAAAGGCATCAGGGGAAGCCCTGTTCTATGAAGGGAGGAGGGGGCAGAGGGTCCTGCAGGCTGCCAGATGTGGCTACCTCACTGCTCTTGGGATCCCTCACCCTGAAGCCTGCTTGTTTATTCTCATGTTGTAGACTAAGCTCCATGAGGACCTCTGTGAGAAGAGGACGGCAGCCACCATTGCGACCCATGACCTCTGTGCTGTACGAGGGCCCCTACTGTACACAGCCCGGCCACCCCAGGACTTCAAGGTGCTGCCTGTCCTACCCTGCTCTGCCTGCACCTTAAGGTTTTCCTTAGGGTTTTTCCAAGATGTACAGGTTGATGGTTGAGCCCGAGCATCCTAAAGTAATCTGGCTCCCAGCAAGGCCATGGCTGAAGTGAGGAGCCAGGCCCTATCTGGATTATGTCCCACTTGCAAAACATCTGTCTTGGGTTGATTGTGTAAACTGTGGCTGCACAGTGTTGCTCTTGGCTGTTGCTTTCCATGCTCAGATTGTGCCCTGAGGCTGGGGGCCCTCAGGTTCCAGCTGCCCATCTGACCTGGCCAGCTCTGACTGTCAAGCCCTGTCTCATGAATCTTCTGAGCACTTGTAGACTCTTAACAAACACAGTTGTCCTTTAGCTGGGTTTAAGGTGAAGCTCAACTTTGGAAGTATTTGAGTGTTGGAGGACTCCAGTCCCCAGTACAGCTTGTCTAGTGGTGATCACATGGGACATGCTGGCATGTTCTGTCCTGGGTCTCCTGGTTTCTGCTCTGGAGATTTGCCAGCTCCCTCGTTCTGGAGACTAGAGTTGGGAGAGGTGTGGGCTGCTGTTAATGCACAAAGGCAAGATCCGCAGGACAGTGAGCTTGGGTTGGGAGGCTAGCGCATATCTTGGATTTCTGCCCGGACAGATCGTCCCCTTAGGGCGGAAAGAAGTCAAAGCCAAGGAGCTGGTACGGCAGCTGCAGCTGGAGGCCGAGGAACAGAGGAAGCAGAAGAAAAGGCAGAGTGTCTCGGGGCTGCACAGGTGGGTCAGCTAGTGCTACAGCATTGGGATGGCAGCATACCACTTTCCATTGAGTCGTCTCCTGCTTCTCAGCAAGTTCCCAAAGTTGCCAGAGGCTGAAAACTTCTTAAAAGTGCAGGAGGGAGGAAAGAAACCTCCTCACACTTCCTGCTCTTCAAGGAACCCATGCTCAGTGTCCAGGAGTAGAGAGCCTGCTCCAGGGAGCCTGTGGGTGCTGAGGTGGAGATTTCACCCCTTTTTCACAGAAGCAGGGTGGCCCTTGGGACAGGATGGAAACTAGCCAGACTTACCTGGCTCCTGCACCATTGGGCACATCAGCAAGGACGAGTGCAGAGATCGACTGTGCGTGCTGCTTGGAAGCAGGTTGAGCTCGTGCCTTGATGTGGCACTAATTATGTCCATGGAGCTGTTTGCTCCTCTTATTTGCTTGGTTTTGCCCATAGATGTGTTCTAACAGCCTGCCTACAATCTGTGTTTCTTCCCACACAGATACCTGCACTTGCTGGATGGGAAGGAAAATTACCCTTGTCTTGTGGATGCAGATGGAGATGTGATTTCTTTCCCGCCAATAACAAACAGTGAGAAGACAAAGGTAGGGCAGTGTCCAAAAAGTGGATGTGTCTTTCAGGCTTAGAGTCCCCTCTTGTGGTGATAGAAATGCAAGTAGAGTGGCTGAGGTGGAGACCTGCTCACACCTGGTACTACCCCATTGCCATGAGTTACAGGCTCCAGTCTGCAGCCCTCATTAGAATGTCACAGTCTTTGCTTTTTGTACTTTTGTAGATTTTTCTATAGAATCTGTGTTGTAGTTGCTGGTGTCCACTTCTGATAACTTTTCTTTTCTGAAATCTAACTTTTTTAAGATTAAGAAAAAAACATGTGACTTGTTCTTGGAAGTAACAAGTGCCACCAGCCTGCAGATCTGCAGAGACATCATGGACGCCCTCGTACTGGTGAGTAAACTTCTCCCAGCAGGGCAACATGGCCACCTCAGGCTTCACGGGGTACAGAAGCCTGTCTTTCCTGGGTCGCCTCTCAGCTCTCAGTTAAAAAGAGAATTTTTCTTTGCAGAAAATGGCAGAACTGAACAAATACACTGTAGAAAACAAAGAGGAAGGGTCACTCTCAGATACGGAAGCTGATGCACTTTCTGGACAACCTTCAGATCCCCAAAGGAACCCAAGCCCTAGGAAGGATGGACTATGCCCCCTGGTGGTGGAGCAGGTTCGTGTGGTGGACCTGGAGGGGAGCCTGAAGGTGGTGTACCCATCCAAGGTGGACCTGGCTTCTGTTCCTCCCCATGTGGCTGTGGTTCGCTGACAAGCCTGGCTACACATCAGTGCCAGAAGGCTGTGTCACACGTGCCATTGATGGTTTTGCAGAGCTCATGGGTGGTGATGCTGAGTTATCCAGTACCTTTCAGCTCGGTGTTTTTAAGATGTCTGTGCTCTTTGTTCTGCCTTTCTAGGTTGTTGTTGTTAGGTGATGCTGTGTTGTCATTACAACACTACCCTGATCTCACTGGTTTTCATGGAATTACTCAACTACTGGAAATAACTGTTCAAAATGTTCTGAATCATGTAGACACATAGCAAATAATCAACAGGAAAGAAAGACACTAGATGTGCTTTGAACGTGCAGGTGTAAATCGGGATGGGAAAGGATGTGCATTTTATTGAACCGCGGTGATTCTTCTATGACATGGCATCTTTTTACGTCATTTGTGCCAATAGTGGAAGAACATCATGTTCCCAACTTGCATTGATTTTAACCTTTTTATTTAAAAAAGTTTTTAACGTGACCTTAGAGTTGGCAGAGTTACTTTCTTGGGATGTGGCTGTTGGGAGTGATTGAGGGGTGGGAACTGTGCGGGGCCTTCCAGGTGAGCAGCCCCAGGTCTGCGGGCAGCACCAGGACCTGCCTCACATGGCTAGGCCAGGTGTAGAAATGGTGGCTGGTCATCCCTGGTACATCAGCCCCACAGCCACCACAGGTGTCTCTACCCAGCTCTGCATAGATGTGCGGGTTCCTGGGAGTGGACAGGAAGGCTCCACCTGTAGACTGTCAGCTGTTGTCAGTGACTGGGGAAGGCATCAGGCTTTTTAACCAAAACTCATCAAGTATGCGTGCCAAATGAGTGGCTCTCCAGCCTCTTATGTTTTACATGTATCCCATTCTGAACCATGTCTGTGCATGTGTTTGTGTGCGGTCAGCTGCAAACGGAAGCTGCCTTCCTGACCCCATGCCTTACCATCTGGCTGCAGGAAGAAAGACTCACTAGCCTTTGAATTGGTGACACTGTCTTCTGTTTGATGGTCTTTAACCTAAATGGACAGTTTCTGTGCTCTGCAAAGACTGATAATCGTCTCAAGCTTTTGCAAGAGCTCCACTAGCTTCAACCTCAGAGCCAGAGCAGCTGGGGCAGAAGGTCCTTGCAAAGCTGGGTGGCTTTCCAGAGCTTCTGTAGACACACGATGCTTTGCACTCCAGCCTGGATGTCTGGTCCACACCAGGCCTCCACATCAGTCCCTCTGGAGGATGAGGGTGATAAGGATGAGCTTTCTTGGTGGCCTGGCTGGGCTGCCAGGCCCAGCTGTGCCTGGTGACAGCTTTTCCTCTGGTTAGCCAAACTTACCAAATGTCTGTGTAGGTGGGTGGCCTTGGCTTGTCTCATGACTCACTGTTGGGCTGTCAAGCTGCTGATGTGTATCTCTGTGAGGCCCAGGATACCCTCCCTAGACAGGCACCTCGGCAGTTACTCAGGTTCCTTTGGGTAGCTGCAGCAGAGGGTTACCCACTGTGTGACTCAGCCCAGACAAGAGAGCCAGTCTGTCCTGTGGGCTCCCCAGGACTAGGGCTCAATTGTTGTCATCGTTGTCACCACACTAATGTGGACAAAGCCACCAGCTCCTGCCGATCTCTTTTCTGATGCAGCCTGATAGTGTGTGAGATTTTGGAAATATTTGAATTCACATCAGAAAGCCTCTTTGTTCTTTTTGCCATTCAACTCTCTAATAAAAAACATTTGATAGGAAACATCTCTGCTCCTACCCAGTAATCCTTTCCTACTGGCGTCTTCAGAGGCCATGGGGACCTAGGGCTTGTGCAGTCAATGTGTGATGCTCCTACACTCCCTGCCCAAATCTGGACCCCCATCAGGGTCTCCCTCTGTCTAGTTACTAGGGTGGGCCCAGCATTCTATCCTTCTCCTTCTCTGGGAGGGGAGCTGAATGGCCCCTGGCAGGGTCCCATCCATTCTCTTCCTGTAGCTTTTAGGGCCTGAGCCCAGGGACCTGGCCTTGGAGGTTGGAGTGGGGCTGAGGCCTGAGTGGAGATCACTGAGGTAGCTGAGTGGATGCTGTAGGCATTTGGAGTGCTGGCCCATCTAGTGCCTCTGAACTTGTGTTGCAGCCCTGCAGGGGTAATGCAAGAGCCCCAGGCCAAAAATGGTGCTAACTGCCAGGGGTAAGCTGGCGGTGCCTATCTGGCTTCAGGGCACAGGGTATGGCTGGCTTGGTGGGGCAGACCCCAGCGTCACCAGGGAGCACTAGACCTTCTGGAGGAGCTCCTGGTCCTTCCTCCTTTTCACTCCCAGCTGTTGCCTCTAGTGTGTGGAAAGCCCCTGTACATTGTCCCTCCCATCTCACCTCTCCACTGCTCTGGTCCAGCTGGCTCAGGCACATTGGGCCTGTCTACCCACACCCCTACTCCTAGGGCTCCTCCGTAGGAGCAGCCTCCCTCTGCCCTGTGCCCTGCCTGCCCCTGACCAGGGCCACACCAGGCCTTGGGGACCTCAGGACATTTGGGCAGAGTGTTGAGCTTGGGGGGCTCCCCAGAGGCTGGGTAGCCACAAAATGCTCTCCCCTTGACTCCCAGTCTGGGGGCCCAGCAGCCTGTATCTCCCCACAGCCCCCACTTGGTGCCCATCCTGCAGAGGCTGCAGAACTCCAGCTGGCTGCTTCTCCCCAGGGGTGGCTACACCAGGGTCGGGGGTCTCTTGGAGCTAAGGGGCAGGCTTCCACCGAAGGGCTGCTGCCTAGAGACCATGGCCCAGGACAGTCCCCACCACTCTTCAGAGTCCCAGCCAGTGGCCTCTTTGGAGTGGGGAAGTGCCAGTGGGGAATGTCTCTGCCCTCCCTGCCCAGCTTGGCCAAGCCTTTCTGGCTGTTTGTGACTGTGGCAAGGGACACTGGGGAGGGGCTCCAGCCTGGGGCCAAGCACAGCCTCTGCTTTCTGGCACCTGGATTGTCTCTCGGCCTCCCTTACCCATGGCCCTGAGGATGGAAACATCAGCCCTGGGTGAGGACCACTTTACTGAAGGCCTGCTGGCCTGAGACACTTTGCAGTAGATAAGGACTGGGACCGACAGCCAGGGAGATGGGACCAAAGTCCCTGAGACAGCTCGCTTCAGCAGCTCCAAAGTGGCAACAGCCTTGTCCACCTGTGGTTGGGTGGGGAAGGTCAGGTCCAGCAAACTCTGACCCCTCAGGCCTGTGCATGTCCTGGGGAGAGGGCCCAGCCAGGAGGGGGCACATTCCAAGGCTGAGAGCCAAACGAGGAGCTGTGGGGAGGAGCAGGTAGGTCTTGCTGAGAGTCATGCCTGGCTGGGCATCCAGGGCAGTCCCAGAGGAGCTGGCATCACGTTCCTTCCAACAGTGAACCTTTCATGCATGTAGGCTGTGCCACAAAAACCTTTAAGGAGTCAGGCCCTGCCTGGGGAGGGAAGATTCCAGCCCTCTCCCCACCCTTACCCCAGGTGCACCCAGTTACCATCCTCCTATAAGGCCACCCCTGTGTGGTGGGTGGCCTGGAAATGTCCACGCTCCCTTTGTTGGGGAAAGCGTGGTGGGCTTGGGACCAGGAGGCTGCTCCCATGAACTGTCTGGGGCTGGGACTCATCCCCCAGGGAAGGGTGGTCAGGGGACATAGCCTGTGTCACAGCCCTGAGCCTATATCACTGCCCTCCCTGTATAACTAGGAGTCAAAAAAAAAAAAAAAAAAAAAAACGCCCAGAGAGGGTAGGGGTCCTGTCCAGGGCCACAGGCTCTGCACGATGCCCTCAGGGAGAGGTCCACCTGGGACTGCCAGGGAGGGTAGGCTTGGTTTGTATGCAGAAAACACCATCCCAGCCTTGACTATGAAAGGGCCTAGGCCCTGGGCTGGAAAGAACCATTGCCCAGGTTGGCCAGGGGACTCTGGGGGGGCCTGGGTTGCAAGGTCCAGATTGGGGGTGTCCAGCTCTGCTAGGACAGGGCCTAGGTCTCCAGCTATATGTGTCCCTGGGTGACTGCCTGTGCTGGAGCATTTGTCTGAGGTGCCAGTACCTGTGCCCTGTGTGCTGTCTGCCCCTGGGGTCTGTGTGTATCGACTGTATACATACAGTCTATGTATAAGGAGGAGATCTGCGCATGCAAGGTGTCCCTCCATGCCTGTGCCCTGAGTGCATGTGGTTAGTCACAAATGTGTGAGTCGGGCAGCGTTTATTTGCACTTGTGCACGTAGTAGCCGGTGACATAGCCCAGAATGAAGATGGCCCAGAAGAGGGCCACTCCACCCAGCACCTTCATGGCGATGCCCAGCTTGCCCGTGCACAGTTTTCTGCAGATCCTACGGTGAGAAACAGCAGAGGGTAAGCCCACGTTAAAACACGGGGGCGCCTCTTGAGTGGCCCATGGGGTGAGGCTGGGACAGCAAGGGGAAGGCCCAGGGCAGGTGGCCCTGAGGGAGGCGACCAGGCTGGTCAGGAGGAGGTTTATATGCCCTGCTGGAGTTGGGAGGCACACGTCCACCCAGAGCCAAGCCAAAGGAAGGCCGAGGGCTGAGGTTGTCTGAGAACTCTGGGTTGAGGGCACACAGCCAGGCTGGCACGGGAGGGTAACAAAGCCTATGTCTGCTGACCAACTTGTGGGGAGCTTCACCTCCTCCAGGAAGTCTCCTCGATGCTGGACGCCGCTGTCATGCTGACTTCATCCCTGCTGCCATCATCCCACCTACTGTAGTGGACGCTGCTTTCCTGGGGTTGCATGCTGCCAGGGCTGTGGCTGTCACTGGGGGGAGACCGAGGCAAGCATCAGTACAGCTCATGAAGGACAGTCTGGGGCTGCTGTTAGGATAGGGTCTGCCTGGAAGGAAGGGAGGGAGGGGGCAATGGTGGACTTGGCTCACCTGACTTACCAAGGTGTTTAAGTAACTATCCCAGGTCACATGGGACTTAGAGGTCCAGCAGCTAAGAGGCCCAGCCCTGACCTCAGGAATGTGGGCAGCCCTCTGGGCCTCCTCGAGGTGCACTTATCGGGAGGCCTGCACAGCTCCAAAACCAAGACCCTGTGGCCAGGCCCAGCTGCTACAGCCGATAACTCTTTCTCTCTAGCCCTGCAGATAAGGCCGGGTGCTGCCCTCCCGAGAGTCTGGCAAGGAAAGGGATGAGCAGCAGGCGGTGGCTGGTACAGCCAGTGCAGCCAACTGGGGAGGAGGTCTGACCACCCTGGGCAGTGGCAGCAGCTGTCCTCGGCCCTCCCCCACACTCTCTGAAAGGGGTCGTGCAGAAATAGATAGGAGAATAATGGGACCACGTGGTGCCCAGAGCAGAAAGTGCCCCACATGTAGACCAGTTCTGCTGGACTTTGACTCCCCTTGCAGCCCAGCATATACATGATGCTGGGCACCTCAAGAAAAGAGGGTGGGACTGAAAGGGGAATCACAGAGTTGTAAGGTAGCCACATAACACTACTCCTGCCTCTTGCCCAGAGAACTGCACTGGTTGTTTTTTTTTTTGTTTGTTTTTTTGTGGTGCTGGTGTTTGAACTCAGGACCTATACCTTGAGCCACTCCACCAGTCCTTTCTTGTGATGGGTTTTTTCAAGATCGGGTCTCATGAACTATGCCTAGGGCAGGCTTCAAACCTCAATCCTCCTGATTTCTGCCTCCTGAGTAGCTAGAATTACAGGCCTGGCACCCAGCTGCACTGGGTTCTTGACTAAGTGTCTAACCTCTGTTACAAACTCCAGTTTACCCAAGGGAGGACGGGCACTAGACGTCCAGGGCTCACCCAGGCTGTGGGGCAGGGCAGTTCTGTCTGCTGGGTACCCGACATTCCCCTGTGGTATCCAGCCCCAGCTGGGGGTATCCAGGCAGCAGTGGTAGGCCCCTTGCTCCTGGAGGCTGAGCTGCTGGGCCCTGCACAGCGGGATGCTCCCTGTTCTCCCAGAAAATCCTGCACATAGCAGACTAAAGGCACAGCAGGCCACTGACCTGTAAGAAGCCAACTCTGAAACTCAAGACAGCCAGCTGTTAATTCCCTGCCATGCTTCTGGATCTGCCAGGCCAGCAGGAGAGGAGGGGGCAAGGCGGGGACTAAACCAAAGCCATCTTCAGGTGGCCCTTGGCTGGCATTCAGACCCAGGGAGGTCAAGTGTTACCAGAGTGTAGGCTCTGCCTTCTGAGAGTGCCAGGCAGGTGGGCTGTTGGCCAACTGTCAGCTGCCGGCCCAGGGCTCACCCCTCCCTCCTGGAGAGCAGAATCTCAATCCTGTTTCTGGCAGCAATGCGTCGGCCCCAGACGACAGCCACTGCTAGGCTAAGATAAGCATGATGCCCTTGATCCCTTCTTTCCCGAGTCACCAGCTGTGGGCAAAGTGCTGGGGCAGCAGGTGGAATGGTGGAGCTTCCATGAAATTAACAGTAGCCACCTTCCTTGGTGTGCTGACTGGAGCTGTGGCAGCCTCTTTGAAGCCCAGGTAGCCATGCAACATTAGCCCTTAGCACTGTCTCCACATCCACACCAGAAACTGCCTACCTATAGGTTTTTGGGTTGAGGAATTTGTCCAAGACTTGGAGAACACGTGGCTCCCAGGGCGTGCTAGCCGGGCAAGATGCCAGTGAGGTGCCTCGGACAGGACTCTGCAAGGCTTCCTTCCCTTCCGTCCAACAGCTACAGGTACTGCCAGGGCCCCCTCCCCCCACCCAAGCCTCTGGAGCCTCAGGGCCGGCTACCACGCGCTCCTCGGAGAAGGCCTTCACAGGAGTCCTCCACGCAGCGGCTCCCAGTTAGACCCACTGGCCCCAAAGCGCCTCGGGAGACCCCGCACTTACACAGGCGAGTCTGGGGGTGCTGAAGCTTGGGGCCCAGGAGGAAGGTCAGGGCCTGGCCAGTGGATCCCACCACCGCAGAGCTAGGCGGGCCAGGGTTTGCGGTGCAGGTGGATGCCTCAAGCTTTAAATAAACAAAACAAAGGTGAAGAGAGGAGTGGCTGGCTAGGGGCGGGAAGGGAAACTTGCCCCGAGGGTGTCCCCAGACTCCTCGAGGAGCTGGGCGGGCAGTTCCGGGCATGGCAGCCCCACAGCGGTTAGGCCTGGTCGGACCGGCCAGCCCTCCCCAGCCCCGCAATCCTCGGAGGGCCCCGGGCACGCAGCCAGGCCCACCTCCTCCCGCGGCCGCCCCAAGAAGCTGCAGCTCCGCGTCTCACCTGCGCCCCCCGCCGGGCAGCGGCGCTAGCGGCGGACGCGTCCCAGGGTCTGGAGTGAATGGGGCGGGGCCTTGAGTGGGGTCTGAGGCGGGCGGGGGCGGGGCCTCGGGAGGGGGCGGGGTTAAGATGGGGAGGGGCCTGGGATAGCCCAGACCCAGGCTGGAGCGGGGCTGCGGTGGGCGGGGCCATGCCGGGAAAGGTGGAGCCGGGAGGAGCGCGCCCGGTCCTTAAGGGGAGGCGGAGGGCTGGACACGAAGTCCAGGCCCCAGGCCGCTGGACGCCGCCGCCGAGAGGTGCAGGCTGCGAGAGGAGCCTGCAGAGGGCACCCGGTCCTCCCCTAGCCGTGCCGAGCGCGCAGACGAGGCTCCAAGAGGCCCTGGGCGCAGCTGGGTACCACCGGAAGCCAGGAGCCTCATCTCGGCCCCAGGTCTTATGTTCGGATCCCGGTGGCCCGGCTGCCTCCCAGAGGCCAAGGACCGGGCCACGGGGACCGTCTTCGTCCCGGGCTGGAGAGCCCGAGATCGGGCGCGCATCTTTACGTGGCTCGCCCTGAGTGCATGTTGCTGCCGGATTGAAAGCATGTGTGCGCAGGTGTGGGTGGAGAGCGTCGAGGACGTGAGGGTGATGGATGCCTTCCTCGGCACATACTCTTCCACCCAGAGTCCACGATGCCTGAATGTCCTGACCACGGAGGTCCAGGAGCAAAGGCATGGGAAGAGTTCCCACCCCTGACCCACCCTCTTCCAAAGGGGTCCACCAGCAAGAGAGTGGCCCAGCTAGGTAAGTTCCCCTGGCAGGAGGTCACAGGTCCCTGCGTGTGCAGCAGGTGAGGTCTAGGGAGCTTTGGAAAGGGGCGTGTGTGTAGCTCAAGTCATAAGAAGAGAATACATCCCTGGTGGGTACAAGGGAAGATGACACCATAGCCAACACTGGTGTTTAATTCTGTATGAGATAGGGGGACACCCAGGGTGGCTCCCCCAGTAGGGTCCTGGCCTCAGCTGCACCAACCATGTCCTGGGGTCCAGAGCTGAGCCTACTTGGTGGTGATCTTCTTGGACTTGCTGGGCAGCACAGTGTCGGACTGCTGCAGGGGGGGCACTTTGACCCCTTTCTGCTTCAGCTGGTTATAGTAGTCACCTCTCTCTGAGATGATCCTCTAGACAAGAAATGCAGCCGTTGGTGGCCTTCTCAGTCTCTCTCCCTTGAGTTTGAAGCCAGTCCGCCCCCTTTATTCCCTGGGAAGGGCTCTGCAGCAGTGCTGTACAAGTACTTATTTACAACAAAACTCTCCCTGTGTCATCTGCTGGTTCCTGAGGTGCAAACACTCCAGGCTGATCTTCAACCTGGGGTTTGGGGTGAAGTCACAGGAAGTGGGGGTGGGAGGAGACCCACACCATGGCTCCTGGGTCAGCTCACCCCGGAAGCCTGCACTGAATCCACCACTTCCATCTTCTCAGGATTGTGAGGCCGGGCGGTCACCCCTTCCATCCTGTGCAGAGGGAGTCTCCTCCTTCTCACCAGCCCCTGCTCTCACCTTTGCTGTTGGCGTCAGACAGAAGCACAGGAGTGCAGGCATCTCCCTGGCTGCTGCGCCCTGCTCTGCTGGGAGACATCCACCAGGCCTATCCCCCTCGGGTCTCAGGGAAAGAGTGAGTGCGGCCACACAGGGCAGTGCCAGGAGGAGAGGTGTGGGCCTCGAGAACAGAAGCCGCGGCTAGTAAGAAGTGACAGCCCCACCCAGAGCAGTGTCACTGGCCTCCAGAGCTCTGAGTCCCCTATACCTCTAAGGTAGGCATGCCCTGACCCCATTTAAGGTAGAGGGTCCTATAGCTGAGAGAGGTGAAGGAGTGGTCCACGGAGGGTGGCACCAGGGCCTACAGGTCAGGGAGGAGCTGGCAAGGCTGAGGCTGGGAGGGAAGGGCGTTGCCAAGGTCCTGGCCCAGGGAGGGGGGCTCTTCCACTAAGGGCCCGAGCAGGGCAGAGAACCCCCACAACGCAGGCAGTTTGTCGTCTTTCCCTTTGTGGGGACCAGTGGCTGCAGTTGCTGGACATCACTGACTACCCTTCCCCTTTACACTGAGTGCAGTCCAGACTCCCCAGCTCTGTGCCGTGACCCCTAGGGATGGTCAGGTTCCCTCTTCCTGAGCAGAGAAAAAGGATGATCCCAGCATCACAGTGCACAGGTGACACGACTGGTGTGAGAACAGGGCCCCCTGAATCCCACCAAGGCCTGAGCACTAAAGGCACACCTGCAAGGCATCCAGGATGCAGTTGTCGGAGATTTCTGTGGCCATGGCCTTGAATCCGGTGACACTGAAGGCAGCCTGGATGACCTTATTCCTCAGTCTCTCGAGCTGCAAGCACAGAGGGGCCACCGTTGCTCGACACTGCCAGAAAGACTTGGTGCGTTGGCTGTGCCATGCCCTCGGAGCAGTGAAGGAAGGTACATTTTTCTCTGTCTTATAATTCTAGGAGCTGGTAATGGGGGTAGGAGAGGTCACATGGTCTGCCTGGGAGCTTGATGATGCTGGATCAGAATCCAGACCCTGGGTGACCTAGTGTCAAAGCCCAAAAGCTTTACCATGCCAACTTTTTGTCTGTTTTTAAATTGGAAAAGTAAAATCTGCACATGATTGTTTTTTTGGTTTTGGTTTTTGTTTTTAGTGAAGGGCTGAGGATGTACCTCAGTGGTAGCATGCTTGCCTAGCATGTGTTAGGACCCGAGTTCTATTTACAGTACGGCAAAAATAGTAAGTAATTAAAATATAAATAGTACAAAGCTGCACACAACCCCTAGGGCATCCTGCTCTCTCCCCCGTAGTGGACACTCTCCAGGAAGCTAATAGGACAGTTCTGAGCATGCTATTGGCTCCTGGGCTGTGGCCTTTAGCAATCATATGGTGATCTCTCTATCGGCACACACGCTGCTGTGTTCCAGTGTTTGCTGCCATAAACACCCCTGTGCGTGGATGGGGCCCCACCTGCCCCCAGGAGTAAACCAGTTATGCTTCCTAGGAAACCACAGAGAAAATCTTCCCGTCTGCATCCCAGGAGTCCTCAGCCAAGGCCCCGGAGTCAGGGCTACAAGATCAGCACCAGCTCCTTGCCCTCGATATCCAGGGGTGACAATTCAGAAATGCCCAGTGAGAACCACAGAGAAGTGACATTGCCTGGGGGCTGTGCACAGGTCTGTTTTGCCTGTGGGGCAGGTTTAGGCAACAGTGGGGGGACATCAGTTTTCCTGGACCTTGAGGAGGGAAGGTTCTCTCTTCCTTTTCAGTATTTATTAGGTGCTCACCCCATGCAAGCACCATGCTAGGGCTAGAGTTGCCAAGGGTATGAAGGGCTCTGTCTTTGTTCCAGGGATGGCAGTCACCTGGGGTGCCCAGTCTCAGTTCCCCACACCTGCGTGAGCTTCATCCATTGGCCACGGGACTATGACTTGTGGACCCCAGTCTCAAACTCAAAATTCTTCTCTCAACACAGCATCCCAGGCTCTACTAAGTCCGTGTGCACTGGTAAACAATGAAATAGATACCTTCCCCCACCTAGAAGTTTCCTTGGGATTACTGCTGTATTAGAAAGTTTTAAGGGCCAGACACAGCGTCCACAGCCCTTTCCCTTTGCTTCATTCTGGATCCTAAACCAAGATCACCCTGAATTGACTTCCTGTTTGGGCCCAGGTCGCTCACATCAGGTGTACGCTTCCCCGTGTGTGGGTGAAACTGCTGGGTTCCGGCCCCAGCACCTTCTGCAAGTGGTCATCCATCCTCGCTGCTTCTTATTCTTCATCCCTCCACCTGGAGTCCTTCTCCTTCTGGGCCAGCAATCCAAGTCCTTTTGCACCTTCGTAGCCCAACCCAAGGCCCACTTCCTCTGTAAGCAAGGCCGGCCCCTGCCCACTGTGCTCCCTCTTGCTGACATCACCCACTGAAGTTTTCATAATTCTCCACACACCCTCGCTCTGTCTTCCCATTTCTTGAGGGTCAACCCTGTCTGGTTGCTGAGATCAAGGCAGGTCTGCCCCAGTGGGCAGTGGGCAAGGGAACTAGACTAGGGCTGTTGCCTGCCAGTCACAGGCCAAGGCCTGCAGAGGGCAGGGCTGGACCTACCCTGGACTGGGCGCTCTCCAGGGCCACTCGGGCCTGCTGCTCTGCTTGCTGGATCATCTCGTTCCTGCTATGCAGGTCTTCCTGCAGCTGCTTCCACCGCTGCAAGTGGTTCTGGCACTGGTCCAGCTGTGCCTGCAGCTTGCCAACAGTGGTGTTCAGTTGGGTGATGGTAAGGTTGCATTCAGCGAGCTCTGTCTCCAAGTCTGACACTCTCTAGGGAGAGCCAGGAGGGCAGAAGAGGAGTCCATCTGGTGCAAATCATTCCTCTGCTTTTCCCCTGGGTTCCTCCAGCCCAGCTGGGATCCAACCATTCAAGGGGCCCCTCGTGTGGTTCTGTGACCTTGATGTATTTACTGCCTGAAGAGGCACTAGCTCAGCTGTGAAGATGCCTGGCCTCATCTTGCCTGAGACTGTATCCCAACTCACAGCAAGGATGGTCCCCTGGCCAAATCCACCACCACCCAGGCTGTCACCTGTCGGAGGATGAGGTTTTCCTTCTCGATGAGCCCCATCATCTCCTGGTGCTTCTTATCCTCCCGGAGGTTGGAGAACTGGAAGGCAGAAGAGTCAACCTGGGTCCCAGGACCAGAGGACAGACAGAGCGGGATGCCTTCCCTCCAGCCCTCAGCCTCCTGAAGTGAAAGCATGGGATTTCTGTGGAGGAGATGGACAGGGGGAGACAGAGCCCCAGAAACACTGGAAGGTGAAGGGCAGAGTGCAGAGTGGTATCTGATGTTGCAGATCCAAGGAGTCAGATCCAGGGATTCACACTCCAAGCCAGAGGGCAGCAGGGCTATGGCTGGACACATGGGTGTCCCAAGACCCAAGTGGGAAGCCCAGTTCTGCCTCCATCAGACCCTGGGCCAACTGCACAGATCCCTGAACTCCAAGTTTCCGTCAGTAAGATGGGACAGGCTGGGTCTCCCTGAGCTGCTGGGGGCTAGTGGAGCCTGTGACCATTCTCACTGGCCGAGGCCCATGGCGTCACAGAGCACATGGCCACCTTGTCAGACATGGCCTGGATCTGCTGCTTTCGCTCCCGGAGCTCCTTCTGCAGCATCTCATTTTCTGTGTTGACCTTTCGCTGCTGGGATTCTTGGAAATCCACTTGTCGCTGTAAGGACGTGATGGCTCCTGCCATGAGCAAGGGGAAGACAGGCAGAGTAAGAGGACAATGAACGGGAAGATAGGGAAGATGGAGCTGGGTGTCTGTGGCATCTGAGATATGTGCGTGCCCCTGCCTGGACACCTTCCCTTGCACTGCTCCTGGCCAAGAGGGACAGGCATCTTCTGTCCCTCCAACCCACTGAGCAGAGCAGGCAGGGCTGGGTGTCTGCACCCTCCTACCTGTGGCAAGGGAGTGTCTGGTCCTGGTGATCTCCAGTTCGCTCTGGAAGTCCATCAGCATGTGCTCATACTCCTCCAGCTGGGCCAGCAGCTCCTCCTCAAAGGACTCAGTCAGAGAGTACACCCTCCTCCTGGGTTGCTCATCTTCCTCTGGCAGCTCCCACAGGTCCTCCCCTCCTCCACCTCCTCTTTCTGTGGCTCCTCCTCCTCCTCCTCCCCCTCTTCCTCCTCTTCAGCCCTTTCTGCTTCCTCTTGCTTCTCCTGAGTGCCCTCCTCGTGTGCAGACTCTGTCCTGCCCATGCTGTGCCTTGCTATGGCCTTTGTGGCCCCCTCAGACTCTTCTTCAGGACCCTTTTCCTCCTCCATACCACTCAGCTCCAGCTGTGGCTCCTTGCCTTGCTCTGTCATGTCACACTCCTCCTCTTGTGTCTGCAGGAGGAGGAAGAAGGGGGCTGAGCAAGGGAATGGGTGCTCCCAGGGCAGGAGAGGAGGCCACCAACCCCAGCCCAGGCATCCCAGGTTTCAGTCTCACCCTTCTGTGGTCAACACACTACAACTGACCACTCCAGAGGAGGGGAGGATATGAGCCAACCCACCACCCTCACCTGCACTTGGGAAGGGCAACCCTGGGTCAGGGCTGCAGGCAGAGATGCCAGCCTAGGCTGCCTTAGCACCTGGCACCCCCTGGGTCAGCCCTGGAGTAGCTGAGGCCATGCAGCCTGGGGACTCCTGGAACGAAAGCGTGCATGCACTGTGTAGCCAGCTCCACACCTGAACCCACGGCTGCAGCTCCTCCTTATCTCTGTAGATGCCCTTCAGGATTCTCAGCTTCCCCAGCTCCAGCGGAGCCTCTGAGGGCCACTCCTGTGGGATACTGCTGTGAGCCACAATGGGAAAATGCCCCATCCCAGCTGTCCTCCTGGAAGGGGACAGCAGACTCTCCAAGTCGGGTGGGGGTGGTGACTGTGGAAGAGGATGGGGAACTGGGTACCGGGCCAGTAGAGGAGGGCAGTGATCTGCAGATGGGCAGCCCCAGGTAGTGGAAGGCTGTGGGCCCCCACCAGAACAGCCCCAAGTAAGTGACCTTGAGGTAACGGGTGTGCTCATCTTGAGGAGTTGAGGGGCAGCCTTAACGAGCACATGTGGGATGTTACTGTCCAGGTGCCCTGTCCACTTCTACCCACTCAATGACCCTGACCGCCTATGTCTAGGCAGTTTTTCTTTGAGGGTCCAGGGCCTTTGTCCATGGTCTTGAGCCTCAAGCCTGCCCCCCACTTCATGTCTGCACTGGTGTAAGCTCAGGAATCAAGGAAGTCAAGCCTTGGAAACACTGTGGTTCAGGGACCCCATTAAATCTAGTCCTCCATCCAGACCTGGAGGAGGGGCAGCATCCCCACTGCCAACCCCAAGCACAAGGACACCGACGCTGAGAGTGCGTGCCAGGCCAATCCATGCTGCTTGCCACAGCGTGCTGGGAGACCAGGGTGGCCTTCATTCCCCAGATCTCAGAGGTAAGTTCAACCCTCACGTTGTGGGTGGAGAAATGCCCAGAATTTGCCATGACTTGACCCAGGGAGAGCACAGCACCGGGATCTCGATGCCCAGCTCTCAGCTCTAATTTTCATTTCCTGCTCCTGCCTATCTCCTCTGGATTCTGGCTTATAAATCAGAATCCCAAGGCCTAGTCTGTGCTCCAATGAGGACCTGAAAACAGGTCTCTGGGATTTGCCGGGGGCCTGTGGGTACCAGCAGGGTGGACACTTGGGAAACAACCCCACTGCTCATGGGGACGTCTTAGTGCTCCCACACTCCACTCATCAGGAGCTGGCTTACCTTCCTGGGGAAAGCAGTGGATGCCTCTTGGCTTCTGCTTCTGAAGAGGGTTTTCAGCTGCTTCTTCAGGGCCTCTCTCTCCTTTTGGAGCGCCGAGATCTCCTGGTCTTTCTTCTGAACCAGTGTCTTCAGCTTCGAAAGGCGCTGGATCTCCTCTCCCAGAATGAGCAGGGAGTGATCCTAGGCAAGAAAGCAACAGCAACCGCTGGGTCACTTGGCCAGGCAGAGTCTTCCCCCCACCCTGCTCCAGACCACTGGAGAGTGGCAGCTCCCGGCCCAGGAGAAGTAGCTCTGCTGTCCTGAGATTCCCAAATCCCAAGACCTAGATATGTAGCCCCTGTGGCCCTCTCCTGAGAGCAGGTCCCAAATCCTGTCCAAGGGCATTTGGGGTAGCTTTTCCTCCAAGGCTAAATCATGGTCACCACCCCCCCAACTGTGATCCCACACTTAGGCAGCAACACCCTCCAAGAGCCACTTTCTAGGGGCTTGTATGGGAGCCCCTCAACCTTCCATTCTCAAAGTCCCAACTCTATCAGCTCTTCAAACTGAAGGCAAAAAATAAAGATGTCTTCAGGAAAGCAGAAACAAAATTTCTCACCAGCAGATTGGCACTTAGAGAAATGCTAAAGGGAATATCTCTAGACAGAAGGAAAATAATCCCAGGCAGAACATTGTGGAAGGAGAGATAACTACAAATTCGTCACGTTTGGCAATAAAGTGGGATGGGCTTCTATACAGCCCGCAGGTCAAAGAAGAAATCACACAGGAAGTTAGGAAACATTTGGATGTATCAGAGCTTGTGGAATGCAGCTAAAGCTGTGATGAAAACCAAATTCACAGCCTTAAGAGGCGTCTGTTAGGGGAGAGTGGAAAATCAATGATCTAAACCATCCCAAGAATTCAGAAAAGGAACTGCAAATTAAAGAAAGTGGAAGGAAGGGAATAATGAGGCTAGAATTAACGATACAAGGAGGGGGAAGAAGGGGAGCGAGAGAAGGATAAGGCACACATGGCAACATTTTAACATTTGATAAACCTAAAGGGTGTGTGGGAATTATTTGTATTGTTAAACCCCTTCTGTGTGTCTGAAATTAAAAGTTCAATAAGGAACAATCATGCAGATACCACATTGTATCATTCTGGCCCTGGTGGTTTTGGATACAGTTCCCTATCCCAGATATCCCCAATGATTACTGAAAAGTACACACTGGCTTCCTGCTGGGGCTGAGTTTGCTCCATGCCATCTTGAACATGCAGGTGGCTCCCTTGCCACCACACATGAAGAGTTTCATGACAGCTCAGAAGAGAGAAAGAAAACCCTAGTGATTGCATTTGAGCTCCTGGAGGCAGCCAAGCCTGCAGCCCCTCCTTGAATGGTCCACATACATGAAAAGTAAGTCACCACCTGTGCTGCTGTCTGGATTAAAAATGCAGTCACACTATTGTGATTAATCACACATTAGCGTGATCACGATGCAATGAATATCCTGCATGTCTCTGTGGGGCTCGGTGTAATTATATCCAAAGGCTGTTTCTCAGAAGTGGAACTGCTTGGTCAAGAGGAAACACGTCGTAAGCTCTGAATTGTGTCCTGATGTAGTTTCAGAAGCATGGTGGACCGCACTTTCGGGGGCTTGTGCTTCTATCAACCGTTCTACACTTTACTACTCACGTCAATCATTTGCTTTAAAGATTCAACAGTTTTAAAAGATTCGGAAAATAGGGCTGGTGGACCGGCTCCAACAGTAAGAGTGCCTGCCTAGCAAGCATGAGGCCCGGAGTTCCAGCTCCAGTGCTGCTACAAAATCAAAACAAACAAAAAACTCACACCCATTTTAGCCAGGTGCCAGTGGCTCACACCTGTAATCCTAGCTATTTAGGAAGCAGAGAGCAAGAGGATGGTGGTTCAAGGTCAACCCTGGGTAAATAGTTCTCCAGACCCTATCTCAAAAAAAAAAAAAAAATCCATCACACACAAAAAGGGACTGGTGGAGTAGCGCAAGTGGTAGAGCACCTGCCTAGCAAGCATGAAGCTCTAAGTTCAAACACCAGTGCCGCCAAAAAAAAAAAAATTCACAAAATAAACACACTCTAGGGAAAGTCAACAAAACCCAGAGCTGATAGTAGAAGATAAACCTGGAGCAAGACTGAGGAGAGAAGAGAGAGAAGGCAAAGTGGGCAGGACCAGGAATGAAAGCAGTTACCCCTGCAGCGCTCATAGACAGGAAAGGTAATGCTTACCCTTCATTCCCCACAGTGTTAGACTATGAAAGCTGGACATTTATGTGAAATAGGTGCATTCCTAAAAAGTACAGAATAACAAACTGAAAAAGAGGAACTTTCTTTGAGTCTGGTGTGGTAGTACATACCTATAATCCCAGCACTCAGGAGGTGGAAGCAGGAGGGTCACAAGTTCAAAGTCAGCCTGGACTGTATAGTAAGACCCTGTCTAAAGAACAAGAACAACTCCTCTGTAAGAAATCCCCAGGCACAGATGGCTTTGGTGGTGAATTCTTGGCAAAGCTTGTATAACATCTTCCAGAGATTAGGGGGAAGAAAAGTCAAGAAGGGATATTTGTGAACACAAATGCTTATCAATTTCTTTTTTTTAATGAGGCCAGAAAAACTTGAAACAAAAATTTGACAGCAGAATAAGACAATAAATGATAGGTCACCAATCTCTCTCATCAACATAGAATTTTAAATACGGAAATTTTTTGGTGGTATTGGCTTTTGCACTTGGAGCTCTGGGCTTGCTAGGCTGGTACTCTACCATTTGAGCCAAACCCCCATTCCTTTCTCTCATAAACAGATTTTTTTTTAAAAAAAGGAAAGGATAAAATCGGGTGTGCCTGTGGCTTTTGCCTGTAATCCCAGCTACACAGGAGGCAGAGATCAGGAGGATCAAGGTTTGAAGCCAACCGGGGCAAACAGTTTGAGAGACCCTATCTCTAAAAAACCTATCACAAAAAAGGGCTGGTGGAGTGGCTCAAGGCATAGGCCCTGAGTTCAAACCCTAGGACAACAAAAAAAGAAAAAGAAAAGAAGAAGAAGAAAGGATAAGATCAGGGTGTACTAACTTGTACATAAATCTTTGCATATCAAACTGGTCATTATTCTCATTATTTAGAATGTGTGCTCTACAGTACAATTTCTGCGTCAAAATGCAACAGACGCCTAGAGGTCGTACATGCTTGCAAATTCCAGCTGAAACAGCCAACCTCTGGGACAAGGGCTAACAGGGACCAGGGGACCAGGAGATTTGCGGAAGGTCTGGTTCCTTCCACAAAGAACCTTAGGGTTCTCCAGACCCTAAGTAGGGTCTGGAGGTCACCGTACGCCACTTCTGGGCCTGGCTGTTTCAGCTAACCAGATACGGGAGCCAGCGCCTCCTGGCCAATACCTTCTCCTGGAGGACCGAGATGTACCAGGGCACCCTCCTTCCCTGTTGGCTCTGGAGCACCATGGGGCTGCTGGTGACAGGACTCAGGGGACTCAGGGTTGGGGGCTGCCTCCCCTTCCGCAGGTAGCTCAGCTCACAGGCACTCTTACTGAGCGAAGGAGGCGCCCTGTGGAGGAAGCAGAGGTGGTGGGCAGTCAGGTCTCCTGTGACAATGGACTTCCTCAGTGGCCCGTGCCACCATCTAAAGGTTCTGCCAGAGCATGCTTAATGTCCATCTACCCCCACCCTCAACCGGAAGCCCACATGGAGAGCATAGTGAGGCCACCCTTTGACCCACCCACACCTGGCCTAAGGTACGATCAGGAAGTGACCAAGTGCTGCAGTGCACGTCCAGGTCCCCGAGTAGAAGAACCAGAGCCTGGGAGTCAGGATGAGAGGGCCCTCTGGTGTTGCCACCATGCACCCTGAGGCCTTGGGCCCTCCTTGGGCCTTGGTGTCCTGTCTTGAGACTAGGGGTGGGGTGGACTCTCCACCTCTCTGAGTCCCAGGGGAGCTGGTCACTACAGGCCTTGGGCTACCTCAAGTTAAGGCAGAGAGGGAGACATTTGTGGGCACCAACTTCTGGCAAACAGAAGCCCATGAAGTTATAGAAGTGTGTTTCGTGGTACACTGAGGGAGGGTGCACCCCACGCACCCCTCAGTGAGGGACATAGAGCCAGGTGGGGGACAAAATCTTCAACTGCAGTTTTGTTTTGTTTTGTTGGTGGGACCGCAGTTTGAACTCAAAGCTTTGTGCTTGTTTTGTTGTTTGCTTGTGGTACTGGGGTTTGATCTCAGGGCCTACACCTTGAGCCACTCCACCAGCTCCTTTCTCTGATGGGTTTTTCCTGAGCCACACCCTCCAGTCCCATTTTGCTCTGGTTATTTTGGAGATGGGTGTCCAACTATTTGCCCTGGCTGGCTTTGAACCTCAATTCTCCTGATCTCAGCCTCCCAAATACCTGGTATTATAAGTGCGAACCACCAGCACCCAGCTAAAACTGCAGTTTTGCCAAAATGAGAAGCAATGGCGTGGCCACTGTCAGTGAAGGCAGAGCCGTGCTGTGTAGCTGGACCTGGAGCCCCATCTCCAAGAGCCCTTAAGAGGCATGGGGTCTTGGGAAGGAGTTCCAGGGGCAAGAACAGGGGTCCCTGGTGGAGCAGGCCTCGTGCCCAGGTCCTGGCAGGTACAGGTAGAAGACCTTGGGTTCCCCTCACCTTTCTCGCTTGTGTCTGAGCTCTGCCTGTCCAAGAGTGGGTCCTCAGTCACCCTCCAGTTCCCAGAGCTGATGCACACGTCCCTGGGTAGATCGACCATGGTGGCTGAACCTGCAAAGTGCAAGATGCCAGGTGGTGACTGAGAAGGTCTGACCTCCCCAGTACCTCCAAGGTAGAGATTATTATGTCATTTATCTTTAAACACCAGGCAGAACTAGGCTCAGTAGTGCATGCCTGAAATCCCACCTAATTGGGAGGTGGAGATCTTGGAGAATTGTAGTCTGAGGCTAGCCTGGGCAAAAAGTTAGTGAAACCTCATCTCAACCAACAAGCTGGTCGTGGTGTTGTGTATCTGTAATCCAAGCTATGTGGGAGACCTAGGTAGGATCTAGGATCACAGTTCAAGAATGGTCCCAAGCAGAAACTCAAGACCTGATTTGAAAAATAAAGGAAAAAAGGGTTGAGGGTGTTGTTCAAGGTGTGCTCCAGCTTAACAAGCACAAGGCCCTCGGTTCAAACCCCAGTACAGGCAAGAAAAAAAAAAGACTGGGCAAGGGCCAGGTGACCTTCCCACTGGAGGTATGGGATTGAGCAAAGGGACTGAAGCATGGGTTCTAACCTCCTGCCACCATGATGTGTCACCCAAACAGACCGATGGCAGTGCCCCGTAAGCAAAGTGTAGCACCCTCTCCTGGTCCCCCGCCCTCAGCCTTTCAGACTCTTTGGAGGGAGACAATAGATGACAAACAGAAACAGGCGTCATATGTGGGAGCAGGTGGTCTCTTGCGACCCTCCTTCCTGGCCGCCTGCCCGCTCTGCCTGCTGCAGCTCCTGCTTGAACTCCTAGTGCCCAGAGTTCCTGCTAGTTTGGATTTCCAAAGCAGCAGCCATTGCCCCCCAAAAGGCTGACGGTGCTGGGATGCAGGAGGAGGGTTCCTCCAGCCAGCAGCCCTAAGCAGTGACTCTTACCTACGTGGGACACAGATGTGGCCCTGGTGATGAATTGGGGGCAGCCAGGTCGCATGAAGAACACCCTTCTCAGCTCTTCCATTTTGGACACGAAGCCATTTTCAGGTTCGTTCTGGCAGAGAGAAACATGAGACAGTCGCCCAGTGACAAGATGGAGGCCGCTCTCCATCTCTGGTTGAGGGGTCCTGACCCAGGTGCCCATTGCAATGCTCTATGCCCATTCCCCCACCCTGCAACCTGGGACGCTCAGCAAAAGCCACGCAGATCCCATGTCAGAGTCCACCCCTGTCTAGGCCATGGGACATCCATCTAGGAGGCTGTCACGTCTGCAGTCATCGTCTTAGGCCCCCAGCAAATGGCAGGTGCAGGTGACCCGTGCAGCTGGCCTTCCCTTCCTTGTGTCTTCCTTTCCCCCTTCACCTTCCTTTCCTAAAGGAGTCTCAGGACAGCCTGCATTTTCTCCCCCAGTCTCGGGGGACTTCCTCCTCTGGACTTAGAGGAAGTAGGAGTCAAGGTCAGCAGAGGGAGGCCAGTTGGATCCCGCTACCTCCCAGGCCCTTCAGGAAGGATGAGGACAATGACAGCAAAGGCTTTCCCTATAAGTAGCTGCAACCTTTGGCTACTTGGGTTCTGCATATGGCAACCCACTACTAAGTGTCCATGGAGCTCTGTCAGCAGACAACCCCTGAGGTCTCTTGGCCAGTGGGGGGTTAGGAGGGCACAGGTTCAAGGTGTCCGTGTTCAGTGACAGTGCTGCTCCCAGACTGATACCGTCTTAAAGTCGCAGTGGCCTGTGGACTGAGCAGACTGGCTGGGGCTGTGGTGGCTTTCAAACAGCTTCTCCTTCCTATGTTGGGGGTCCCGGTTGGTCACACTCTGGAGGATCATCAGGCCCTTGGCGACCGGGTGGGGTATCAGGTTGTGCCTCTCAGGCGTGCTGGCGATCCTAGGGAACATCGGGAAGGTGCAACTGAAAGACGGAGCTTGGGCAGCTGAGGGACAGTGGCACATTTCTCAGTCTGGCTCAGGCTATCAAGGAGAAGTGGACCTTGACTGTGGACTAGCGACAGGTCTAGGCCAGGGAAGACCAGCTTCCAAAGCTGCAGTCCTACAGGATCCTGGGAGCAGTGTGTGGCATCACAGATGTCTCCATAGAAACAGGGCATGTCATATTTGCCTCAATTTTCTGCAATTAGGAAAAGGAACTGGCAAGGGGACCCAATAGTCGTTCCCACCAAGTCTCAGGATGTCACAAGCATAGAAGTGACAGAAGCTAGCAGCCCAGCCTCCTCTCTTCTGTTTTATCTTCATCTTATTTAAAATCTGACACTTTGTTATGAAAATGTTAGTATCCTTGGTTAAAATCTACTCTTTAGAGGTATTTCCTCACTCCTGAACTTGTAACTCTTTTGAAAAAGTGGAGTTGGGGTGAAGGGAGAGAACCTTTCCAAAGAAGGAATTTTTATTTGTTGTGTTTTGTGGTAAAATACACACAATATAAATTTATGGTCTTAATAATTTTTGGGTAGAGTTCAGTGAACATTGAGTGTCACTGCACGACCATCACCACCCTCCGTACCCCACAGGGAAGTACATCCTATGGGAGCGAGGTGTTATCTCATGGTGGTTTGAACTTGACCTTCCCTCATGATGAGTGGGATGGGTGTCTTCACGGACATTTGAACATCTGTGAAGAACGGTCTGTTTGAATTCTTTGCCCATTTTTTTTTAAATTGAGGAGTGGAGATTTTTGTTGAGTTAATAGGAGTTTTTAAAAAATATATTCTGAATACTAATCCTTTATTAAGTATGATTTGCAAATATTTTCTCTCTTTCTGTGGGTTTCCTTTCTACTCTGTTAACAGCATCCTGTGGTGGATGAAAGCTTAATTTCAATGACATTTTGTAACTTGTCAGACCTAAGGCCGTGAAGATTTACTCTAGCTTTCTCCTAAGAGTTGCGTTGTTTGAGTTTCGAGCTCAGTTCTTTGGTGCATTTCAAGTGAACGTCTGTGTATGGTGTGAGGTTGGCTGCAGCTTCCTTCTTCTGCATTTCCCAACACTTTTTGTTGGAAAGACCGCCCTTTTCCCTCACTGATTTTTTTTTTTTGGAGGGGGCATTGCTGGGGTTTGAACTCAGGGCCCTGTCTTTGCTGACAACCACTCTACCTCTTGAACTGTGCCCCCAACCTTTTTTTTTTTAAATTGTTTTCCTTCAACTTCTCACTACTCTTGGATTTGTATCCTCCATAGCTGTAAGAAAATTAATTTCTGTTGTCTAAACAAAAAAAAATCGTTTTTGAGGAGGTGTCACTAGTTATGACTAGACTGGACCTTGACATGCTCCTGTTTCTGCCTCCTGAGTAGCTGGGGTTACAGATTGTTCACCACCACAGCCAACTCGTATGTTTTCATATGTACCAGAAAAAACGTGGTATTTGTTGTTCTGAGTCTGGCTTATTTAGTTTAACATAATGATATCCAGTTCCATCCATTTTCCTGCAAATGAGATAATTTTCTTCTTTATGCCTCAATAAACCACTAAAATGTTGATTTTTTTTTTTGGTAGTACTAGACTTTGAACTCAGGGCCTCATGCTTGCTAGGCAGGCACCACTTGAACCATTCCCCAGCCCTTTTTGGTTTTTGGGGTGTGTTGGATATTTTTGAGATAGGGTCTTGTGAGCTATTTGCTGGGTTGGCTTTGAACTGCAATCCTCCTGAGCTCTGTCTCCCAAGTAACTGGGATTATAGGTGCGAGCCACTGCCCCCTGGCTTAAAAATGGTGATTTTTTTTTTTTTTAATCTCAAGCAAAAAAAAAAAAAAAGAAAGAAGTCAACAGACCTGTATTTGAGCTCACAGTCTCTTTGCCCACCCTCCACAGAGCATGGAACAAGCTGAACTCCGAATGCAGGGAATAGAAGTGGCCCCAGCTTCCTTTTGAAAGGCATCCAGTTGCCTCATCAGCTTCACCCAGCTGGTCCTCCCAGCGCCTTTTCCTGCTGGCTGCTCTCTCTCACCACCAGGAGCTGATCTGGGCCAGCTCAGAGCTTCAAGAAAATGGGAGTTTTGCTTTGATTTGAGTCTGCCCATCACAGTGAGACAGGTCACTGCTTTTTCTGGGCTCCAGCTGGGGACATTTCCAGTGCTGGAGTTCTCCACATTCTCCCACACTTTATAGAAGGTCAAATCCAAAATTCCTGTTCCTATTCTCACTCTGAACTTTGAGATCTGAAGAAAAGGGTCCGTCTTGAAATTGGGGACTTCAAGAGCTGGATGGGGTGTGAGCTGTCCTGGAGGGTTGGGGAGAAGGGTGAAGGGCCAGCATCCAGGTGCCCACACCAATCCTGGAGGTTTGGCTTTGGATGAGGCAAGTGGCCTCTTGCCCACACAAGACGAAGATGAATGAGTGATGAGTGAGTAATGGCCTTTCCTTAGGTGGGTGATAAAAGTCCCATCCTGAGGACTGCCTAAGAGGATTAAATTTTACACAGAACCTGTATGAGTTTCCTGTGGCTACTGTAACAAAACATGACACTCTAGGTGCTTAAAACATAAGAAACATTCTCTCACAGTTCTGGAGGCAGAAGTCTAAAATCCAGGTGTGGGCAGGGCCGAGGTCCATCTGAGGCCCCAGGGCTGGATCCTCTTCCAGCTTCTGGAGGCTGCAGGTATTTCAAGGTTGTAGCCATGTCCCTTGTCCCTTGTCTCTGCCTCCGTATTTCTTCTCTTCTGTCTGGTCCCCCTCCTCTTGGTTTTCCTCTGTATTTCTCTCACTGATACTCCTGCCAGATGGAGGGCCCATCTTTATCACAATACCCTCAATTCGATTCTATCTGCAAAATCCCTTTTCTCAAACAAGGTCACATTCAGAGGTTCCAGGGATGGTGACATGCACGTATCTTCTGGGAGTCACAACTCAGCACACAGGCACTTAGCTCAGTGCCTGGTACAATGTAAGAATTCATGCAGCATGTTAGCAAACATTAGCATGCAGAGAACCTCCTGACCGCTGCCTCTCGGGAAGCTTTCTAACAAGTACAGTCTTGGACCAGTTACTTGTAGGACACCGTATTTCTTTCCCAGCATTGTTATGAAACTGTGAAGTTGTGTGTAACCTCTACGTACCAGGTGATAGTTACTGTCATCACGCAGCCCCTTAAAACAGAGGCCCAGGGAGGGGCAGGCCCTTTCACCCAGATCTCATGGCTCATGGAGGGAGAGCTGGGAGCTTTACACAGCCTCCTGGGCTCAGCATGAAGTCTTGTCCACCCTTCCTTGCAGGGCCCCTGAGGCTTCCCAAATCAGTCTTTATAAAACTGAGCAGCAGGGCTGTGTTTCCTCCTGCGTTCTGAGAAGGAAGTGTAGAACAAGCAGTTGGATGAAATTCTCAGGTTTGGATTCTAGACTAGAGGGAAGGAGGATTTGTCCTTCTCTGAGTTTCATTAACTTCTTGAATCTGTAAATTTATGTCTCCCACCAAATTCAGAAGTTTTTCAGCCATCATTTCTTCAAATGACATTTTCTGATCTTGTAAAAGAAGTCCCTGGGCTTCCAGAAGGCTAAGCAAGCCGGAAGTACTGGCTCAGGTTCTAACTTCCACCTTCCCCAGTTGTAAAGCAGTGTCCAGAGTCCCAAACCACGAGGTGCCCTTAAGAGTAAGAGTCATTTGGCAAAGAAAGACAGAATAGAGAGAAACCTGCTCCCTGCCAAGAAGCTCTCAGCCACTGAAACTTCTCTAGGGACACCTGGTAATAAGGCAAAGACAACTCTCCCCCTCACAAAAAGCCAGAACAAAAACCCTGATTACATCAGCCTTTTGGGGAAGAGGGGTGGCTTCCTTCCTTACTGGGTAAAGGATATTTGATCCTATCCCTTCCAAAATAACTTTATAGGAAGATGAATTACCCAAAAGTGCTTTCCAAAAAATTTGCAGCATGATATAAAATTAACAAAGAAACCTATTCTATATTGAACTTTCAGCATATTTTAACAAGAAATGGAGCTGTTTTACCACCCTCCAACTCTGAGGAGTAATTCTCACCCTGCTGATTTCTCTCTTGGTAGTTATTTTGTGATCTTTCACGCGTAATTTCCAAGTGTTCGGGAGGTGAGCACATGCTATGGAAGCATATTGTCCTTCCTTTGGTTTTTACACTGGTCCTTTAAATTTAGTTGAACAGGATGGATCCAAATGTCACTTTAGGAGACAATGGTGCATTTTCCCCAAATTTGGAGTGGGCCTAAATTGAGGCAGGTGGCACCCAAAAACGCACCTGGTAACCGAGAGACCCTGGATGTCAGGCCATGGGGTGGACAGGGGCTGTGCTGGCTTCCTAGACGCAGCCACCTATGTCTGTTTGCTGCACCCAGGTCCCGGCCACACTGCAGTCCTTGCAGCCGGAGGTTTCAAGACCTGTATTGATAAACACCCGATTGGAAAGTCAGATTACTAAAAACCTATTTATTTTTAGTTGCAATGCCAATGTTTTCAAAGATAGCAATTAGCAAGAAAAGCCCTCTTGTGAATCAGGAAAGTCCTGTGGAAGAGGCTCCACCAGCCGGGAGGTAACAGGCTCAGAGAAACCGCTCCAAGGTAGGGACAGCGGCAGGTGTAAGCGGAGCAGGCCAGAACTTGCCTCTACTGCAACCCCGGCGCCCCACAACCAGGACCCGGCCAGGGCCACGCCCTCGATCGGAGCCCCGCCCAACACCAGGCTCCGCCCACTATCAGGGCCCGCCCCCGGCCAGAGCCCCACCCACAACCAGGGACCCGCCCCGAGCCCCGCCCACAGCGAGGGCACACCCCCCCACACCAGGGCCCCTCCCACTGTCAGGGCCCCGTCCTCGACCAGAGCCCCTCCCCATGATCAGACCCCCCGCCCTCCAGCCCAGCCACCGACCAGTGCCCCGCCCTATGGGTAGGGTCCCGCCCTGCGCCCTGCGCCCTGCGCCCTGCGCCCTGCTCTTGTCCCCATCTTTGGTGATGGGGATGGTCCTGGGATCGCACCAGGTGTATGCCTTCCCTTGTGAGCCCGGGATGGGCCTGTTGTCCGTGGGGGCCTGCGCAGACCACCCCACCTCCTCCTGCAATGGCGCGGTCCTCTCCGGAGATCGTGCTGCAGAAGAGCCGCTTGAGAAAAGGGTCTCCACCAGACGGCCCCCCAGAGTGGCCTCTGACGCTTCCTTCTGGTACCCATTGTTAGTGGTCCAGACTGTTGATCCGCTAACTGGTACGGCGAGTCTCGCCATACTTTGTTAAAACGTTTTGTCTTCTTGAAACTGGAGTTTTGGACCCAAGGATTCCATATGCCAGGCCGGGCCAGTAGCCCCTAAACGCTAAATAGAGGCCTGGCAAAGGCAGAGAAAGGAGGTTTATTACAGGGCATAAACCAGGACACGCCGTGGGAAGAGGCAGAGTGAGCACTCAGCTCATCTTCAGCCATCTTCTGGGAAGAGACATGAGTTACCAATTTAAGTAGAAAAAAGAACTGGGGGCAGGGCACAAATGTATGCATAGTTAAGCAGTCCCAGTCACAGGTGTGTTCTGGCTGACCATTATCTCAGTCCCAGGGCTCTGAGAAGGGGTCTGGAGAAGTTCTTACCGCTGTCATCACTTGAGGGGAGCAATCTGGTTCCCATGAGATGATTACTCCTGCTCCAGGGTGCAGCTCCATCACTACAGGTAATTGTCCTCATTTGGAGGGGTGGTCTGTCCTGCAAGTCTCTGCTGTTACTTACAGAAAGTTTCAGTCCCTTGTCATAAAGGTGTTAGCAGTTCTGTCCTTTCTGGAATCCAAGGTGATTGCAAAGTGACTGCAAAGAGAACGGCTTAGAGCAAAGACAAATACAAAATGGAGGCAGGGATGCCAAGCTTCTCCTGTGTTTAGTCAATCCGTGGACCCAAGTAAGGAGTCAGTGTTTTTCAGCAAAACAGTTTGAGCACCTCTTACATTCTGTCCAGTTTCACGCCATGGGCCTTTGCAGAGGGCCACCCTGTGCGCTGGAGTCATCCAGCTTTGCCTACTTGGTCTCCATTCATTCTCCTGGCATGGTGCCCCTCCTCCTGAGGGCACCTTTGCCCCTCCCAGTGCCACCAGCTGCCCCACAGTGCAAAGTTTTTCCACACTAGCCACCTCTGCATTCTTGCTCTCTGAAAAGAAGGCCACTGATGTCCTCAAAGCAGGCCAACCTAAGATGCCTTTCAGAAGCCATGGAGGTGGAACGAGATGGTTTGATGATGTGGGAGCTGCTGGTGGATGTCGGGTAGATGTGATTGACAGGTGAGAATAGTGGCTGTTCCCTTTGCATGTTGACATCAGCCATGCGACACGGCGAGGCTCAGAGCTGAGTATTTGGCTGACATAAGGGTGGCTGGAGGGCAGGGTGCAGACATTGTTGTCAATGGCCAGCACTACAGTTTCGGTTGTCCATAAGGGTTTACTCAACAGCCAAGTGCTGGGGGTGGAGACAGGACCTGAGGGCAGAAAAGTCCCCATCCTTGTGCACCCGATTTTGGTGGAGAGACAATGAACACATCCCTGTACCATGTCTGTAACAAAAAGCTCGTGCTAAGGCAGGTGGGGAGAGGCTGTTTTAACTGAGATGGCCAGGAGGTCTCTGAGTAGGGTACATTGGAGCAGGGACCTGAGAGGACTGGCTGCGCAGGTTTCTAGGGGAAGAGCACTGTGAACAGAGAGGACATAGAGTCCTTTCAAGACCCTGATGTTTGTAGGTGTGTGCCTGGCTCACTCAGGAATGACAGCCTGGGCCTGCTGGCAGGAATGCAGTGAACATGGTCCCAGTGTTGCAGGAAATTATGAGCTGAAATAGAGGACACCGAGGCAGTTTAACAGGAAACAACGTTTTATTGGGCTGGCACAGACCCAGCGGACTTGTGTCCAAAGGCTGAGCTCCGAGAACAAAGGGGTCTCACCTCATATACCCTTGCAAGCAGGTTACAGAAGCAAAAAGCAAAGCTCAACCCACGTATGGCTGTATGTGACTTCATTGGCTATTTCATTTCCCCAGTGCTATGTGACCTTCATGTTTCAATTCTTTTAAGTTTTATCTCTCTGCTTTGCCATCTACTCCCCCAGTCTCGCTGTCAGAACACTAGCCTGTTTCTTTTCTGGTCTCCCCTTTCTTGCTACATTACTCCCCCCTTTGATGCTCGGACCCACCCAGGGTCAAAGAGCGTCAGATCCTGATCTAGAGGTCTGTATTTCCATAGCATCATTTCATGTGCGGCCAGTTTCCTTTCTATAATGGTCTCCGCAACAGTCTTGTTAGACTGTAGCACCAGGGGAACCAGACAGAGCGATGTTAAGCATGTCTCTAGGATTAGGACTAGTGCCCTTAGCAGGGTTTTGAGTCCACCTAAGGCAGAAAACCATCCTCCAAACTGGTCATTGGGATCCGACCTTCCCCAAGTCTGGACGGGGACATGGACACACTTTTTCATGTTATCTGTGATTTTTTTATGACTTTTTTTTCATCATCCATCTGTAAGCAGCAGTTGCTCAGGTTAAACTTTCCACAAACTCCTCCCTCAGAAGCCAGCAAATAGTCTAAGGCCAAGCGGTTCTGATAGATGGCGTTGCACATCTTAGTGCTTTGTTTTGACAGCAAATCGAGAGCTCTTGCAATTTCATTAGTTATAATTTCAACAATAGCCTGCAGTCTGATGATGCGGTTGAGCAAATATATAGGGGTGCGATAGCCCCAGGACCCGTCTTCTGCCCAGGTGGCAGGACCATAGCACTGGATGATTCACTTAGGAGGCCATTGGTTATCTTTCCAATTTCCAATTTGTAAAGCACCCTTTTTTGTCTATTTAATCTTTCTTCATATATGGGGACTTCCAGTTTTTCAACTTGTCTGAGGGGAAGCAAGAAGAGAGATGGTCTTGCACCAAGATCTTGTGGCCTAGCACACAAGATCCAAACCGGCTGGTAGGTAGCACCGTATAAGCTCGCTTCCCACAGATCCAATACAGCGCCCTGGGCACCTGCCAATCTGTGTTTGTGGTAAGATTGTTCCATGCTCTCTGGAGATTGTAAAAGTTGGCCAGTGGGTGGGGCTGGGGTTCTGTGTGGTTTGGAGCTCCCCACCATTGGGTCTCTTGGACAGTGTCATTGTAAAACTTCTGTGACAACATTTCCTGGCCGAGTAGGTCACAGGAGGAGGGCTCTGAGGCCATAAAGGGAAAACCACATCAGTAACAATAAGCAGTGATTATGCATCCTTCCCAAAAGAGATAGAAGAGAGCAAATAAAAACCTTTCACCAGGACTCCAATCAGCAGGGGCGGTTTCTGCCAGACCTATGGCAGAGATTATGGTGAGAATTACAGCAACAGATCCAAGGGGTGACAATGCATCACAGTGAGATAACTGGTGTAAAAACAGTCTGGTTGTCCTGTTGGAGAATCGATTCCTCAAGCTTCTGTTGTGCATAGACTAGTCAGCTTCCAAGGTGTGACTAGAGCAGGGCTGTCATCCACCGTTCTTGGTCCCCTGTTGTTTCCTGGGAAGCACAGGAGGAGTCCTGCTGGGGGAGGGCACTCAGGTTCTGAGGGGATCCTACATGGTGAAGCCGGATCAGGGATGCACTCCCACTCGAGAGAAGCTGGTTTGACACGGCTGTGGTGGATCCGAGGAGCGATCTCTGCTACTTTAACTGTGACAAGAGTGGACAAAATAACAACAAAAGAGCATCTTCAATGGGGTTTTAATGGGTGGACATTTTATATATTTTTTTTATCTGGACAATGTCTTTTTTGTTTTAACAGAGTAGAATTACCATGGCAACAATATATTATCAGTATATACGTCCAAGAAAACGCATTGTTTTAAAAAAGTTAAAACCACCATTTTTAAGTATCAAAGGACATGTTTAGAGCCAGTAAAAATAGTTATTTTGTCTCTATTTAAGTAGAAGACCCTGTCTAAAACATATGAGTTTGTGTCTGGAAGGGCTTTAATGCCAGATGGCCACACATGCATAAGAACCATTGTTTAACCCTCTCGGCCTTAGTTATTTTTGAGAAGTCTGGCACGAGTGACTCCATTGGAACTTTGATGGCATTCCCCCCTTGTCTCCAAACTGCTTGTCTCTGAGCAGTCTCCTCTGAAGATCTGTCTTCCATCCAAGTACTAACCAGGCCCGACCCTGCTTAGCTTCTGAGACCAGAAGAGATTGGGCGTGTTCAGGGTGGTAGGTCTGTAGACTGAAGATCTTTCTTGATTGGTTGTTCTTTCCTGGATTTTGTTTGTTCAGTTGGTTTTAGTACCACTTTAGGGGGGAAACAACGAACAGATCAGGTGGGAGTCAGTGCCAACTAGACCCTTTTGGCCAAATTTAAGCAATAAAGAGGCTTAGAAGGAGTGGCTCTTAGGCAGTGGGCTTTTAGACAAGGACAATACAAAACAAAATCTAACAAAAGCAGATGTCTAAAAAGCTAACCTGGTTGACACATAAGCACTTATTAGAGTCATTTTTTATGGACTGATTGTAAATATCCTAGAAGGATCAGAACTGTAATGACAAAAACTTAAAAGAGCCATTGTTAAAATTCTGATGGACAATTTAGCAACTAACAGAACAGTATATCAGTACCATTAACTTTTTGTTACCATGTTTATCTAAATTTTGTATTTTAGAAGGCTTGATATACTTGAAAAACATAAATATAGGAACCAGCAACAGCATCACAACTTTATAGAGGTTATATATACATATTAGTTTAGTTGTTCTTAAAATAAAACCTTAGATTTTTATCAGTTGGGGAGGAGAACAGGGTCAGTGACCCCAAACAGCCCAGTCACAGACACATATAGGATACCGACTGCATTAAAATCACCCAAGACAACAGCTGTTTAACCATGAGGTCATCTAGAAAATTTTATAAAAACTGTTTAAAATAAGAGGCATGGAAGAGGCAGAGAGATGGCTCAAACACCAGTACAGGGTTTATTGTTTAGGGAGGAGCCCTGGGGAGGGACTCCAGCAAGAGAGCTAGAGCCCATTGCCATACACAGGCTTGGGCTAGATATAGGGGGCTAGTGGAAAAGTACCAGGAAGGTCACTAAGGGATATTGTTGCTGGGCAACCAAGAAAAATAAGTTGTAGTTAGGTAACTGTCTGCCCAACTGTCCTTGGCATCTATCCAGGGAGATGAAGGTAAGCCATCTGCAAGGGGAGGGGTCTGGTCCTAACATGGCTGTCCTCATTGTTAACCCCAACATAAAC